TGATTTTTCCCCGAGGACAACTGTTTAAAAAAACGTGATTTTCCGCGGAAACGCGGAGATTTCACATCCCTGGATATATCCTCGGATATCCTATCATCCAACATTAATTATTCCACTGCGAATATCTAAAAGTATTACTTTAGTATCTAAAAAGATTACTATGGTATTAATATTTCTGTTCATTGTCTACTTTACTAGGAATTACTTTATAGTTTCTGTATTTCTGTTCATTGTTCATTTGAGTATGAATTATTCGCAAGTACAATCATAGATCGTTCACCAGGTTCAGTTGTTCATTTTGTTTACATATGGGAGACAATGATCTGCTGTTATCAAATTTTGACAAATATCACTTTGACAATGTGTGTTTAGATCGAAATGGAATATATTCAAAGTGATAAAACATGAAATAGTGACCATTGTAAATGGTGTTACAGTTTGCAAAAAATATATTATCTATATTCCAGAATGAGATGAAACACACTGTTTCGATTGACATTTTTTGACGATTAAATATACTATCGTGTCAGTCTCTTAGTGACATTTTTTCGGTATGGTAGATAATTATATACAAGCAACACAACATTTTCGATTTTTGTAGGAGAAAATGAAAGTGTCAATGCAAATAAAACTATTGAAAGATCTACGTCAATTCCAGCCTACACACATCAGTTGGACACATGGTTTCAGATACAAATGAATTTCATACCATAAACAAAACCAAAAAAAACAAACCCCAAAAACATCTGTACATTACATGGAAAAGAAAGCTCCAACCCATTGTGAGTGAGTATGGTTTTACACCGTTTTTAGCAATATTCCAGCAATATCACGGGGGGGAGACACTAGAAATAGGCTTCATACATTATACCAATGGCGGGAATCGAACCCGGGTCGTTGGCTTGACGAGCAAATGCTTTAACCACTAGGCTACCCCACCACCCCCATCTTATTGTGTGCACCCTCATCAGAGCCCAAAGAAGGAGGTATCACTGTGCTGATTGCGTTACGGTTACCTGGCGTGTGAAATAGATGGGTTGATTGACTTACACTAGTATGGAAAGTATCAGATAATTGAATAAAGGGTGGCAAGCATACAGCCCTTTCTATATTGGGGTCTTTTTATTAAAGTAAATGAAAAAAAAAGACCAAAAAAAGGTTTGCAATTAGTGCAAACGAAACTACAGTTTTGTTCAGAGGAGCTCAACAATAAGTCAAAGAGCATGCCGTCAACCAACATCTATGCTGTCATTTGTCCCAAGAAAAGCTACGATCTGTGATGGGACCATAGAGCCCTACATTTTCTGCAACTCGAATAATTACTGCCCCTTATCAGGCCTCAAAGTTTAAATTTTTGTTTGTTGTTGTTTTGTTTGTTTGTTGTTGTTGTTGTTTTTTTTGGGGGGGGGCAAAAATCAAGAAGTCAAGCCAATATTTTAGGGAGCCAAAAAATTTGAAATTATCTTTAATCAAATAACTATTGTAATATGTACAAGTCACAGCATTAATCGTGGAATTATATATTTGTGGGAACATTACTTGATTTTTGTTATTTGTGACTCGTACAATGATGCAATTTATGTTACTAGATTATATAGGTATATCCTTGGTTATCCAGTGATCACTGGCAACTGAAATAAAATACTAACATTAATATTTATGTATTTCTGTTCCTTGTTGACTTTAAGATGAATTATTCGCGAGTACTATTATTAGCAGACATGGTTTTACAATCAGCTGTTCATTTTGTAAGCATGTAGGAGACAACAATCTGCAGCTAACCGATTTCCATGGGTCCTCGACAATGTGTGGTTAGATCGTAATTGCATATATTCAAAGTGATAAGACATAATAAGGAACTACCAGTATTGTAAATGGTATTATAGTTTCATTATGCAATGAATATTGTTCCAGGAAAATACTAACGAGTAACCGGAAGTTGAAAACACTGTTGACATTCATGATGTTTCTTGCAGAAGGGTACCGTATTCAACGTAATAAGCGCCCCGCTCTAATAAGCGCCCATGGCAATATTTGCTTATATATTGGCTGGTGAACAATCCCAATTAGCGTCCTTTCGGATTGATCAATGTACACAATACTTATTTATTCGCGTATAATATGCACTCATGTGTTATATGCACATCCCTTAATTATGGGCAATTAAATTCTGGAAAAATATATCTCTCGTATATAAACATGTCAGGCTGTCAGCATAAACCACAGAATTTATCTTTCAACTCTTAATTTTGAGAGTGCCCCGGGCGCTTATTACGTCGAACATGGTACGTTCATTAAAACTCTTCCACCAGTGCTGTCTGACCTAAAGGCTAGGCTAATATCATCTAAAATAAGTTTGTTAGTGATCTGAATTTTGTATATTATTTTAAAGAAAGAGTTGTAGTTATATCCATTTAGTTTTTGTTTTGTTGTCATTCCAAAACCGAAAATTATCTGCGTTTTGAAACTTAAGCCGTTATTGTTTAGTTTTCTTGATTTCTGGTATGATCTTTGTGACCAAAAAATATGTTCTTTTAGTGTTGAACATATAACTTTAGAGTTGTAGATGATTGTTTTAAAGGGAATAAGGTTCTTGTGCGCTAACAAAGTGTTTATGTTGTGAAAACAAACACCTGTTTTGCCAATCAGGGCACTCCGTCGATGCAATGCTCCATGCAGTGACATAGGAATTGGTTATGCACAGTGAAAGATCGCTCACAGTGTTGCAAGTATGCAACTCACTGTTTCCACTGACAGCCTTGATAAATGAATTTTATTGACATTTAAAGGTATGGTAGATTATTTTATCCAAGCAATACAACATTTTATGCTTTTGTAGGAGAAAAAGGGGTGGTTGGGTAGCCTAGTGGTTAAAGCGTTTGCTTGTCAAGCCGAGGACCCGGGTTTGATTCCCGCCATGGGTACAATGTGTGAAGCCCGTTTCTGGTGTCCCCCGTGATGATATTGCTGGAATATTGCTAAAAGCAGCGTCTAACCAAACTTACTCACTTTGTAGGAGAAAATAAGAGTGTCAATGCAGATGAAACCATTGAAAGTGAAACAATTTGAATGAATGTGGATGTGATATCTACAACAACTATGCACGAGAATATTGCAGAATTTGGCCTAGGTCAATCCCTGTCTTTATTTCCGACCATCGGCATGGAATCACATCAAAGATCACTATTAATAGTTCCATAGTTACCGTCATACACGTGTTAACATTTAGTATTATGATCGTTTTTTTGCACAAAATGGCAAAGTACTTTTGCCATGATGTTGTCAAGTGAAATGAACAGTCTAAGCATGTGAGAAGTTCGAAACTCGATGCACTGCACACAGGAAAATTATTTAGCATAACTGAAACCTCGTAATGCTGCATGGAGCTAGCGAAATGTTAATTGACACGGACGATGAGTACAGTTATAGGAGTTCTATTGCAATTGTGAAAAAACTGGCGATCGAGAAAACAGAGTCACAAATGTCAAGGTATTTATTTTTGTGTCTAGAAAGGTGAAGCAAAAGAAATTAGTTGCCACAAGATATTTTTCAAGGTAGTCATTTGGCAACAAACAGAAATTTAGGTCACATTGGCAACCATTTTAGTCACAACTTTGAGGCCTGAATATTTTTTGTAACAGACTAATTGAAGACTGGGTGGTTACAATGTGTGTCACTGTATCCTGTAAATTGGTGCTCATAGTATCAACAGGTTGCTGGGGACTTTTTTAAGGTTGCCATGGTCACTAATCCTCAACAGAAAAAACATGTACAGTGATCCCTCGCTACAACGCTGTATTTGGGGTCCAAATGAGCGTTATAGATGATCAGCGTTATAACCGAGGTGGAGTCGTAGGGCGTAGATGACCAACAACAGAACATGCTCTGCCTACCTTACACAGTCTAAGCCACAATTTTCAGAGTTTGAATTTTTTTAAAAATAGTAGTTGTCTATGTTTTCGCGGTGTAAAAACATTTATCGAGTCTAGTGCGCAGGAAAAAAACAAATCGTACCCCTTCAGCAAATTCAGGTGAAACAACAGGTTTAACAAACCTGGTCCATAAGAATATGAAATTTGATATAAATCATCACTAGACACGATGATTTACCATGTGAATTGTATTTCCAGCTCCCCAAGGCATTGTTTCATGTGCAGAGATTAAGATAACTGTCTGCATTTTCTTGTAAACAAAGCCGGAACTAGCAATCAGCTGTACACACATTTTCTCCTCATCTACCAGTGATAAAGTTAAAAAGTACCCAATGATACAACTTCAAAAAAAATTTATGCAATGGTCAGAAGAAATTGTATCTGAAATCATTATTTTATCAGGAATAATTTATTCCAATATTGTGTTAGTCTAGTTGCAGCTTTTAATATATTTTTTGTTAAATTATAAGAACCATAAGCATAGCACTTTGGTACAGCTGATTGCTATTGCAGGATATTTCTTTACGTATGGAATAATCTGACCAGTCACTGTAGGGACTTTCAGCACTACATGTATTTCGATTGCGAAAACATCATGTTGACATATAATAGTTAAATTGCCACAAATATGACTTTTAAGGAGTCAAAGTATGGCATTTATGATATATGTATCCATTCTGTCAAATAAAGTTCCTTTCAAAACGTCAATAGTGGTAATCTGACCGTGGTTGCTGTAAATAACAGTGAGTTGTGCAACATGATCACTTCACACACGATATCACGGGAATTAATGTTAAGAATACTGAATGACATTTTGAAAAAAATTAATAAAATATATTACAAACATAAGTCCAGATATACAATAAACACGTTTTTATAACCAAATAGTATAATAATGGGATTAAATTGCGTACTTCAGTTTGGATTTGTTGACTGGTATTTCCGGTGTTACGTTTTTGTAGCGAACTTTAAAGAACCAACATACATTCCAAATCAAGAAATTAAAAAATTACAATAGTTTAGACCCAACTTACTTAAGTCATTGAGAAGACAGACAACATTTCTTACCAGTGTTAGATACAGATGGCTTGGGCGTTGGAGGAGGATGTTTCCGTGGTCGTCCAACCTTTCTCTTTTCAGGCACTGGTAATGGTGGACTCTGTTCACCACTGCCAATGGGTTCTAATGTGGGTGCAGTCTGACTTGAAAACAAGTTCATCAACTTGTGCCTTTTCTTTGGAGGCAAACACTGTTGGCTTGGAACTTGGCACTCCAACACAGGCGGACCAGAATCTTCTGATATACTCCTTTTTCGAGACATTTTCATTTTTTCCTTTAAGATAGGAATACTATGTTCTTTCAATGTTTGATCTTTCTTAGACTTGAGTTTTTTGACAGTTTTCTCCAGAATTAACTTGTCTTTCTTCTTCTTTTTCACATTTATCTTAGTTAATCTAAATATGCTTGGTAACAAAACCTCTCCAGGTCTTACTCGAATAAATGTATCACCTCTTTGTTCCGAAATAGCCATGTTTTCCAATTCATTTATCAAGCAATCCATATTTGCAAGAAAAACAGGATCAACAATATTTCTATGCTTTGACTTAAAATATAACAACTTCTTTTTCTTTTTTCTGTTTTTATCACCAGACCTGCCCAATTCATCATTTTCATCTGGTGTCCTGAATGAACTCACAGACAAAAGTCCAATGCCTGATGTTGCCTTTGGTATTTTTGTGTGAAATCCCCTGAAAAGGTACTCCCCTTTGAAAGATGAACTGTTTGATGATGAAATACTAGATGAAACACTAGCCTGCTGAAACTTGGACACAAATGTACTACTTGAACTTCTCAAGAAAGGTGTAAATGGTTTCTTAACAATATTGGCTTTCACTTTTTTACGTCTACCCCTTGTGTTTTTTCTCATCATGACATGAAGTTTAGGCTTTCTGATTTTGGGGACTACTTTTTGTGGTTTAGGCTCTTGAAAGTCACTGTTGGTGGTAAGTGTGGGTTCAATGTCATTGAGATTGTCTTCAACATTGAAGTCATGTATCTCTTCATGATCACTTTCAACTCCAGGAAACTGTGAGTTAATAGAATCCTGAACACTTTGTATGAGTGAAGTAAATTCATTTTCAACTGGTGATCGTTGATCATGAGCCTTGTCTTTTGTTAATTGGCTTGTCAGCGCAGCCAATGCTTTTTCAATAGATGCAGCACTGGGTCCACTTTGAATTGGTAGGGGATACTTCCGGGGCCTGCCCCTCTTACGCTTAGGCTGACCATCCTTGCCAAGTAATGGTTTACTGAAAACGTTCGAACTTTGAAGAAGTGACTTCTTCGGGCCAGGCCGTCTCCCCCTCTTACCAGGAACACCTAGCTTTTTCACAACCTGTTTATTTGGTTTCAGAGCAGAAGATTTTTTGCCAGAACCTTTCGGCCTACCAGGTCCTCTTTTCACTGGCACTTGGACCTGGGATTCCTGCAAACTTGATGGCAGTGTGTGGTTCATAAAGAGTGGAGCACCCATGCTTTCAAATGACTGCTCAAACAGTGATTGTTTTCCACTTGCCTTAGCAAGTTTCTGAAGAGCCTTTTTCTTCTTCAAAGCAGAACCTTCATCATCTCTAATTTTCTTTTTCCTCCCAACCTTTTTCTGCCCTTTAATTTCAAGGGGAATTTCACTTTTAGGTACCTTATATTTCCTCTTTGTGTAAGGTCTCTTTCCTCTTACCTCATGAACTGGTTGCACTGGCATTTTGTCAAATATATTCCTGTCCAGAGATTCATTCTTCTTACCAAATTTGCTCACTGATTGCGATATTTCTAACTCATCCAGAGTCATAGACTGATTCTGGTTTTGTTCAATGGCTGTACTGCTATCAGGGATATTGTCATAAAGTTTACTCTTTCTGTGAAGCATATTGGCATATTTCTTTTTGGGTGGCCTGCCTCGTTTCTTTTTCCCTGTAGAAAATGAAGGCATGAAGAACATATCCGCATAGCTTTTCTTTTGGTGTACACTCAAACTCTCTTCTTCCTTACTGTCATGCTGTTTGCTTGTTTCAGTCATGGGTGACTCTCTTGCAGTGCTAGGTTGTGGTGGAGGTGGGGGAGGGGGTGGTGGTGGCAAAAGTTCCTGGGAATTATCCACCTTGTGTTGCTCCTGCACATGTGAATCAATAGCATGGGTTTCCCCAAGAATAACAGAATTGGGGGAATCATTTCCCGATGGAGAACCAGCAATAGACTGAATACCACTATCTGGTGACACATTAGACATGGTGTCTAACTTAAGCAGTTGTTCGTGGTGTTCAGCTACAGTTCTCACCCGTTTTGCTTTCTTTTGATGTTTGTCATCAGCATCTTCATCAGTTGATATGTAGCTGGGGTGAGAGCTGCTTTGAATGCTGGCTGAATCATTATGTCTTGACTCAGTGTCTGTGGTATCACCAGAAAATTCCTTCTCAGAATCAGAATAAAACTTACTGGGATCAGTGGCTGGTTCAACAGTGTTTTGTGGTTTTGAGCCTGTGGAAGCAAGCTGTGTAGTCTTTGGTTTATCAGCTTTCTTAACAGGTGATTTACATACTGCACTGCTGACACACTTTGATTGAACAGTTCTGCTCTTTTCTGATGAGGTATAGTTCTCCAATGATGTAGTGGGACTCTCGTCTGAAGTGGATTTCATCAAGGATGTATCTGTGGATGCCTTTGCTGTTGGTTGTGATGTGGCTATGCTTGAACTCTGCAGAAAAGGGGAACAGACATATATTACCAAGATTTAAATTTGTATCTGTCAATAAACAAACCCATTCCACCAAAAGGTATGACTCAAATATTAGGACATCAAATGAGACAACTTTCACATTTTTGTTTTACAGTGATACACTAGTGATATATTCAGATATCCATTCCTTAATACTAAATTTGATAAAATTACCTGAGTCGGTTCTTGTCTGTCACTTTTCTCTGTCAAAAAAGCTGACTCGTTATCTGGGTTTCTAGCAGTTTGGTGTGATTCTTCTTCATCATCTTCTTCATCATCATCTATGTCCAAGGGAGACGATGGGGTGGAGCTTTTCTTGCGTCCGGTACAGGTTATTTTTAACTTTAGTTGGCCTGGATCACAGTTAGTCGCTTGAATGGAGAACTGTTTGTCATGGCTTTCACTGGCATCAGTGTCAGATCCTGATTCGCCGCTGGAGGAGCTATCAGTACTGTCTTCTTCTGCATACCCTTCCTTATCAACTTCACTCATTCTCCCCCAGCTCTAGCCCCGTGCCCCGTGGCTTCCCGTCCAGGATTACAGTCACTGTTCACTGGCCAATCAAACTGAAACAAGAAGAAGCATGCAATAACAACATGTCTTAATCTGTTCTTTCAACACAACTGATTACATTACTAGATTACAAATTCAAATAATTAACCCCATGGCTATCGATTTGTATCATCTTCAATATGCACCAATAACATCTTGAAAGTTTAATAACTACCATGAAATTGCAGGTGTGGTATTCAAAAACTAAAGATACATATCTTATATTAATAAAAGGGCCTCTAAAGGAAACTTATTCATAAATTCAAACTTGTTCCATTCATGAGATCTGCAAGCAGTCAATATGGTGGTCATATCTAAAACATATTTGTTTAAACTGTCATACTGATATCTAGTTAAGAACAAATAGACACATACCTATTCCATGCAAAAGTGATCAAGCTACATTGTATTAATCCTCTCAAACTTCTACTTTAACTCACAGCTATTGCTGTGAGTTGATTGACAGGGAATTGACAAGTCAAAAGTAAATTTCAATGTGGCTGTGGAAAATAACCTTGATAATAGCTTAGCCTCTAAAGGATTAATTGTTTTGATATGTGTAACAAATACTACTACAACATTATTCTGCACCTGCTATATTATACTTTGAGATGCACTCATGTTTCGAATACCAGAACTGGCACTGGTACTGTGCTGACATGCTTTCTTGTTAATGTATTTATCTCTTCTTCTAAACAAATGGATTATGGCAAGACCACCTTGGATGGTCAAAGGTATTTTTATAACACTGTTCGTTGATTAGTGTACAGTCTACATAGAATGATGCATCTTATCATGGTAATATGAACAGCTCTGATACATACATGATATATATGTGTTAAGCAAAGACTGGAAATGTATTGGTAAATTCAGCAGGGTTAGAAATTAACACTAGCCTGCGATTTGTACAAATTTCTGCAGGCCAGTACATATTCCCCCATTGTTTAAACATTACAAGGGCATCTTATCTTTACCCAGGCTAGAAAGCTTTTCAGTTTAGTACAGCCCTTTCTGATACTAAAGTTCTGAAAAAAATGCTCCCTGAGTTTGATTGTCTGTGCCTGACTGCACTAACATTCAAGATATGAATCTCCTCATTTGCAAGATGATCAAAATGTCTGTTCAAACATAGCTGTCACCAAAGTCAGCATGGTACCAAGCCAGCACATGTTTACCGAATAAGTCATTTCCGTAGACAAACATTCACCGATGTATACAAACACAACCAATTAACTAATACTTAGTTTCCAAACAAAAAACCTCAACGCAACAGAGGTACACATTTAATCCACAAGTAACTTAAAATTAAGAAAACAATTTTATCAATTTAGTCATTTGTAGAAAGCACCTGCATGCACAAAAATGCTTTGGGTTGCTGACTGGTGCTGGCACTTGTGGCAGTGAAGTCAACAGAAAGGTTAGGTATCGTTCTGACATGTGTTCTGTGTTTCTGTGCAGGTAAGTTCACTGTCACTTTGGTAACTGACTTGCCATAGTCATAATTTTGTACTGTCATGAGTTACATCTTTGGAAATGTTTTACTGACCACAAGTTTGTTAACAGACTGAACTATAGGCAAAGTATGTAGAGGTTATAATTTCAAAATCGTATGTTTGTCAATCCAGTAACAATTAATGTCAAAATATGTATTAACAACGATTGGTATATATTGCGACGTATAAAAATCGATACAATCACAGATACATCACACGAAACAAGCAACAGTGTTGAGTACAAACGGTGCACACGCTCTTCTAAACCGAGTCACAACAAACGAAAAAAAAGAAGAGTTCTTCCGCTTTCTGAGGCATGGTTCGCGCGAGAGTGAGATGGAAGTAGTGATGTCTGCAACACCACCCTGTTTTCTAAGTTCAGTATAAGGTCATAAGACATGTGCGTGGGATAGATGCACTGACTAATATCGCACTCGGCAGCTAGAACATGTCTTTTTAAAAGCTGAGACATCGCTACTTCTCCAGTTGTAATTTGCAACAAGGTACGCGCCAAAATCACACATAAATAATGCGATTATCCATGCAATATGTGATGTACTAACTAGATAATATGGTCAAAACAATCAAATGCATAGCTTACCTGTAGAATTTATCAAAGCATGTATCATCGATAACAAAATATTCAGATAATCGTATTTCTAATACACATCTCTTCTACGCCATAGTTCACACAGAAAATATGGCGTCTGAGGTTTCGAGGTTCGAAGGGAGAACAACAAGTGTTGAAAATAAAACTTAGAAGTTGACTAAAATAAAATGTCATACCCTTTTATTAACTATTTTTTAATCTTTGCTGTACGGCTTGCGTTCTTGAGTTAAGTGTAGCTCTATCCTACAATTCTGTTATTTTTTAGGCGGCTTTGATTGTAGACCCATATCCGAATTTCCTGTCGGGTCTCTTAAAGGTTGTTTTGGTGTTCATATGCAAATCTTGCGATATTAACGAATAACAAAAAATCATGTTTTTGTAAACACCATATTCACTAGTAAAAAAAGAAATGATGTTAAAATGTAGTTATGTGACATGAACAAAAGCAATAAAATCAGTCGGGGAAACTCCCACAATGCACTTTTAAACATGGATGCCTCCAGGCAGGTGCTTGCTAAAATGTGGAAAGGTATAACACCACTAATTGTTGTTATCATGTGATGTTTTCACGTGAAGAACAAGCGTGCCTTTTACACGAACCCCAAGCTTCAATTTATTGGAACCCAACAACCCATTTAAGCCATTAGACGCTGAAAAACACGTATAATCATATCACTGCTTGTTCGTTCAGTTTTCGATCATCATGACATCTGCATTGGGAATTTGAATCATAGATCTTATGTAAGAAAATCTGCGCAAACATGAGCGGTAGAAACTGGCACTATTCATGTAGTCCTTGCCATATGCCAAATAGTTACGGTATCATAAGGACGAGTAGAAATTTGCCATTTTTAAGGGTTTTGCTAAATGATTATATGATTATAAGGAGTGGATTATTATTGTTAGCTTCTATCGTTGCACATTGTACCAATGACAAAAGTTTTGGAACAATAACATGTTAACACTGGACTACATATGTCTTGTTACTTTCATAGTGACATTCCTCAGTGAGTGAAACATGTTGATTCATCGCCATCTTGTTACCGTCACATGGATTCGCCCCCTTCCATTCCATTTAAGTTAAAACTAGTCATATGACATGACTGACAGTGGGCTTTGAAGCGTATTCCTAGAATACATAATTAAGCGTTACATATTGTTTAGGGGCTTGAAAAGAGGTGAGGCTCGAAACATGTCATGTGAGGATATTATTAGTTATCATATTCAGTGTCATATTTTTTTGCTTCCCAAATATGACACCATATATGACAACTGAAGACACCGAAAAGTTTACACTATTTGGTATCTTTATCGCACATGTCATGTCAAAATGAAAACTTAACACTTACAACTGGTATAAATGACAGGACCAGTTCATATGTTTCCGATACAAAGCTTGATGTAAACTTCATCTTTAACAATGGAAAGCACTAAATGTGAACTTTTAAACAAGTATGACAGCTGAAATGGATACAATTATCATAAAAATGCCCACACATGATCAGAAATCTGAAAGCCACTGTAACTTTATGGTAGTCAGCCTTTTCCTAACGAGGGCTTTGTATCTATTCTATTGCTATGTGACGTCATTGGCGTCATGTTTCTTGTTTGTGATGTTATCCTGTGTTATGTTCTATGGCGTTGCTATTTCTAAATCAGTGACCTCCGTTGTAAGCTTTTAGTCTCTTTAAATTTTATTACTTAAGTCATGAACGTGGTTTCTTTAAAACTTAATGTCTTTGCACATCACAATTAATTATATGAAAACACAAAAGAATATTGTATAACAAATTTCTGTACCAGAATTGTCATGTGAGATGTGTGAAATGAGTGTTGGAAAATAAAAAAAATGGCTGTTACTGACGGTATACGGTCTCATTTTAGGCCAGTAACAACCATCCTGGATTTTTACTGACAGTATACAGGCTCATATGGGGTTAGTAGTTCTGCTCCCTGATTGGTCAATCTCAATTTGAGGCACAATAAGACGGGGTATGCGTACTCACAGACACATGTGTACACAATAACCCAATAAATTATGTATTTTTGGCACTATCTGTCAGCAACAGAAATTTAGGTTTCTCTGTCAATATTTATTCAGACATTCAAGTCTGCTGTAACTAATGATGCTGATCAAGTTTCAAAGTTGCCTGTTACCATGGTTACAGGTGTTGGGGATCCACCTCTGAACATGTAACGGATAATAAACAACATCAGTCAATCAATAGTTTACTGACAATGAATGTTGACATGCTCCTGAAAGTTCATGCTTCAACTATGCGTTTGAGTGATACCGCGTCAGGTTGATTATGTTATCACGCTGCGTGTACCCTTTGTGAATGAATAAACGATCCTTTATTTACAGGAATCCTCCCTAGGCTTCACCCCTATCATCACTTTGTTACCCATGTGTGTTGATGATTGTTTTTGTTAATATCTGTATTTAAGAAATAAACGACGAGTGGGAGTTGTTTATTGTACAATAAAGAGAATAAACCATGAGGGATGCAGCCACGAGTGGTTTATTATCCTTGAAGTGTTTTATTGAAGGATAAACAGCGACCATGAGTCGTTTATTTCTTATGTGATATCAACAGTTTGTACAGCCTTTTAATGGATGTCAATAAATTGTACAAGCTTTCAAAACATTTACCCATATTTAAATAATGATGACTGCCCAAAAACAATCTGACCTCGGCAGTGGTGGACAACTCCATTTTATGTACAGGGGGGTATTCTCACAATTTTCACATAGATTATCTGCCCCTTTCTCCCAATACTGATTGTCAAATCTCTCCCACGTTTTGGTGCGATCATTCGGCCATTGCGTTCATCTACGTTGTCCAGCTACATCTATGGGGAACAACTCCACTCCACTCTCAAAAATAACATCATCCTATTTACGACGTCATAAGTTGCAAGCGCCTGTTCGAATCTCAAGAAATGATGTCATGATAGAACAATGTTTTATAGTGAAATAAACCACGCTTCGTTCTTCATTGTTCTTTGTGATTTATTGCGTAGCTATCTTATATATCTAATTATTAGCTTTATGACTATTATCCATCTCCGTGGTTGATCACTTGCTTGGTCTCGGATTCAGTGTCCTGTGTCTGAGTGGGCTATTCATGTTTAACTGCGGAATGGTATCTCAGTGTGTAGCACTATAAATTGGCATCTCCGGACTAGTACAAGCAGACACACACACACACACACACACACACACACACACACACACACACACACACACACTTGCATGCACATCACTAATTAAGGGCAATAATCTTGGACGCAGCATTAAACCTCCTTCACCTCACCTTGTTTATTACGGCTCTTCTATTCAGTTCCTCTTTGTGGCAAAATTGAAGCTTTGAGAACTTTCAGAATTATAGTTCTCAAGAGCTTCTAGTCAATGGGGACTACCATCATTGGATTCTTGTTTGTCCTCAGCACAATTTTGTTGTCACGACTAACGTGAATTTCGAAGGCTGTATCGTTCTGTTTTGTTCCAGGGGCTCTGACAGGTACAAGATGCGTGTGTCGTCCAGCATCCAGAAAGACATTGCAGTCAGCAGTGAGACAACTATCTTCAAGGTGTACAGACAAGAGCCAGACACGACTATCTTCAAGCCTTGCTGATCAAGCTGATGTGCCACTCAACGAAAACCAGACAAGAATCAAGCCAGTGTGTCGAACCTCAGAAAACAACCCTGTATGTAGTTCTGTGAATTGTCTCTTATCCAATTTAGTTTCTTCTTACAGCATGCAACCATGAGATAATACCACCTAGAAACTGCTCTGGCAAACCCCCAATCGATCATATTTGACTGATGGGAATTAATACTGACCAATCAAAAACTCTTGACTTGCATGATATTGCAACAGTGTCCCCAACAATGAACATGTCAAAACAAGGTATTTCTTTGTCAATCGTTAGCATTGTCTTCAGTTCTTTCAAATTCTTATGTGTATATCATTTTTTAATTTGAAGTTTACACGAAATACAGCTTTCCATTGGACAAGAGGTCTTTCACATGTCTGTGTAACTGCAAAAGTGTATGAACGACACATTTTGATGTTCATACATTTTTCACGAGACTGTATTCTTGAAATGGCGTAAACATTAACAGACTACTTCCACATTCCTGTAGAAACCCCTGGGAATTTCCTAGCATGATTAAATTCAGAAGCATTGTTTCTGATCACTTACACCCTTTAATCTTGAACTTAGCGTTTTAGCATACATTGGGAAATGTCAGAGAGTTTGACCGAGTTTGTCTGTTCAGTGATATCCTCGCTACGATCCATCCTAGAGAACAAAGCGAAGAAAACACATACAACTTGACAGTGACAGTCTACCTTATGATCTATGTGATACATCTATATAATAATCTTTCAATGATTGTCCAATTTTTCAATGTTGACTTACACTTTTAATAGCCACGGGACCCATGAAGATCCGGGTTAGAATAGGTCTTCAGCAACCCATACTGGCGGTAAAAGGTGACTATGCTTGTCGTAAGAGGCGACTAACAGGATCGGGTGGTAATGCTTGCTGACTAAGTTGATGCATGTCATCGTATCCCAGTTGATGCTCATGATAACAATCACTGGATTGTCTGGTCCAGACTCGATTATTTACAGACCGACGTCATATAGCTGGAATATTGCTGACTGCGGCGTTAAACAACAAACCACCCACATAGCCACAGGTTCATTAACAACTTCGGAAACATCTGCCATCACGTTTATCGTGCCGGCCATTTTGACATCATGTACATGTATTATGACACGCGGTCATTGTGAATGACTTATTATATATCTTTTTACTTCTATATTTGTTGTAAACAAACTACAAAAGATGTCTCTGTGAGCATACATATGCTCTCCTGTTAAGGAACTACTTCTTTCCACGAAACAGGTGGTTGTTTGGCTGTCAGTGTAAACAAGAAGTCACATGTTCTAAATGAATTGTGTATATGTTACAGGAAACAAGTATAATCAGTGATTAAGTCTAATGACTGAAAATTTCAGTGATTATGTCTAATAACTGATTCACTCGGTGGTTATGTCTAATTACTGAAATCTTCAGTAATTAGACATAATCACTGAAATGAACCAAGGGATTTTATACTTGTTTACTGAAAGCATATCCCTGCCTTGTTTTTATAATGTGTGCTAGTTTTGAAATTAGATTAGCTATCAAAGTAAATACAACCTCCTGTAACCAGATACCTTACACAAAAATCACAGAAATAAGCTTAAACAGTTCAATCTTTTATTTCATAAAATGGTATGACGTGAATGGTATGACATGAATGGTATGACAAATAGCAGTCAGATGGACACTCAGGAATGTTTGTTTGCACATGAAAGACTTGAATGACATCTAGAATTACATTGCATCTTGGCCTTAAAACATTTGCAGCGATTGGTCTGACACCGTTTAGTTCCAACACAATTACACCTTACAAAGCCTTGACCACCTCAGACTGAGTCAAGTTGAACCGCTTGACGCAAAGAGAGTGTTCGATCGGTATTGAAATCGTCAGCATTATACAGGGTTGAAGATGCAAGGCCAGTCCGAGCATCAGATCCGAAGAGAGCTGCAAATGGTGAGGTTTTGATACCACTGTGGAGACTTGAATTCTTCTGAAACTGGACGAACTTAAGTCCTACAGTCCATTCACTGGTGTCATTGTCTCCAAGCCAAGCAACTAGAATGTCTTTAATGTCACAGTTCGCCCTCTCTACAGAACCTTGGCTTTGGGGATATCGAGGCTTTCCGTGCACGGTCACCAATGAGGGCCACATAAGTTTCAATTCAGTTACAACCTGTGCTGTAAATTCAGATCCATTGTCACTTTGGAGCACACAAGGAGCGCCAAGTAGGAGAAATATGTTGATAGGCGACTTCAGAAGCACGTTTAGACGTTAGGGGACGCAACACAACAAACTTGGTAAGATGATCTTGGTAAACCATGATCCACTTATACTGGCCTTGGCTCATTGACTGCATGTCTATGAGGTCCACTTGAGCCCTTGAATTAAAGTCCTTGGAAAGAATGGGCTTGACAACGGTGCCCTTGTTGGTTGGTTGCTTACTCTTCCGCTGGCACTCCGTACACATGGATTTGAAGAGGGACATTGAATCAATGGTGATGTTGGCATACTTCTTATTTATTTCATGAATCATCTTATCTCTTCCGCCATGACCAGTTGCCAGGTGAGCGCGCTCGATAGTGTGAGATTGGCTTAGGACAGGATTATGAAGCCTTATCACAAGTTATTATAAAAAGGCAGGGATATGCTTTCATTAAACAAGTATAAAATCCCTTGGTTCCTTTGAGTGATTATTGAAGTGATTGAGTGAAGATTTCAGTAATTAGACATAACCACCGAGTGAATCAGTTATTAGACATAATCACTGAAATTTCCAGTTATTAGACTTAATCACTGATTATACTTCTTTCCTGTAACATATATAGATCTACACCCTTCAAGGTGAAAAATAGTGATATCAAATTATAATTACATGTGACAGGCACTTAGTTTGGTTGTTTAGTTTACATAGATGTTCCCTGATCATGTTGAACGGGTGGGCACACTATTTGCTGTGCAGAGTTGTGTCCCTTTGGTGCAGCAGAAAGGAATGTGGGGGTGGGGGTGGGGGTGAGATATAAGTTGTGTCAAGATTGTTAACTGTACCTTTATATGTACATTACTATATAATTGTTCAGTAGTGTGTTATCAGCTGGGGTATAATTGCTAACTAGACACATGGGGATGTGAGACAAAAATGAATACTAGTCTGCCATACATTTGGTAGACAGGGTATTTTATCAATGTTTGGATCAATCATTACAGCCTTACTCCTGCATTCATTCACCAGTTCACTTACTCATTCATGCAATCACCCATCCACTTATCCATTCACTAATCCACTCACTCACGCATGCACATACCCCATACACTCCACAATTCACTCACTCACTCACTCACTCACTCACGCATGCACATACCCCATACACTCCACAATTCACTCACTCACTCACTCACTCTCACTCACTCACTCACTCACGCCTGCACATACCCCATACACTCTACAAGTCACTCATCCACTCACTTGCCCAGTACTTCAACTATTCAACCATTCTCTCACATACTCTCTCACTCATCTGCCCATTCATTCTCTGAATCACTCATCTGAACACTCACCTTATCATGCACTCTCTCATTCAATTACTCATTCATTCGATCATTCACTGTCTAATCCACTCATTCATTCACCTACTAACTCTACCTTCAATTCATTCACCCAATCACTCTCTTGCTCAACTGTCTATTCACTCAGTCATGCGCTTCCTTACTCACTCACTCACTCACTCACTCATCCATACAATCCCGCATTCTTTCACTCTTACTTTATCACTCACTCACCAACTCACTCACTCACTCACTCACTCACTCACTCACTCACTCACTCCCTCACTCATCCACCACTCATCCACCACTCACTCCACCACTCACTTACCCACTCGTTACGCGGAGTAAGTAAGTATGGTTTTAAGCCACTTTTAGCAATATTCCAGCAATATCACGGCGGGGGGACACCAGATATGGGCTTCACACATTGTACCGATGTCAGGAATCAAACACAGGTCTTCAGCATGACAAGTGAACACTTTAACCACAAGGTTACCTGACCACCCTTCGTCGCACGGAAGACCCGGGTCAATTCCCCACATGCGTACAATATGTGACCATACTCACTCACCATACATACTCACTCACTCTGTTCCCTACTCACTCACTCACTCACTCACTCACTCACTCACTCACTCACTCACTCACTCACTCACTCTGTTCCCCAGCTACACCACAGTGGCAGACAACAGGGCCAGCACTACACAGTGCCACCAGGGATGTACAAGGATGTCCTACAGAGGGCGCTGCCATTAGAGTTCAAGAAACAGGTATGTGCGACATCATCACTAAACCTTTCCGCAAATGAAATTAATCACAAAATATTTTTTCTCCCAATATTCAATCTTTGATTGGTATTTGATAAAGATAATCACAAAGACCCATTTCAGGTGAAGACATTTGGAGAGGCATGTGTGATGATTCGAGAGCCTGCGTTGGAGGTGATGAACTACATCCGCAATCTCAACCTTGACCTCCCAGCATCCAGAATTGTTCTCTGTATCCTTGCTGATGAGTGAATAGCTGCTACATTATCTCCACAGTCTTGGAACAGGGGGCACGGGTGGCCCAGTCGTCTAAGGCGCCGCGATTCGCTGTGCAGAGTTGCGTCCCTTGGGCACGCCAGAAACCTATGATTGTGGGTTCGAATCCCGGTTCGCCCCGATTATGTTTCTAGGTTTGTCAGCACCATACCCGTGCTCGTGGGTTTCACCGAGGTGGTAAATGTCTGAGACCTGCATCACTCCGGGCTTTCCTCCCACATTAAGCTGACACGCCGTGATATAACTGGAATACTGTTAAAAGCGGCGTTAAACCCAACTCACTCACTCACTCACTCACAGTCTTGGAACATTTACAGCCAAGCTTGGACTCAGCCTATAGTGCATGTGTGAAAGTGAGACGATCCACATCAGTGTTTTATTTACCTTGACTTACAAAAGGTATTGTACATTGTATACAGATGTATCACACCTCACACGTATTATACAGTGTTTAAAGGTACAATGTATTCAGATGTATCACACTTCACACATGTTATACAGTGTTAAAGGTGCATGAACACTCCATAGAACTATTAAGCCCCCAGCTTGTTTTATGGATTTGGATTTTACAGTCGCATGTGAGTATGATATTCAGTTTGTGTCCTGGCTTGCTGGTGGAGATGTATTCCTTATCATGATGCAGATGGGCGTCGTGGGAGTGGCCGAAGCATGTCCTTGGCACACATTATGCACTACTGTGCGGAGGACCAGTGGATTATCCTACATGCACCATGGCGTGAGTGCTCCGACTTAAACATCATCACGTATATGTACATGATATTTATGGCTTAAGCCACTCTATGTTCTATGTTCTTGTTTCATAATGTTTTTGCTGACAGAAAATATCCATAAATTTTGCCGCGGGAGATTTCAGGTTAGATTCCTGAAAATTCTTGAAGTAACAGTTTTTTCAGTTCACTTGACCGAATAGTTAAGGAGCTCATGTCATGGCCTGTTTGTCTGATGTCATTTGTTCCCCGTGCAGCATTAATGTATTCTCAGAAAGCACTGGACCAATGAAGCTGAAACTTCACATGTTTCTCCCTACCAATGGTGAAGACCCGGGTTCGATTCCCGACATGGTACAATATGTAAAACCCATTTCTGGTGTCCCAGAAATTGCTGGAATAGTGCTAACAGCTGCGTAAAACCATACTCACTCACTCCCTTACCAATGGTGAACCCTAACTTGTTAGGGACGTTCAAACCCGATTTTCAATATGGCCACTTAGGCAGCCATATTAAAAATGCTATTTTGAAAAAACATTCTGACACTGTTTTAAAGATGCTCTCGAATTCTCTTGAAATGCATATTTGACTCTGAAAACTTCTCTGAAACTGAGAGACTGACTGAGCTGAACTGTGGCATGTATGTTTCTCCTTAGGTTGACATGTTTGGTTCAAATAATTAAATGTATTGTAAGTGTTTCCTCAGTACTATATAGAATATCTGAATATGAACGCTGAACATCTAAAGGGTATACAGAGCACTTCACCAGGACCATTCCCGCTCCTACTAATCAAACCCGCAATGACAAGATTTTCAACCTTCATCTCTGACGGTTACTACAGCGATCAACATCGCAGTTGGGATCGATACCCCCTGTATATGGAGCCGTTTCATCACATGAGGGTCTACCCATGTGCATTACCATATCGTGATTACAACCACCGCGATACACCTTGGAGATTGGTCCTTAGATCGTTGTTGGATCGCCGTGCCTTCCCTGTTGCCATTGTTCCTCTTCGTGATGGTTCGACTTCTGCGCCAATTCCTGCACAAGTCATTCATCCTGGATCAGCAGCTCCTGATCCCACAGATGTTACCATTGCATCAGCTGTTATCAACTTGGGTCCTAAGCCTTCCCCCACCTAATCTACAATGTCGACCCTGTGGCCATCCTTCCTTGGATTGCAGACAGAGTTCAGCTCAAGCGCAGTTATTCTGCGTGTGATCATGTTTAGCGTTCCCTCGCCCGCGTCCTCAACCATCACGCTGCCTCCAAGGCCTATCCTGTCTGGTGTCATGGTGGGGTAGCCTAGTGGTGAATGTGTTCGCTTATTTGACTCCCAGGCTCGATTCCTGTACCCTGCTGTAATATTGCTTGAATATTGCTAAAAGCGACGTAAAACCTAACTCACTCACTGATGTCGCTACTAACCTTGACAAGGCCTTTTGTACCTTCCACCAATTATATTGTTGACTACAGACTTCTCATTTCAACTTCAGCGACACCAACACGCATGGATTGACTTTTACAACCGTGGCTCCTGAACTAGATTGTGATCTTGAGACTCTCTTACCTAAGTGGTTTTCGGTTGCCTCTCCAGTGGAGGATCGTGATCTCTCTCATTTGGATAGCACCGCTCATCGAGCACTCACACTGAATTCCACCATACTGTCGGCAATGGAAGCCATAACTACCTCTGTATCCCATGTCAAAACTTCTGAAGAAGCTTTTATTGGACGGATGTTTGTACTGATTCAGGAGACGTTTTTACCCCCTTGGATCTCATCTTGCACCCTGCTCAGACAGTTACAGCTCTCTGCTGTCGGGGTGTTCTACACTCACAGTGGGGCAATCAATTCAACGTGCTTCCTTTGTCTACTCAGTATATATTTGCTAAAAGGATTCAGGAGGTCGTTCAGGATGTTACACACGACACCCATCTCCAGGTATCATTGGACCTCCTCCAACTTCAAAAGCAGCATCTGGAGGAGCATCGGAAGAGATCGATGTCAACTTCAATTCGTTCCTTCACAGCAAGACCTCCTTGAAGTTCTGGGAGCAAAGACTAGTTCCTTTTGTGGCCTAGGGTGAGGCCATCAAGGACAGCAATGTTATTGGCTCCAAGTCCTCTGGCTGCTCTGTGTCATTCCAGGGATGTCGGCGAGACCTCCAAGTAACTCACATCAGCCATGGGATGACTGGGAACTTCTGCCCCCAGCCGTACCCATTGTAGAGACTCTCGTAGGTGGATGACTCAGTCATCCTGGCCGATCCTGTCATCACGCTCCTCCTGCAGATTGGTTACAGGCTGCCACAACGGTTCGGCGAGTGTATCCAGCCAGCCAGCGCCCGGTGCTAAAAAAAAACCATGCTATACTATAGAACGACTAGGTCCAGAATCCCGTTCTCAAGGGATTTTACTTGCCAGTCTTCCTGGTCCCGAGGAAAAATGGTTACGAATGAACTCGTATCCAGAAGATCCTCTGCAATTTTGCATGACATGTCTCGCGCTCCTTCGAACATTCATCCAAACTGGTGACCACATGGTCAGTCTCGATTTCCAGGACATGTATCTACACTTACCCATCCATCGGGAGTGTCGCCATTTCCTTTTGGTTCATTTTCCAAGGCCGTCACAACCAATGGAAGGTGCCTCTGCCTCTATGCCAATGGCAACAGCTGCTCGGTCTTCTGACTTCAGCCAAAACCATCACTCAGAGAAGTCAACTTTAACTTCGAATGATCTAGTGCTTCCTGAAGCTTACATTTGCCATGTCTCAATCTCCCTGTCGATCTCTCTGGGTCCACATCTCCACTGGTGGCTGGTGATATCGAATGTTTGCTCAGGAGTCTCTTTGCGGCCGTTCATCCCATTACAACACCCCTTTGTCGCTGCACTGGCCGTGGACTGAGGCGCACACTTCCATTATCTACAGGTGGCAGGACACTGGTCCATCAAGAGAAGCGACTCCATATAAACAATCTCAAATTCAAGGCGGTCATTCTGGTCGTGTCCCACTTGGAAGAGCTCTATCGTGTGTCACACCTCATGATGGACAGTCTGTCAGTCTCACTCCCTCCATCAAACCCCTCATCTTTGCATCTGGCTCATCTCCAGAAGTTGCTTGTTGCCAAAGGGTTTTGAAGAGTGTAGACAAGACCATCCCTGATGCTCACCATACCTCTACTAAGACCCTATGTGACCACAAATGGAAAGGGTTCTAAGCCTACTGTCGAGGTCGTAACATCACCCAGCCGACCACTGCTTCTTCTCAATAGGTTGCCGAATATATCCAACATTTGCGATGTACTTGGAAGCTTTGAGGGTCCACTTTGGCTACCTACCTCACTATGATCAACTTCATCATTGCCATAACAACCGGATCCAAGATCTCTTTGGTTGCTGAGCTACAGTCCCTCATTCAGTCCTACAAGTTGGCTGATCAGTCGTCTCTCTTCTGGTCAACAAACACATCATTTTAATTAATTGTTTTTGTCAGCTGAGCTTATGATGGGACCTGTTTGTCGTCCATCATAAAGATATTATTCTAAGAAACCAACAGACCAAATGATGCTGAAACATGACCTTTGTCCCGACCAATGATGACACCCCACTTCTGATTCTCAATATGGCCGCCATGGTAGCCATATTGAAACATCTATTTATGACCATTACTCTGCCTTTTACTTTCCAAATGTTATGAAATTTTGTGCATGCATAGTTAGTAGTTGGGCTTGACAATCTTTTAAATTTTGAACCTGTTGCCTTTAAATTGTGTCAAAATGCATATTTGGCTCTGTAAACATCTTCATGTCCTGACGATTTATTGTAAAAATATTTGAATATCAATGATGCAACAACTTTTGTTATGTGTCTCTTTCATTTGGCATATTAAACAGTTGACGACATATCCAGGTGAGCTACAATGCTGTGGCACTTTTCTTTTTGGATTTTGAAAAATGTGGGGCAGGCTCACTGGCCTTATTCTTTCCTGTGAAAAAAATTGAAGCAGAATGTGAGTATGTCTTTTCACATTTTGTCCTCTGAAATAATAACGAAATGTTGGTTTGAATGCTTCAGCCATTACTTGGAACCGAGAATACAAGGAAATCTCTCAGTCATCCCACAAGCCTAATCGCATTGATCACCCTGCCCATGCTGGGGAATGGCTACTCAATTTCCAGGCACAGAACAAGCATCTCCTGAAGGACATCAAGGTGAGGGACCATGTTCATGTTGTCTGTCTATCGTAATAATGTCAACATCACAGCTCCGTTGAATCTAGTTTGTACACCATACTACTTTATGTCTGAATGGTTTGAAATAATATTTCATTTTGACCTAATTAGACTTTGTTACGATTGAAGTTTGGGTCATATGATAATGACATGAGGCCCTCTTTGAGTGGGTGTTGAAGCTGTGTCATATTTGTGGAATTTTTAGAGACAATATGTATATGTGTATCCCAATTTTAAACAAAATGACCATTGTTTCCCAATTTGATTGTCAAAGGCACTTAGTTTGGATAAGCCCCTGCAGTGGGAATCATGTCCTCATTACGGTTTGCTTGTCATAACACCTCAGAAAAGAGGGGTCTGCTGGTCTCAGGTCCTCAGTACCCTTTGCTTGTCATAACACCTCACAAAAGAGGGGTCAGGTTGTCAGGTCCTCAGTACCCTTTGCTTGTCATAACACCTCACTAAAGAGGGGTCTGCTGGTCTCAGGTCTTCAGTACCCTTTGCTTGTCATAACACCTCACTAAAGAGGGGTCAGGTTGTCATGCTTTGTAATGGTTCTGAAGTTTTCCTACTTTCACTCACTTGTGTGCCTGGCCTAAACTTGGTATTTACAGAACTAATATTGCTGTATCCTGGATGAAACAGTATTCACTCTCATTCACTGACCTCTTACATCCTCTGAAACAACACTATTTATACTACCAAGTTAATTGTTTCCAACAGATTCAGTCTTCCTATTACTGGACAAAACGTGAATCAGCAGAAAAGGGAACGCCACTCCTAGACATTGTTGAATTTGTAAGTACCCATCTATGCAAGGGCCACGATATTACTACAGAAGAAAGGTATCCATGCATTTCTGTGTTTTGGTGTCACTATAAGTTTTTTGTAAACCTCCAGTGACATCATCCTGTTGTTGTCCAGTGTGAGTGTACCACTAGGCTACAGAGGTGCTGACAAATCACGATGCTTTTAACAATGTCTTTTTAAGTACCGTATGCCAGCAACAGATATTTTACAATTGCTTCATAGGCTTCATGGAAAGTAAGTTTGAAACATGAAAAGTTTCTTATTTTGGTATAGGTATAAGTTAGATAAAACACTTAGCCTCAGGTTTTTATGAGATTGAAAACCCTCATCCTCGGGATAAAACCTTGGGATAAAACCTCGGGACTAATGCCCCTCAGTTTTCCCCGTGGTTTCAGACATTAAAACTCTCTCTTCATCCTACTCTTAAAACATGCATAATAAATTAGTCATGTTTGGTTCAGTTTTCTTTGCATAACAGTGTGTTATTGTGTGAAGCGTCACCAGTGCTGATTCCTGTTTGAACAGGGTATGAACCGCATCAAGTTTGCCGCTGACTGTGTGGGAGTCATTCTCAAGGAGCTGAAGCAGCACGCCAATCAGAAACAGTAGGCAGTCGTTTCAACGTATTTCTCTAAACATACCAAGGAAATCTGGCATTTGTTTCTGAAGTTTGAGTCTTGTGTAGTTATTCCAAATAAGCCCTCAGTACCCTATGCTTGTTGTAAGAGCTGACCCCCGTGAAGATCTGGGTTAGAATTAATCTTCGGCAACCCATGCTTGTTGTAAGAGGCGACTAACAGGATTGGGTGGTCAGGCTCACTGTCTTGGTAGTTGGTCTAGACACGATTGTTTACAGACAACCATCATATAGCTGGAGTATTGCTGAGTTTGGTGTTTAATAACAAACAAACTTGTCAAGATATGGTAACAATGTGTGACTTAGCTGATGGTGGTGTAACTTGGCTCATATATGATCCTTTACAGAAGCATAAATGAATATTCACTCACTCAAATATATGAAAGTTGGTTTATCATATAATGAATAGTGTTTTAATCACCTCATACCAATCTGATAAACATTGTATCAGGATCTGATAAATATGCAAATATCAGGAACTGCTTTTAATCTCCATAGATTGATTCAATGTCTGCTTCCTCAATAAATTATTGACAACTGTTCTGAGATATCAGAGATATATGCTGTATGTAACGTTACTTCTATGAAATTATGACTTAAACAATGATTATTGTGAAAATGACATTATATGATAATGAGATCCACACTCAGCTAAAAATCTCTATGACTTTGTTTACCATTGTGTTTCAGGATTAAAGTAATGGTTGCTGTTGATGGAGTGAATTCATTATGGGCTCCAACTAAAATAAGAACAGATGAAAAGGAAATAGTAAGAGACCAACATATGTTGAAGATTGGATGAATGGATTTATATGTCAATACAGACCTAATTAAAAAGATGGCTTTGTGGCAATGGTGACATGATTTGGTCCAAACCAAATTCACTCACTCAATAACGTGAAGGTGACTTCTTTAATGATTACTATCCTGCCATGATTCTATGCAGTTTGTTTCTTCTCTTTGATACCCATACAACATTGAAAACAGCTCATCTGAACGCACGCCGAAAGTCGGCCATGCATGGAGTTTGCTGACCTTGTTGATCTCCTGCTTTGTATCGCCATGCAGGATGGAAGTGGGTTTTTTTCTTGAGCAAAGACATAATCATTACTTCTGTTCTTCATATTGCTGTTGCTATTTTAGGCCTATATTGTGTACAACAGATTTGTCGGTTTCGTTATTCGCATCACATTAACTCGCATTTGGGTGTTGAACATTGGTCTTTCATACTTGTGTAGTGTGTCCAGTGTTTGTGCACTTTCATGGGTCTAATGGTGTCATCATTTTACTTCCTTCCTTTTACAATGGGTGTGCCTGCTTGTCTACGCTTGCATTGTCACCCGTTACGTGGCCTCTTCGGCGACATTATCCGGGGCTGTTCCTGTCCCCTCAACCTCTATGTCTCCAGCACTAGCAGTTACTCTGGATGTCACAGAACCTCCTGCAGGAGATTCCTGCAATCGACGGGGGGCACGGGTAGCCCAGTCGTCTTAGGCGCCGCGATTTGTTGTGCAGAGTTGCGTCCCTTGGGCATGCCAGAAACCTATGATTGTGGGTTCGAATCCCGGTTCGCCCCGATTATGTTTCTAGGTTTGTCAGCACCAAACCCGTGCTCATGGGTTTCACCGAAGTGGTAAACGTCTGAGACCTGCATCACCTCAGGCTTTCCTCCCACGTTAAGCTGACACGCTGCGATATAACTGGAATACTGTTAAAAGCGGCGTTAAACCCAACTCACTCCTGCAATCGACTGAGTTGGGATACCCATTTCTGCACCTGCTGAGGTGCCTGCAGCTGCTCCAGTTGCTTCTGCGTCTGACGTGGACCTGGTCAAGAAGTCAGGGGCAGTACGATTGCCATGTTGTAGCAGCCATGAACACTGTATTAGCATCTTCCCCAAATTGCAAATTAAGCAAGGATCTGGAAGTCTCTGCTATTATCAAGAGTTTCCAACACAAGTCACCTTTGAGTGGGGTGAGCTTGCCCTGGTGCCTTAAAAACTCATGTTGGATGACCATAGGTTTACGATTTCTCCTTAGCCTCCATGCAGGTTCCAACTTTTCCTTTAGGTCAAGATTAGTTTTTCTCCTAGGTTAACTGCTTGGGTGCAGTCAGAAACGCTTGCTTCATCATGTGAAGTTCTATCGATGGTATCTCATGTCTTTAGTACCACCCTTGCGGGGACTGGTGGACCCACCCTGCATTAATTTATCATGTGTAAAACAGTGACATTGTTCTATTTGTACAAAGACAAAAAATATAAATTTGTACATTATTTAGGGACTGCTCGTTAATTATTGGTGCGTGTGTGTGTGTGAGTGGGGGGGGGGGGAGGTGTGTGTGATGGAAAAATGTTACATGAATTTGGTGGCGCTGTAAAAAATTGTTACATAAAATGGGTGGGGGTAGGGGATATAGTATTTTTGTATTTAAGGTGGAGTCATCATTGAGAATGTTTACAAGACCCTATTGTTTCATTATGTCTCTTTCCCTTATATGTTATAGAGCTCTTATGGCTAATGGTTCTTATTGCATGTTTGTAGTGATTATGCCACGAGGTTTTTCATTCTTGTTCAAATGTGATCGTCTCTTTTCAGGTGCCAGCTTCAAATATATCATTAGTGCATAATTTCAAGAAGATTTTAAAAAGTGATTGGGTGAGTAACACAGTTGAGAGCAACATTTCAAGTCAGTTTTATGTCACTTTGGAATTACTTTCGAAAGATTAAGTTTTCAGGTTTTAATGAACAAGTATCTTAGAAGAAAAAATTTTCATTCCCTGTACCGGTACTTCTTTTGGTATATTATTGAATCCACTGATCAACATTAACCTATGAGAAGCAATGATTCTATTGTTGATATAATTTCACACATGACAAAGTTTCTGTTTTCAACTTGTATACTTAGTTTGACGAAATTCATCTTCCCGAGGCAAGTGAGTTAACTGACTATAAAAGTCCAGTTTCCACCCTTGCCAAACTAGGCTGAAATATGGAGTTACATTTTGGCTGGACTAACAACTCTATGCATAGTCCGAACAAAATCATGCAACAAAATCAAAATCTGGGTCGTAAACTGTAATGCAGATTTTGGTCGATTGCAGGATTTACAATGCATGTGCCCCGCCAACTCGTCAATAGATATTTCCTAAATCTTTTCATGTTTTTAATCAAGGTGTTCACATGATTTGATGCATTTCGCAATGTAAGACTTGTTTTATCACAATTATAGATTTTTTTTATCCATATGATCGTCTTGACCAGGCTGCCATTTTGTTTGAAACAAATGCAAGTGATACAGGAGGTGGAGTATGATTGGTCTTAGGAGAGGCATAGAAGGGACATAACTCATTATAGCCACTAGTGGCGCTTCGGTCAAGGTGGAATTCTAGCCTAGTTTGGCAAGGATGGAAACTTGACTTTTAAAGTCAGTTAATTCTTGCCTCAGGAAGATGGACATTTTGATGAACATAAACATCTGAAACATTTTTTTCCAACTTTCTCACTATTTCTGTCCCTGATAAAATATCAACCAAAATAATAAAATACTTGTCCAAGTAATATCACTGTTGGAGCCAATATTGGATAAGAAAACCAAATTCATTCACTCACTCAATCTTACTTACATATTGATTTGTTGTAGACAAACGGGGTCATTGTATGTACGGTAGATCCCATGGCCAATACTGATGATCAGAGAGAACACGATACACCACAGTACCTACTGGGAAAGGAGGTGAGTCTTGACATGGACACGATCCAAACATTCTGTTTGACCTGCCTGAAAGCAGAGCCTGTCTCAGGTTGTGGGTTTGAAGTGATGATCGGGTTTCTCAGTGACCTACCTCGCTGATGGTGTCACTGTCATCATGCCCTAATAAGAGTGGATCACTGCTCATACGATCAGCCAGATTTGTCTGGCCACGAATGGATCATTGAGTTGTGACATGGCTGGAATATTGCTGTCACATAAAACAATTACTCCCTCACTTATGCTTTTGACTAGCTGGCATGTATGAATATGATTCCATAAACACAAGAACTAAATTTAGATTGAAACAAAGCTTATTATTTGTCTGTCATGGATTTGTGCATGTCATTGTAGGGTTTTGAGTGCATGGATCCATTTATCCCAGTGCTAGTGCCATATTACACCGAGAAGGAAGCTTACAGCTGTATTCAGTACTTCATTGACATGAACTGGATCCAAACACCCGAAGGTGAGATTCCCATCAATACTTCTCATACATGATTAAACTAAAGACAGCCTTTTATAGGCATGTTATAGCCACTTGCTAAATCTCTAATGGCTCTCTGTCAGTTAGGGGTAGAATAGGTCTTCAGCAACCCATGCTTGTCGTAAGAGGCAACTAACGGGATCGGGTGGTCAGGCTCGCTGGCTTGGTTGATGCATGTCATCAATCCCAATTGCATGGATCAATGCTCATTATATCAATCACTGGATTGTTTGGTCCAGACTCAATTATTTACAGACCACCGTCATGTAGCTGGAATATTGCTGAGTGCGGAGTTAAACAACGAACCAACCAACACTGTCAGTTATCATAGTTAAACTTGTACCAATTTTAAATGATGAAGTCATTCATTGGAGCACTTCCAGTTAGTTACATTCATATATTCTTTTAAAGATTGTTTTTGAAAACATTTATGTATTTTTTGTTCCATCATGTCTGACTACCAATTTCATTAATTCTATATTTTGTGAAACTTAAAATGCTTTAATATGTCAAATGAACAGAATGATTGAAATTGTATATTGTAGTATTTTATTGATTTACCGTTGTCTTGTCAGTTGTCATGCCTGCTTCTGAAGTAACAGCCATATTTAATATTGTATTGAATGCTGAGGTTAAGTACGGTGTAATACAGTGTCTGTTTCTAACCTCATTTGAAATGAAATAACTATTCAAATATTTGAGTAAAGACAAAACATTACAAAGTTACAACACTCAATGGCTCAGAAATAATTCTTAATACAATTGTTGACATTTGCAGTCTGGGCTTACTCAGACTGATTTGCTTACTGTCTGTCATGTTTTTCCTGTATCAAAGATTCAAACCCAAGATTTTGCTGACAATGGCGTCAAACTCTGAATGCTTGCTCACTCATTTCAATGATAACTTTGAAGCGCACAGAACCCAGAGTGAACATTCCAGTTTGGATCAGTTGTCCAGTATGCCATGCTTGTCAAAAGAACAGACTGAAATGGTGCAAGGTGGTGCAATGGCTCCTGTGTTTGAATACTTCTGTGTTTGGTAGTTAAAGGCAGGCTATCTCATTAAAATCAGACCTATTATTGACATAATACCTCTCTGTTTGAATATCTGACAACACCGCCATGATCGATCATGTCAGGTGAACCCTGAGCGAATTAAAAAGAGTGAAAAATACCACTCTTTCACTATGTTGTCTACAAGCAAGTGTTATGCAATTCTTAATGTGACTTGTGTCACATGACATGAAATGTTGTTAATATTCTCCTATTTATTTTACAGGAAAAACAGAAGATGGCAAGAAAGAGTTAATTTTCCTGAGCAATCAAAATCCGTACTTATTAACACGAATTTGTGCAAGTAGATAAGTGTTTGTGTGTGGTACAGTTGCTCTAGTTTCTTAAAAGCAACAGTGGCATCAATCCAGGTGTCAGAAGGTCACCTGTATCAGAGATGGCCACTGAAGAAGTGTTTATGGAAAGCAAAGAGTGGACAGAGTGACCACTCATACTGACCAATCATCGGTGTAACAAGTTTTTTCAAAGAGACAGTTAAAGATGTCAAGTGAACTTTCAATCTTAATAATGAGCTTGTCAAAGGAATTTGGTGTGAAGTAAATTTGCTGAACTTTCTTTGAAGTTGAACTGAACTAAAATAACTGCTAGTACAAAAAATGGACCCACTGTGTCAATGATGAGATGACTAATGGACAGCTAGTTTGATGGTAATAATATTGAATATTATTGACCACAGCAGTTTGTGTGTGTGTGTATGTCACATGGTTCATAAAGAAATGTGACCAAAACAGTGCATCACCAAATCAATTGGTGTTTTCTGTTTGGTCAGACAAGATTTAGGCAACAACAAAAATGATAGATGTAATAGAGTCTCTACCTGTAACCAATTATCAATGGTTTACCAAAGGCAGTCAGTCAGTCAGTTCCAGTCTATTTGATGAAACAATCCCAGCTTATAGGCCGATGTGTGTAAGACAATATTTATATCAGTATTGTCTTCCCATTGAGCAAGTAGTGAACATATTTCATTATCACATTATCAGTGTCTCATGGCATAGTGCTAACATAAACAACCCTGTAAATAAAGAAAATATAAATAAATAGCCATTGCAATATGTTTTTATTCATCACAACAAATAATAATGCTTCCTATCTTTCGTTACAGCTGTTCAATTTGCTATGAAAGCTACATAATCTTGAGAAAACAGATCGTGGATATCCTCTTCAGTCAAGTTTTGGGGGTCCATTGAAAATATATGTAGTTATATCATTTCTTAAGCTGAATGCTGATATTAGATGATGGTGCTGATGCTACCAGTACCAGAAGTCCATCATCATAGTGATGTGTCAAGCTCAAGAAAACCGTTTCTCCATCTACAGGGACCCGTTTCTGACATATACTGGAGTCTTATGCTCAAAATGAAGAAGTCTTTGAAGTCATTCTTCAGTAGGTTTTGAAGTGTTTTTTGGTTTCCAGAGTTTGCGAAACCATCTCTCCTCCTCTTGCAACTGTTCCACAGATGCTGATCCCAGCAAGACCCTGCCAGTAGGGTAGAGTTGCTGGAACTGAGGCATTATCAAGGACAAATATAGGCAACCTCCCTCTTTCCTTGACAAAGGCATTCAGACTGATTGACATACTCCTGAAACAAGTAACCTTTACCTAGTCAAAGAATTTGTTTGTTGTTTAACTCCACACTCAGCAATATTCCAGCTATATGATGATTGTCTGTAAATAATCACGTCTAGACCAGACAATCCAGTTACTGACATCATGAGGATTGATCTAATTGGGATACGATGACATGCATCAACCAAGTGAGCGAGCCTCACCACCCAATCCCTTTAGTCACCTCGTACGACAAGCACAGTCGCCTCTAACGGCAAGCATGGGCTGCTGAAGACCTATTCTCTACCCGGACCTCCACGAGGCTGGGTATCGGAAACACAATGAAACCTCACCGCCTAAAGAAACGTGAACCCTAGAAACATATAGAAGTATGCATGTTAAGGAGAGATGTTTCTAATGTGTACCAATTAATGACAAGACTAACAATCAGGCAAGTGTTACCTCAAAGTGACTTTATTCTTATCACAATATGCTCCACTTGATTTCCAAACTTTAAACGCTAATCCTGCACAAGACAAATAGTGCATCTCGAATCATGGATCTATGACGCCACACGTGATGCGTTCATGAGCATCGGTTCAACGTACTAGTATGTTCGTTTTTGCATCCACGCAATCTAATATCTCTTGAATATGAGTAAGTCTCCATATATTAACCAACATGTATGGCATTCACATTTCTTCAGGCAGTCATTATATAACAGAACTGGTAATATATATCTGCTGTAAAAGACAAGCAGAGTGCTCACACCAGGCTATAGTGCCAGTAAGCATTTTGCTGGGTCTGAGTAATAGGTAATGACAAATGAGTACTCAAGGCGATTTTTTTTTTCCTTCCAGACAGTCCTAATGAGATATCGCATTTCAAACAGTAAACATAATGTCCAAGACATGCAACTGTTCGCATATCACCTAGTTGCAAAGAACAATGAACTTAAGTTTACTGTGCTAAATGACCTATGCATCTATGTATATGCTCTAACAAGTCCACCTGTTGCCGATGATGTGATGTAAAGAATTTTGCTGCATGTATTTCTGATTTGAATCAAAGAATAGGGATACAAAAATTGTCCTGACAACAACAGCGCGTATGAACACAAGTTCTAGGAAGGATACAGATGTGCTTTGTTTTCTGTGGAAGTTTGGTAGATTGAGATGTGGAAGATTCTCAGACACTGAAAAAGGTGTCCAGCATGGTATGTTATGTGTGGAGTGTCTCTGAAATGGAAAAGCATCAAGTTAGTATCTACAATGCATCTACTTATAGCAATGACCAAACTACATATGGCCATTATTTAACAAACAGTTTTGGGTTTCTGGTATGTGTGAATATTCATATTTTATTAAATTTGACTGTTTGCTTATATAAATAAAAGTCAGACTGAAGTGATGATGTCCTGTTACAGTGGCGCAATAAAATCTGGTAAATATTCCAGCTACTGTAAATCATGAAACGACGTAATCGAGCCCTAGATGTAATGCTTCTCATCAAGTACCGTGTCAAGTGTGGTCAGTTTGTTTACACAAGATGGTGGAACAGTTATGACAGTCACCAAGGATTGGATATAAAGGTATCTTTGTTCTTGTCAACCTTGTAAGAAATAATCTCATAATTACAAATAAAACACGACTACCCACTAGGGCTGTAACGCTTCACCGATACCTAAGATATCATCGATAATACACTGTTGGTGTTGTCACTTGCTGATTAGTCTCTAAATTTTAAAGTAAGGGATACTCGCATTAATTTCATTTTGCATATTAGGCTTGACGTCGACAGTTTAGATCATCCAAGAAGACTAAACATAGAGCATTACTCAGACAATACACACGTTGTCAAACACAGCACCAGATGAGGTGTAACATGCGGGTGAAACTTTAGCATACAAACATTTTCAACTTCAACATTCAGATCCACATCTGGCTCCTGGACCTGAGTTTCATCTGTGTTTTTCATGGGAGAGGATGTCTGTTCTCTGAAATGATTAGAAGAAATGCTGCAAAACCAGAAATACTTTCAGATTTGTGCTAAACTGGAGAACTGTTGTTGCCGTCATCTTGTGGCCTATGACTCCCTTAAAGGGCAAGTTCACACGGAAATTAACCTATTTTTCTTGTACTTTTTCCACATTAAAAGTGTTAACCTAGAAGTGTCATAGACAAAAATATAAAAATATCACAATTAATTAACATATTTTTCGCATTAAAACGATTTATATTTTTCACATTTACCAAGTGTTCTATTTCCACAACAAAAACACCATGGCTTATGCCCCTTGCAATATGACGTCATTGGTGCCAATTGATAAACATTATGACGTCATCATGCTTTGTTAGAGCCCTTTTACGTGGTGTAGGTCTAGATGTGTGATTCTAGCGTCTCAGATGCCAGCCAGCATAGTGTTATGCTGAGTCACCACTGGGCGGAGTGTGTCGTAGACCATGTTGTTTTACCGCAAACTGGTACTTGATATCTTTTGCGTTGAGAATAGACAGGGACCCAGTTGAATTGGCACCAATTACGTCATAATCTAAGGGGGATAACTCAGGCCTGTTTAGCTCGATAAACGAAGGCCTCATAACGGCATATCATTTTCACACTATTGTGAGCTTCCTACTTTCACTGTGAAAAAAATGAGTGTATATTTTCAAACACAGATACTAATTACCGTATTCGACGTAATAAGCGCCCCGCTCTAATAAACGCCCACGGCGATATTTGCTAATATATTGGCTAGTAAACAATCCCAATTAGCACCCCTTCCGATTGATTAATGTACACAAGACTTATTTATTCGCGTATAATACGCACTCGTTATATGCACACTTAATTATTATCAGGCTGTCAGTATAAACCACGAAATTTATCTTTCAACTCAACTTTTTTTTCACCAAAATAATATTCTAATTTTGAGAGCGCCCTGGGCGCTTATTACGTCGAATACGGTAATTCTAAAATTGCGTTTTGTTTAGAAAAAGAAAGAAAGTGATTTTTGCGTGTACACTTCCCCTTTAACATTGATAGATTTGTCTGGCTTTCAAAGTTAACCTTTGTATATTTTATCTGCCCACAAATTGAATTTGGTTGAAAAATAATCATTTGGAAACTGAGGCATGTTTGTTTATTACCTTTCATATACTCAATATTGACATATTTCTCGGTTACTCAGCTTGACCTTCCTTTCATAAAGGACCTTCCATAAACCAGTAAGAATTCATCAATATTTGTTTAAGATACCATCCACAACCAAAAAGTGGGACAGTAGGAGACGTATGCCTTGTATGAGTTCTACTGGATTACAAACATCTTCAACCACCATATAAACATATCCTTGACATTGATATCAAGTAAATTGGAAAAGTATGTGTTGTCATATGTAAAAGAAAATACAGGAATGACCAGTCTACTGAGCATTTCTACACTATTGTTTGGAGTCATAGTTGGTGACCGTTTGCTTCATTGCATAAACACACTATTTTACAGTGTTGAAATTAAGCAAGAAAATCATTGATTCCTTGCTCTAACTCTAGTGTTGAATACTTGAGATTGATGGGATGCTACTAGACTGAAATAATACAAGAGTAAATCTCACAATTCTCCAGGATTGCCCATAATTTCCAAAACTGATTTCGTATATTGTTGATATGCAATGCATCATTACTAAAAGATATTGACTTGACTTGAACCAATTTGAAACTTCAAAATTGTAAAAACAATATTGCAAATTGATTTTGGATTGATTTAGTACTTATTGAATGAAAGATAACATTGAAGAAAATTTAAAATGATCTCTGATAAAATGGACAAAATATTTCTGTGTGTCATACTTGCAAAGTTGGTATTTCTTGGTCCTTTGTCTTAGTTGACGCAGATGATAGTCAATACACATGTGTTTCTCTTCAATGTGACTCTTCTTTACAGTTTTCTTATGCTGGACCTTTCTGGAAATATAGATGCTTAATAATATCAACTAAATTACAATAGCTTGCTGTCCTTTCAAGAAGGCCCACAGGGGATTCAGGGGAAATAGTGATCACCAGCACCTCATCCTTGAGGGTATGTTGTTTTACATTGTAGCCTTTGGGGCTCTGACTGGTTCTCAAGTATTCAAGCACAAGTTGGGTTTAGATGAACTGGAGCCTGATGTAAGGGACTCAAGTATCGATCCTGGGATGAAAACTCCCCTCACCAACACACATGCTACAGACATGGAAGATAAAGTGTAGTGTCTGGACACATTTTGACTCAGATAATGGTCAGAAAAGAAGACAAAATGTCTTTATATATGGTCAAGTTAGTCCTATGTGAATCGCAACCCGTGAAGATCCGGGTTAGAATAGGTCTTCAGCAACCCATGCTGGCCATAAAAGGTGACTATGCTTGTCGTAAGAGGCGACTAACAGGATCGTTTGGTCAGGCTGGCTGACTTGGTTGATGCATGCCTTTGTATCCCAATTGCGTGGATTGATGCTCATGATATCAATCACTGGATTGTCTGGTCCAGACTCAATTATTTACGGACCGCCGTCATATAGCTGGAATATTGCTGTGTGTGGCGTTAAACAACAAGCAAGCTATATGAATTGCATAATTGCATCTTCACATGCATGCACTTAATAACCCAAATCGCCAAAAAGCAAAAAACAATTATGAGGGAAAAGTTCTGGGAACACATTTCACATGTTTGTGTTGAAAAACCAAAATTTTTTCAAGGAAGATGATGACATTTCACTGGAACAACACACAATCACCATTTAACAATGATAAAAACTGTTTTTACATCATTAACATGTGTATAGAACCATGAAAAACAGAAGTTTAAACATACTCTGTAGTGAAATAGGTGGTTATGCCTAGATCAAAGTATTGTTAGTTTCAAATTGGGATTTTTATTAAATACTCAGGAACTCCTCATTTGCAGACACTCGATTTTATGTAACATTTTTTTAACCCCACCCGCCAAATACATGTCACATTTTTATGAGCACACACCTACCTCATCCTTTGACCCACCCTATAAAATAACAAATGACTGGCTCTTTATAATTTTTAATTTTTTTATTTAAAAAGATAGATCTGTGTCCTTTTTTCATGGCCACCCTCAAATGGTTGTGAACGTTCTTTGCGATGACACCCCCACCCCACCCAAATCCCCCAGCCAATAAATGACCAGTCCCTTATTATGTTTAACACTGCACTAATTGCAATAATGTAAACTTCCCCGTAAGCATCAAAGCCTTTCCTCCTTGGTTCTGTTATCCGCTAAGTAATTATAATAATTATACTAAATATTACTGGGAATTTTTAAATTCAAATTGGGGAATATTAACAAATATTTTATGAAGATTTGGAGCGGAATATTGGCCTCTGAGAATGCCTAAATAAATGACAATGGATGATTGCGATGCAATATTTAGTCTGTGAGTGTGTAACAGTTTAGGAACTCACACATCATCTTATGGACGAGAGGTCTTGCATAACTTTCTTTCTTCAATGACAAGATGACTCTACCTCAGCTTACTTGGATGCGGCAGATGATCACATGATAGAGGAGGATAAATATTTTCAAAGTCAAAACTGTCTCCCTTTCTCCTTTTCATTCCATGGATGACGTCCTGCTGGAAAAACAGATCAACCAGCGATATCAGTCTCCCGACTGAAAACAAAAAAGCCACTTATCACCTGCTCAAATTCATTCCAAATGGAAAAGAAAAATCTGTGTTAACACCAGCTTGCTAGACGAAGGAAGTTGGATTATGTTCAAAGTTCTCAAAAGAAATGAAAGATAATTGATATTTAGATATGTTTAATTTGTCAACACTAACCCAACGTGACGTCAGTGAATTTACAGACATATCATGTAGCTTTGGTAGTCCTTATACATTTTCATAACAACACTGCAAGTTTGATTGTCACTTTGAATGTAATATATTGTAATTTTCCTTTGATTAAAGTTATTAAAAGCCCAAATATACTGACTGTAAAAATTATATAATGAAAACCTTCCAAGCCTTGTAACTTGACCTCCATATAAAAGGACCAACTAAAGCTGCATGAAAGTTATAACTTAGCACTCCCGATTGGTGAACTGATAGCCATACACTTAAGGGGATGTATCAAAATTTCAAGTCTAAACACAATTTTTTTCTTTACGTGGTGGGTGGCCCTTGGAAGCATTTGTTTGCATAAAGACAAAATTCACTCTTATACTTTATGCACTCTCTGAGAGGGTTTCACTTCAAATAATTGCCCATCAGTATGTCTGATAAAATAGAGCAATACTTTTTTTTATCTTTGTTGTACTGATAAATGCTGGTCAGCTGGAGAAAAGAAGTCAGACAATAATAAATTTGTTACTCTTCAAAATGTTAACTGAATATTTTGCCATGTTCTTAATGTTGGTTTTACAGCTGAACTTTTTGTACACATGTTTTAGTGATAAACACTTCAGTTCGAAGCTGACTCAATAAAAAAAAAATATATATATATATATTATTTCCACTCAGATCTGTACACCAATTTACAAGATATCACTGCTTGAAGCAAATTATCCACAAATCTATCAGTTGGTTAATTCTTTTTATCTTTGATTATCATATCCCTCATTCCATGTGAACAGCACTCTTTATCACATTTTTCTTTTTTTACTCTCTGCTTAGGAGAGGTTCACGTTTATTGTCTTTCACACATTGTTTGTGAGTGAAGGCAGGTGAACAGGGATCCAGACATGGGGAATTGACCTGCACACTTTTGACACAGCCCCACCCTACAAGTGAAGTGTTTTCCAATTAAAGCTCTCAAACACTAAAAAATATTCAGTGTACAAAGTAATGCACACAGGCTACACATGTGACATTGGTGCAATTAAAAAAAATAATGTATTTACCTAAAAGATCAAGTACATACACATTTAACGAGTGCAGTGATTTAAAAAATGCCCTGACAGCTAAACAATCTGATTGTATAGTGTCATGGGAAAGCTTACACATATTATATTTCAATGTTCACTGTTAGAGATGAAATAAATATGTAATGAATATAGATATCAAAGGCTCAAAATGTTTGTTCTCAACAAGAATGAAAGAAATTCCTGTAAAGACCCAAGATCAGAATTTCACGGAAAAGAGTTTCCATAACCTTTCACAAATAAAGAAATAATATATTTGCACACACAATTGATTCAGACCCTCTCTACAGCTGCCAAATACATGTCTGTTGAAAACAACCAATTCACCTCACACATTCACCTGTGCTGAGTACTGCTGACAATCATGGATGTCACAATATTGTGTATCTGGGTAGATTTCCTAAGCTCCACAGAGATATCAAGGCCCCTACCATGAGTACTATCACGGACCTGAATAATGTTGTCCGTGGTACAGGGGAGTGAGTGAGTATGGTTTTACGCCACTTTTAGCAATATTCCAGCAATATCACGGTGGGGGACACCAGAAAAATGGGCATCACACATTGTGCCCATGTCGGGAATCGAACCCGGGTCTTCGGCGTGACGAGGGAACGCTTTAACCACTAGGCTACCCGACTGCGGTACAATGAATTAGTCATATGCTGCAATGAACCCTCCCACAAAGTCTGCTTCTTGGCACTCCTTGTGCTGTAACATTTACAAATCCACTGAATCATGCCATTCTGTTCAACACAGAATATAGCATTTTCACAGAGTGCAGGGTCCCAGTATCAGCATATCGGAGTCAATATTCCTCTGACATGATGAATTAAACAGGAATGAAACGCATGTGAAAAATTGCAATTCTGATCTTGCATGTAATTACATGTTTCAATCATCAGAAATTGAGGAAACTGTTCAACTTACCACAGGTTCCTCTTCGACATTCGGGCCTTGTCTTTTGGCAAGACCAACCATGAAAGCGGGATAGCTAAAGAGAAAATATGAACACTATATTTGGCCTATATAAATTAATTGATTCTGAATACATAGTTTAATAATTACATCAGTATGGCCTGTTCATGGGTAATTATTGTCTTCTTACAAAAGGATGGAGATGAATTATTGGAAAAAGAATTCGACTAATATTTTTACAATTATATAAATAAATATATTTGGATAAGCACCCAACATTAAGTCCTTATTTGTGTAATTATGAGCATATTGGTACCACTATTCTGCCATGCAAAGTACTAAAAATATCAATACCATATTGATTTGAGAAGAAAATTAATGACTGTACATCATGAATTTAAGTTTTAAAAATATTTCATTCAGATGTGATCTTTGAGTGACAATTTCAATTAATAATCGAGAAGCAAGAATTCAAAATGAGTTTCTTTATTATATCAATATATATCTGTACTGAAATGCTATATAGACAGAAATTTAATGTTTACTTATTAATTTATTTAGTATTCAATACTATTCATCAATTGTTTCAGCAAATATAATATGATATGATATGAATAGGATAACTGTGGCTGCCACTCGCACCTCTGCTGTGCTGGTTGGGGTGTGGCTACAGGCATGGCTTCGGGCGGTGCCCCCATCAGCACCTCCTGCTCTTCAGCTGAAGAGTCTCCAGGTCTCTTCACAGTCTCAGACCTCCTGGAACAGGCACAAGGAGAGACTCAACTCTTCAGGCTACAGATTCCTTGGTCTCAGTGACACATAGGGACTGTCAGGATAGGTCAATAGCCTCAAGGAGGACATCACATTTTCACAATGTGCATGCTTTCAGGGAATAAACATTCACCACCAAAAATAAATCACTGGCAACCTATTTCTCAATTTGATCTGCTACAAATGTCATAGTTTGATATAAACACTCTTCTAGAAAAAAAAATAATACAATATTTCCAATTATTAATATTGTCATTTAGCCTCTTTTATGTAAAAAACAATTTTTAACCTGTATAAAATTACATTATGTATTAAGATGAAAGTGTATAAGAATGACAGCAGCAACAATTGTTAGTAACAGTAACAGTTGTATTTATATTAGTTTATGTCAAATGATACTTCAAATTTGATATATTTTGATTTGTGTTATTGGCTGCCATAATAATATTTCTATTGGGGTATGTTGTTTTGGAATCTTTCACTGTATTCCATGTGAATAAATTATGAGTATATTTTTACAATTGATATTATCCCTGGCCAATTGTTTTCTAATTTAAAAAAAAACTACATTAACTTTGCAAAAGAAAAACAAAAGAAATACTGTGGTTGGTTGAAAGAATGCTTATATTCAAATGTCTAATTGTCCTTGTTTTACATTTCACGAAATGTTTTAAATACTTTTTAAAAAAAGGGCCTTTTAATCAACATACATTTCAAATGCAAATAATATTCTTAATTCCTAGCTTGACTTTTGTCTTAAAAGAGTCCCATTCCTCAGGCATACTGGCCGAAATTATATTACCAGGAGTTTTTTTTTTTTAAATGTTCACCCTCTTGGGCTTAGGCACACAGAATAGTTCATAAAGGCAGACTGTATATGATCCAGTGATATATAAAATTCCTTACCACAGAGAAATACAGCAAATGAATATCATTGTTTTAACCATGTAATATTTTTACTAGAATCTAGTTACCTAGTTACTTGCCTAATTTTGTCATAAGTATTTATTCTTTAGTAATTAAGTTTGCATGAACTGAAAACATATTAAACATATACATGTACTGCTCTGGAACAAAGGGAAACATATATATTGTATACTGCTCTGAGCCACTGTGACATTTGCAATCTAATAACATCTTGTCATCATTATTAGTTTTAGACCATGACAAGTATTGCTTACAAAGTTCAAAGTTGAAATAGTAGACTTTAGCTTCAGACTTAGCAAAAGAAGCAGGCTGACATGTTTTCAGACTGTCAGGAATTTGTTCTTGCAAACATGTCCAATGATATGTATAAATGAAGTTACGAGTGGTCATCATGGATGAATTATTATTCAGTTCAGTTATCATTGGTGTGCATACTTTCCAAACGGGATACCATAGGAGAGGTCCATTTCTGCCTTATCTCACTCCATCTGGCATTGGTCCTCTGCAGTTCACAAAAGAGCAAAATAATACAATGAATATAAAATGGGAAAGTCTTAAACATAATTAGTAACATGATTTTCCGGTTGTGGTTTTTTCTTCAACGAGTTACATTTCGACAGGTTAATTTGATGGGTAACATCCTGAAGTTTACACCCCATGAATATTGTATTTGAATCATTTAGTTTCATTTTTAAATACATTATCCTACATTTCTCAGCATATTGATCATATTTTTGTCGTCCCTGACCTATTTGTGTCAAAACCACTTGGACAATAACTATGATTGCTCAAGTTACATAATGACACCCTTACACGTGAGATAGAAACTCGATAGATCACCGGTTACAAATTCGTCTGCTCGCGAAATGCGAGCACATGTTTTGATGACGTTTCTGCTGTGACGTCATCATCTCCATAGTTTTCGAGGAAGCTTCAAAATGGCTGCCGAATGTTGACGTAAGGAAAAAGTGTACGTATATTATTCCTTATGTCACATATCAACAAATAACACAAGTAATATAATCTTTCTCGAAGATTTTAATAAGGTAGTTGAAACATATATTCCTTTGTAGGTAATATTCGGTGAAGGAAATTTGTCGAGTTGAGAATCGTGATCACCGCGCACCTGCCAAGATACTCGATCAATCTTCGTGTTGGGCCTATTTTCCTTTGCATTGGCATTACATGTCACGTAGATATTTGAACAGTGTTTGTTTTTGTGCAGTATGTGTCCTTGTCAATTCATACGAATGTGACAAATTGACCCTTAGGAAACCTACGTTTTTCACAGTTTGGGTTTGATATCTATTAGCAAAAGTCCTCTGTTTGGGGAACTGAAGTTTGGGCTGTATTCAGATAGGCTAACTCTAAATGTGTCAAAATTCACCAGACATTACTATTTAATTATCTTCTCAAACATACTTTTTATGTATTGTTCATTCTTACATATTAATTTGCAATTAAACAAAAGAAATCTTAATTACATTTATGGCAAACAACAGCAGGCTTCCATCAGGTTCTATGTAACATCGAAGCACATGGAACATCTTACAATATATGCATTTTTGGGGAATCCTGACTGATTATGAATATGGGCTGGGACGGGTAACTCAGGTATACGGGTCGGGTGGGTCCTGAGTAGGACTCGGGTACCCACGGGTAGCTATAGCTTAGTGGTTACACTACAAGTCGCTAATGTTCGCATTTCTGTCTGACGATGCACACATTCCTTTTGACTTGTATATGTTTGAGTAAAGATGAAGCTTTAGTAAATTCAGTGTACCCGTGATCTGATCGTTTGATACATGTATCTAAATAGTTTTTGCCAGGGCTGCGGTAAAACAATTTACAATCCGACATTTTGTTCCCAACTCTTGAGACCTACAGTGACTACCCGGGTAGGGTCGGGTAATAGGAGGTTGGGTACCTGAGTAGTAAGTTTTGGACTCGTCCCAACCCTAATCTGAATACCACTTACTGTACGTGAGATAAAATGTGTAATGCTGTGTCATTGGCACATAGTCATTTCTCTACATTGAGATTGCAAATGCTATTCTTACTAAGAAATCTCTGTAGGAACATTTTGCTTCTTTGAAAAAAATGGTCAGGATTACTTGAATGACCTGTTTTGGTTTAATTAGAATTCCTAACTGGTTCAGCACTCACTGATAATGTTCTAATTTATACCCGAAATGCCAAATGTCTAGCAGGGTAACAACAAGTACCATCTTCTAATGTCTTTTGGTATGAAGCGGCCAGGGGATCGAACCACTGACCTGCCGACCCCCAGGCACTTTCTGTCCACTAGACCATGGATGTGGTTACCTTGCACTCTTGATGTTTGGAATGTATTTATTTCATGAAAACATTTTACTAGTTCCATCATTTTTAAACTTCGTCATCCCTAAAATGTACAATATAGTTTAATGATGATTTCTTGATAACAGCCTTATGGTCATGTGTACCAAGCAATCATATTAGCCTTAGGGCTGATTTTGCATATATATAATAATTATACTATTATAATGATATATATGCAAAATCGTCCCTATCAGAAGTGCTTGTAAAATCTGCATAATCATCGTCATCAAAATAATTAACATTATCTGATTATGAATGACGTTTTTGCATGTTTTTAGTTTGTTTTTATTCAAGGTTGATGCCAGTAGATTAGCAGAATGGCAACAAAGTTAAAGATAAAGAAGAAAAAGCCCTCAAGAAGTGCAGCACAAGTTATTCCTTTGGAAGGTAAATCATGTATTTGTTTCAGTCGCAAGTTTCTTGGTCCAGACTTTATTATTTAAGCAGCTGTGATGGAACTGCAATATTGCTGACTGAGATGTTTAACACTATTCGCTCACTCACTCACTTACTGTACTGTATTATTTCTGATAAACACATAAAACATTTCTCTCTCTCTCTCTCCCAAATCATGAGCATCGATCCATGCAATTGGGATACGATGACATGTATCGCTAAGTCAGCGAGCCTGACCACCCGATCACATTATTTGCCTCTTACGACAAGCGTAATCACCTTCAGGGCATGCATGGGTTGCTCAAGACCTATCCTAACCCAGATCTTCATGTGTTCCCTGGGGATGTGTTTGTATTCGTGGACATGCCCCACTATTAGATTTAGTAACCAATCCTTCATTTATGATAAATGTTTTGTTCTTTTTTGTTTTTATGTTAAAGTTATTGAGGTCATGATAATAAATTTATGTAGCATAATTCCTCACAATCAGTTGTGGTGTATTGTGATACCAGTGGTATCACATCACAAGATTTCAGATGACACTCTGTTCCTTCGGCATGGTTAGATGCTTGATTTCATCCCTTCAGATGGAGACTTTAGTTTTCTTCCGGTGACAAACTTCACAGATGTCGATCGTTATGGGGAAACGCAGGGGGAATGTTTAAGAGATGTTTCAAGTAGTTCTAACACAAATGCATTTATACACTTTGTCCATTTTACAGACAAAAATCCACCTGTGGTTGTGTCTGGAGCCGAGGATGAAAATATCTTAGATACAACATTACAGGTTTGTGATATGGACCTTGTTTTACCTCTACCGTATCGGAAGAATGGAAGAAAATATGTTGTGTTATCATTATTTCTGTTAAATGTTCTTTTATCTTTATATAAGTTATCCTAGTTAAGTTGTATCTTCGAATGTATGGAGGATGTGGTAATGTTTGGACAATATTGACCAAAGGGAAGATGCAATCAGTTTCTTGTTTGGACATTATTGACTCAAGGGGACCGATGCAATCAGTTTCTTATATCCCAAAATACAAAATAATGCTGTAGCTCCTGGGAGGTTTGAGTTTGCCAGGGTCGTCTTTCTAAATATATATCTGATTGTTATTCACTGTTACGTTAACAGTTTAGTTGGGAATGTCATTTTTTGACTTATCCTATCTCACACTAGGCATTTCTTCTTTCTTCTTTTGATTCACACTACACAAATACACTTGAACACTTGAACAAAGTTTCCAGCTTCTAAAAACAATTCACCTGAACACAGCCAGTATCACCATGGTCACTACCCAAATAAATGGGTTTTAGCATCATTAAATTTGGGATGTGTCTTTTGTCGGTCCTTTTGAATAATACTCTTTTTCTTTGTCATTATATATTACATTAGCAATTTTTATGGTAACACCTAATAAAAGATTGCAAGAATTAGTTGTTTTTGTGAGTTTGATGAGAATTATTATTGTACACCCTAGGATGAACCTAGCAAGCCTGCACCGCCAAGTCCAGTCAAATACAGGAAGAAGAAGAGGGATAAAAGCATAGAGAAGAAAAAGAAATTGGAAGGAAAGCAAGACGATAAAGATGATAAAGTTAAAACAGAACCTCCCAAAGAAAAGGGTTCACAGGTAATAGGAATTCTCTGGTCTGAATGTTTCAGTTATTACCATGCATTTAAATCTAAGGGTGATATGATGAGGTCAGTATGCTGTCCTGTGTCTACCACACAACGTTTTGTCTGATGCCCTAACACTAGTTTGGAAGTGGGGCAGGAGATATAGGTGTGGGCTTGTCCATCAATCAGTCCTCCGTCCCTCCATCCGACTTCAAGGGGGACAAGGTTTTTCGGAAACTGTTGTAGATACAAGGACACCATTTTTCAGTGTTTGTTTGATTTCACTATTTCTTAACCATTACATTTCCCAAGGTTTCCTTGTTGAAAGCATGTACCGTATTCGACGTAATAAGCGCCAAGGGCGCTCTCAAAATTAGAAATAGGGGTCTCTTATTAGAATATTATTTTGGTGAAAAAAACAGAGTTGAAAGATAAATTTCGTGGTTTATGCTGACAGCCTGAAATGTTTATATACGACAGATATATTTTTCCAGAATTTAATTGCCCATGATTGAGGGTGCATATTACACACGAGTGCGTATTATACACAAATTAATAGGTCTTGTGTACATTGATCAATCGGAAGGGGTGCTAATTGGGATTGTTCACTAGCCAATATATCAGCAAATATCGCCTATTATGGCAATTATTAGAGCGGGGCGCTTATTACGTCGAATACGGTATTTGCACATGCCCAGCATCTGATTAGCAGTCGGTCAGTTCATTCTGTGTTCAAGGATTATGGGTGGTATGTGTGGCACAGTTGTCTCAATCATTCAAATTCATTGTGCAGAGTTGCATAGCTTAGTTAGGCTAGAATCCCATGATTGTGGGTTTGAATGCCGGTTCACCTGATTATCTTTCTAGGTTTGTCATCACCACGCTTGTGGGTTTCACCAAAACTGTAAACATCCTGCATCACTTCAGGTTGTCCTCCCACGTCACCCTGACAGGGTTATGTCACTAAAGTACTGTTGTCGGATCCCAGGTTTGACATCATTATGATTCATGGTTTGTCTGTGACATACCTGTGCTCGTGAGTTGGACCAAAGTGGTTTGGACCTGCATCAGGTCAGGCTTTCCTCTCACATTAGGCTGACAGTGCCATGCCATGATATAACTAAGATACAAGATGGATACTGTTCAAAGTGGCATTCAACCCAACTCACTCACTCGCTATGTTCTTGGGATTCATCATGTTGTAAATACGGGAAAATCCTCTGAAAGATAAATGTCGCAGATTACTGTATTCGACGTAATAAGCACCCAGGGCACTCTCAAAATTAGAAATAGGGGGCTCTTATTACAATATTATGTAATATTATTTTGGTGAAAACTACAGAGTTAAAGGATAAATTACATGGTTTATGCTGAAAGCCTGAAATGTTTATATACGACAGATATATTTTTCCAGAATTTATTTGCCCATAATTTAGGGTGCATATAACACACGAGTGCATACTTTACATAAATAAATAAGTCTTGTGTACATTGATCAATCTCAAGGGGTGCTAATTGGGATTGTTCACTAGCCAATATATTGGCAAATATCGCCGTGGGCGCTTATTAGAGCGGGGCGCTTATTACGTCGAATACGGTATGTCATGTTGCAGCATGTTAATGCCAAACTCTTGCATCCTTTATTTATACAGGAAGTCGACAATGACTCAGTCACTGAGAAGAACCGATCACGACCTGGCACTCCATCCTCCAGACCTGGTACTCCGTCCTCCAGACCTGGAACACCCACATCTCTCACATCCCCGAGAGTTCGCAGGAGTCCTTCCCCATTCAACAAGAATGTTGTGGAGCCGCTGCCCCAGGGTGGCACCTCCAACATGGGTAGCGCAGTCTCCATCAGGTCAACCTTGTCCGCCAGAGGTAGGCATTATACTGCTATGTTAACATGATTTAATTAAGAAATAAATGACGAGTGGGAGTTGTTTATCTTACAATAAAACATGCCGGGAGAGTATACCATAAGGGGCGCAGCGTTTATTTCTTATTTTAAAAATATCAACATTATGTACAGCTTCTTTAAAGATGATGATAAAATGTACAAGCTGCGTTGCCTAGCTATATCTATGGGGAACAACTTTCTATACATTCCCCTTTTAAAAATAATGTCATCCAATATACAGCATCATCAAGTTGCAAGTGCATGTTCAATCTCCAGAAATAACGTCATGATAGAACAATGTTTTATCGTAAAATAAACCATGCTTTCTTCTCAGATGTTCTTTGCAATTTATCGCGTTGCTGTCTTATTTAAGGGAATAATGACAAATATTCCAACAGCGCCATGACCGTTGTCGCAACACTTTGTCTGTAAAGGTGTTTGAGGCTGTGGGGTAGCCTAGTGGTTAAAGCCTTCGTTTGTGACGCCGAAGACCTGGGTTCGATTCCTGACATGGGTACAATGTGTGAAGCCCATTTCAGGTGTCCCCCGCCATGATATTGCTAAAAGCGGCGTAAAACCATATTCACTCACTGTAAAGGTGTTATTGAGGCATGCTGTAGGTTATCAAATCCAGTGGTTTAGAATTTTCATTTTTGAATGTAGATATGAAGTGTAATAATCATGGCTGTAGTTGTAGTCAAGAAGGTTAGCATCATTACCAGCACTTATTCCTCATAATTATGAATTTCAAAGAATTTAATATTTGATGTGTTCAGTATTACAAAGTTTTTGAAACTTGACTCATGCTTGATATTCCCAGAGGCCTGGACTGATAGAAGTGAAACTCCAACAGGATCAAAACAGAGTGAGTTGATGAGATATTCCACCATGATTTGGAAATTACTTGATTCTGATTGGTCTATCAGAGGTTCCAAAGCACGTTACAATCAACTCTGTTTGAAACCTTGAATTTAAGGTCCACATCACTGTGGAAGGTAACAGTGAGTTAATCATGTTCACGAGTTAGTGAAGCATTTTTGCTCTAGTTAGTCTTATTGTGTGCCGTGTAAAAGGTTGTTTTTTTATCAATGCTTAATTATTTGTTCACATTTTGTCCTTGTGTTTGACATGATGTTTCGAAGTGTCTATTGGAAAAACTGTTTGCAGTAAAATAGATGTTGGCTTTCAAAATGTTTCAATGTTTGAACAGGACCTGCTAGTGCCAAGTCCACATCAACCATTGTCAGTCGCATTGACAAGAATGGAAAGGAAAAGGAGGAAGGTAGTTGGATAGAAATGCAGAGTTTCCTCACACACCTTAACCATGATGCAGAGTGTGCTATAACAGCATACTGTGAATCCATCAATCGAAAGATTGACAGAAAGCAGGGATTTATCTAGACCCACTCAGAGGCCAATATTAGGCCCCTAGTCTGTAGCAAGTGACAGTAAAAAATCCCAATTTGAATTAAACATTTCCCCAAACCTCAGAATTTATAAAAATAAGGACATTTAGAAGATCCAATTCTGAAAACTATCATGATTTCCTACCCCACCCCACCCCAACCCCCAACCCCACATCAATTATCCTGCCATTCACACTTCGTTTGGAACCTTTAAAGCTGATAAATGTTGTTAACACTGTACAGTGTCAATAAACATTTTATTTTGACTATTGCTTGTTTTATCACTATCCATAATGATGATCACACTCTCCACTGATGATATGCTGTAGGTTCTCAGGCACAATCTGTACCGGTGTAACCAGCGTTAGAAATTGGCACTAGTCCTGTAGTCCTTACCAAACTGCCCAAAAGTAAAGGTATCCTAAGTACTAGTAGAAATTGGCCAATTTTAAGGGTTTTGCTATATGTTATCATTATAAGGACTAGTGGGCAAAAGCTGTTAGTTTCTAACCCTGGTGTAACACCCAGACATGACCCTATGTGCCTTCTACTTATCAGCTTATTGTGAAGTACAATATGGAGTTCCGACATACCAGTTGTGCAATTATTTCAGTCACATAAATGAAGAAACAGCTTTCAAAATGTTTCCAAACTTGATCTACAGTTAAACGCTGTGAACTTGAGCTCAACAAATTCAAACTCATTTGAGTGAGACAATGTCTTGAGAAAATCCTTGTCTGCACAGTGATATAATATCAACAGTCCAGTCTCTTACTCTATTTGTTTCCAATGCTCACCAGGACTGCAAGTTATGTTTTTTAGCTTATGTCCCGGTAATTATTTGTCTGGATACCCTCCCAGATGCACTGAGCCTGAGGTCGAGGTCTGGTTTAGAGATTGAAGGCCCAGAGCAGAATGCATACATTCCCTACCTGTATGCCCGGAACACCATATCTCGCATCATGGACGACATGACGAACATGAAGACAAACCACGTCAGAATCGTTCATGACATTGACAAGCACTACAGAGCTATTGAGGATGAAACACAGGTAAAACTAACGAGATTCTGTTTGTGAAAAAGAGATAGAAGTTGACTTGTGGAGTTTATTTTTTCTATGCAACGTTTTCATATTGTTCTAGTGCTAGTTGAGAAAGCACAAGCAAGCACTAGCGCAAAATGTCACATTAACCAACATTTGAGCCAAATCTGTCTTCATTGATACTTGTGCAGGTGTTGGTTACTACTGAACAAGTGGCTATTTCTGAACAAAATGTCCGTATTTCTTTCTAACATTGCTGATTGTAAAAACTGTTGGTGTTGGCATACTTTGATATTTAAACCAAACCTCAGGAAGTTCTATTTCCCCTGATACACGGAAAGTCAATAAAAATAATGAGACTGAAATATAACCCAAGGCATAACTGGGCATCAAATTCCTGCACGTGATTCATATATTAACTTTTAGTACTTTGCCAGAGTGAGGCACCTCTGACAAGTGTAAATTAGGTACTCAATCTGGCAGTGTGGGTTCGATTCCCAGATGGACAATCAACCCAAAATAGTACTAGAATCCATACTTTATTAAGAAAATGTTATCCCAAATATAACTTTTTTACATCTGACCACTTTCTAAATGGCACTGCGTGTTCATAGCTTTCGTGGGAGCCATGCGAATTTACACTTGTCAGAGGGGTACACAAAGTACATGATCTAGACTACCAGTTGTAGGACTTTCATTTTTGTGGAAGCCTCAGTTGCTGATTGGGTTAGATATTAGATCGCTGACTTTGTGTGCTGGCGATTAACGATGCATTTTCAATAACTCTTTTTGGCTATTTCCGAACAAATCCACATAAGTGTACTTTACAGGCTTCAAACGCATGTCAAGATGACCAGCTGTGTGGTTGATGGAGTGCAAACACCTTCACGGTTATTGTGGTGCACCTGTTTACTGACAAACTGTTCAAACCAAACACCTTATTGTGCAAATCAATCATGACACAAAATCCCAGGCCCCTAGCTCCAAATATATTTCCATGTAGCTATCACAGAGCCTACATCTATAAAATATACAGTAACCTCGCAATAACCTAATACCACATTCGTGATTGTATTGCACAATGAGGTGCAATAAGAAGAAAGAAGAAATGACAGATATAATAATATACAATTCATAGGAAACTTTCCAATATTTTTTAAATTAAAATTATGGCAGACAATTTGTTATTTTTTCAACAATATGAAGCATAATTATTTTTTTCAAGAATTGTTGGGGTCAATTAAATCTTTTCAATAAAATTATTGGTTACTTCTACTAAAGTCGGAGTGTTTGATATAAATACTGACAGTCAAGGAGTCTTGTCCCGAAGTTATTAGTGACAGTTTTAATGGCTCCTAGATCCAGATACTATAGCCTAAGTCCTTAGGCATCCCCAACCCCCCTTGATTTCTAACACTCCCCTTGGTTTTGTCTGGGCAGACCCAGTTCAACACGTTCGTCCTGTGTCTGCGGGAGCAGTACTCGGGCAAGGTGACAACGTTCCGCCAGGTCATCGACATCCACAGGACGGAACTCTCCAAGAAGGAGGTCTACTGGAATGAAGTCCTTGCGGTAAGATCATTCCTAGATGAGAGCATGTTCCCTCACTCACTCTAAGATGGTATTAACTCAGGGGGCCTTGGTCAGTGGTCCGCCTGTGAGGGTCTCCTGATCCTGTACTTCCACAGGTAGTGGATCACCTGATCCATAAGTTGGATCACTTGATCCATATGTTGGATCACTTGATCCATAAGCTGGATCACCTGATCCATAAGCTGGATGACCTGATCCATAAGCTGGATCACCTGATCCATAAGTTGGATCACTTGAACCATAAGTTGGATCACCTGATCCATAAGTTGGATCACTTGATCCATAAGTTGGATCACTTGATCCATAAGGATTCATGTCAGTCTGAATGAACACAATAGTATTATGCATATGTATGACTCACGTTGGGATTTTGAGTTAGAAATGGCCCCCATGACCTATGCATGTTGTACAAGGCGACTTATGGAGGCAAGTTATCATACTCCGACTGTATGGATCGCTGCTCATAATATCAACTACTGGGTTGTCCCTTCCAGACTCCTTTCTTTACACTAATTACAAGCTATGGTCACACACCTGGAATATCGCTGTGTATGGTGTTAGACAAACCAACTGCATTTGAATGAAGTGATAAAAGTCAAGTGTTCAAGTAATAAATTTTCATCAGACAATTATTCCTCAAGCTACTTGAATGTGTTGTATGTGTAACTTATTCTGCTGTATACACTTTCAATGATTCCACCAGTACATTGCATCACACACTGATTTTTATAGAGTCTGACAGAAAGGAACAACAGATTGCTTAAAGACAAGAAGGTTCTCCTGATCAAAAACAAAGTGGAAATTGATCGACTGGAAAAGGAAAAGGTTTGTTCATATGACACTCACACCCTCAAATGTGCTTTTCCATCATGAATATTTTCAAATGACTACAATAAAATAATATATATAATAATAATGATCTCACTGTGTCAGACAAGAATTCTGTAGGATCACATCTAAAGAAGTACAGTTAACTTTGACTATAACAAAATCAAAGGGGCCACTAATTGTTCGTTATAACCCTAGTTCATTATAAGCATATATACTAGGGCTGCAATGAAAACACTGTGAGGCGAATACGATTCATATCACGAGTATTAGGTAACGAATACGAATATTAATTCACAATTACAATAACAAGTCAGCAGTTTATGTATTATTTATTATATTCAGTGAAACAATAACATCATAAATTACTTGACATGGTTTGTTAATTATTAATAAATTATACATTTATATACTGCACTTATCCAGGTACTAGTACCTGCTCAAATGCGACCATGATCAGTGACAACAATACTGTCAAATTAAATATTATTAGAGTGTTGTCATTGAAATAAATCTATGCATATAATACGTTGTTATGGATATTTTGAGGTACAGGGTATGTAAATATACATGATAGCATATTCATAAATATTCGATTCTAGTGGCCATGAATAAGGAATTCAATTCATGAATGGTTATGGTTCAATTCACCGAATACGCGAGTGAATCGTAACAGCCCTACTATATACAGCAAAGGGACGGGACCCAAAAACAGTTTGTTATATCTGTTAGTTCGTTATAAGCGTGTTTGTTAAAACGTAGTTTACTGTATATGATCCAACTTATACAATGTGTTGGCCTGAATGATTGATCAAAAGTAAGGTTAATAAATAAGATTTTGCCAGCAGCAAGGTCTGTCTTTGCAATTGTTTTCATTTGTTTGATTTCAGTCTGAGGTGACAACTCATTTCACACAGCTGGTGGACAAAGCCAGTGCGTCAGCCGTCATAGGTGAGTGATTCACGATACAGTCATTACACTCTCCTGTAGTTCAAGTACAGGGTAGCTTCCTGCTACCAATAGCCCATCTTCCCATGGCAAGCGTGTCCACTAGCCTATAATACTTTCCACCCTTGCCATTTCAAGCCTACTTGCCTCTGCTAAAATATGAGAGGGCATTCAGAGCATGTTTAATTTAACAAAATCAACATCCAGGTTCCGAAAATGTGGTTGGTTATTTCCACAGTCACCAGCTGTCAAAATTATTCCAGAATTAACCAAAGACAAATATTTTGAAGTGAAGTGAAGTTATTTTGAAGTTTTTGTCACAAAGGACACAGCTCGTGTTCTAGTATTCTTCATAAGGTGGCCTGGTAATCAGCCAAGAAAAGTAGGCTTGAATGGCAAGGGTGGAAACTAGGCTTTGATAGGTGTCCTCTCTGCTTACAATATGGTGATTTTGAGAGCCCCAGGAGGAATGCTGCTGTTACACATGTTGTGTGTGGCTCAGCGTTGTTGTGTTGACCGAGGGCATTAACAAAGTTCATAATGGCAACAATGTGTGTTGGGCCGTTATGTTACCTTACACTTGCACCATGTTCATTCTGCCAGTGTGGGAGATTACCACCCACAACTTTATGCTGCCACTGGCTGTCCCATCAGTTTGATGTAGCATAATTCTCCGTACTGAACCAACAGATTAAGCCATATTATATGTGCTTAGCACCTTTGATGTCACATTTGACAATGTCTGTTCAGATATCCTTGCAACCCTAGTATAGCTACTGTCATAGAGGATGCTGTTCTATAGCTTTGCCTCAAATAACGTAGCCGTATAAAGTGGTCCTGGGCAGCCGTTGTGGCCTTGGGGCTGGTCTGATGTACCATGCTTGTGGTACCGATACGAGATAGTACAGTCATGCCCCGCTTATACAGACTTCAGATATCCGGAAACCTTGGTTCCCGGACGATTTTCATTCAAAACGAAATAATTACTATATAAATTTACCCGTATATACGGAAATTCAGTTTCCGGAACCGGATGGTCATTTTCATACACAAAACACTGAAATGCACACAAAATTGTCTCACTTACCCCGACAATACACTTCCGCTGGTGGTAATCCTTCCGCTGGTGGTAATCCTTTGATTCGTGAGAAGTCAATTAACCAAGTGACACTGAGTTACGTTTGAGACGAGCTTGTTTATTGTCCATATAATCCCATTCGATAAATATGGCATCTGGTGAGGAAGGAAGCTTGTGCTTGTATAGAGACCTTGATTACATATTACGAGAACACAGGCGATCTGGACAATTTGGAATTATTGTTTAAAATTCAAACCACAAAATGTGGTAAAGTTCAAACTTCCATGTCAGATTTTTTTAAAAGTGTATGTCTTGAATAAAGATTGAGTGGATGAATCTGTTTGCTCTGTCATCTGTCATGAGTTGCATAATTGAAGGGAAGTAACTCTTCCAGTAAGAAGCTGGTTTCAGTTACAGTGTATACGGAAATTCGTTTATACGGACGAATTGTGAAATGACGCAAGTGTCCGTATGAACAAGGCACGACTGTACTCTGTTTTGCTTTACTTTAATTTAAATGTTGCTCACAGACAGAGTTTTGCACCCGAATGCCCCTTACTTTTGTGGACCTATTCATGATTTTTCACATGCAGAACATGCTTGTGCATCGACCCCCTGGTTCTCGTGTGGTGTTACTTGTCTATAGTGTTATGTTAGGGTGATGCATTTGGTCGTTGCTACATGTGGATTATTCCATCAATGACATTAATTTGGTACCTTTGTGATTCTTCCTTTGAGTACAGATGAAACAACTGATTTCTTAGGTTTACACAACAGTTATTGTGATAATATATTGTGCCAATAGGAATTCAGGAGTTTTAAGATGTTATGTCTTACAAGATAATGGTAATATATTTCAGCTGGTAAAGAACATGAAGAACAGATATCCCAGATGAAAACTGACAATGCTGTAAGTACACAGAAACACCTTCACCAACTAATTGGAGATGATGCATGAGTATTACACTCACTGCCAAAAAAAATGTGAAACATAGAAACATATATGGGTGTCTTCTATCTCTCATTTGAACAGTGATATAGACGGTGTTTATTGTTTCACACTGTTTTCAGCATGAGTGCTGATAAAAAGGATGTCTGTTTGTATATGGGTACACTTGCACTGTCCCGGATAGCGGCCATATTTGTTTGATGCTTCTAATACGGGGGCTTGCATCATATTGTTTAATTTCATTGAACCACAAAATTGAATATCAAAGCAAATCATAATGCAGACATCAGCATAAAAAAATTAATAGATGTATCATAATCATGTGTAGCAACCTCATCAGTTACATGCATTGGGGACCTGTGAAGATCTGGGGTAGAATAGCTCTTCAGCAACCCATGCTTGCCGTAAAAAGTGACTGTGCTTGTCGTAAGAGACGACTAACGGGATCAGGTTTTTCAGGCTCGCTGACTTGGTTGATGCATGTCATTGTATCTCCAATTACATGGATCAATGCTCATGATGTCAATCACTGGATTGTCTGGTCCAGACTGGATTATTTACAGACGGCCATCATATAGCTGGAATATTGCTGAGTGCAGTGTTAAACAACAACAAAAAAATGCACTAAAAATGCATTGGGGTCACATTCATCGAACATGTTTTATTTTTCATTAACTTTGGTAACTAAAACATACACATACTTAGGAAAGCTTTCATCACCCCCAAAACCCCCTGTTAATTTAGCGAGATAGCTATAAATGGCGGCTGAACAACTTAGAAACCATTACTTAAGAAGGAGCTTATGCTCACCCCTCACCAAAATGGCGGAAGGTATCCAGTACACTATCTTCTAGCCTGCTAATGTTTTACGATAGAAATCGTTACAAGCTTATGAAGCTGCGTATCGTTCTGGGCTGCAGCGGTTCATGTCAGCTGACAAAATTCACAGATTGAGTTGCACATGAAACACAAAATCATTCCAGACAAACTAAACGGAGGATGTGTATGCTTTTCCACTCAAATTACTTCTTTCTTTTGGCATTGCTGTTAGGCCTTGTTGGCAGAGATGGAAAGTTTGAAAATCCAACTGTCTGAACAAGACTCCAAGATGTCGATAATTGTCCCTGTGGGAGCTGCAGTAGTTGCAGCTGCCCCACCATCAAGTGCACAGACGTCCGAGGCCCAAACCCAGACTGATGGTGAGAGCAGGCCAGCAGCTATTGTGGGCACAGCAGTAGTAAGAGACGCAGAGCAGCAAGAGAGAGAAAAGGAGCACATCGATGGCGAGAGACAGGAGATGACGGACGAGAGACAGAGCATGGAGGAAGAGCGTGAAAGGCTGGCGGAAGAGAGGAAGTCCTGGGTCGCTGAAATAAACAAACTGCAGGCCGAGTTGGCTCTTGTCTCTAAGGTTAGTTGTTGTCATCAAGGATTGACTGTCAGGGTCTTGTGTTATGATGTTCAGTTGGTCTTGAGAAGAACTTTGAGAATGTATTTCATTTGAAAGTATTGTAATTTATCTTATCCTGACTCATACTTATTGTTTATCTCTCTCTATTCTGAATAGGACATGAAGCCCCTTACTGGTGTCCCCCGCCGTGGTATTGCTGGAATATTGCTAAAAGCGGCATAAAACCATACTCACTCACTCACTCACTCTGAATAGGACCCGTGAAGATCCGGGGTAGAATTGATGTTGGATCAACCCATGTTTGCGGTAAAAGGCAACTATGTTTGTTGTAAGAGGCGACTAACAAGATCGGGTGGTCAGGGCCGCTGACTTGGTTGATGCATGTCATCATATCCCAATTGCGTGGGTCAATGCTGATGATGTCAATCACTGAATTGTCTGGTCCAGACTTGATTATTTACAGACCGCCTTCATATGGCTGTAATTTTGCTGAGTGCGGCGTTAAACAACAAACAAACAACCAATCTTCCGAAAAGTAGGTGAAATGACCTGCTCTGTGTTCCCCAAGAACAGAGAACAGACAATGCAAGGTTAATTATTAATGGATGGCTTGGATAAAATAGAACAGAATTTTTCCCAACTACACAGTGGATGAAAAAAGAGAGAGAGGGAGTGACTGGTTACATGGTTCCAGTGTGCCTCAAGGACACGGGTGTGTTGGGGTGAGGTGTTTTTTTCTGTTTTCCGGGAACACAGAACAGGAGGAAGTTTCTACTACTATTTGGAAGAGAGAGAGAGATTAGCAATAAGTATGGGTCAGTTTAAGTGTAAGTAATATTTTTACTCCAAAAAATATATTTTTGTGTAGGATCGAGCGGAGTGGCAGGTGAAGTACGAGGTGATGAAGAGCCAGGCAGGGGATGCAGCTACGCTCCACACCAAGTACATGATGCTGGAGAACCAGTACGCTGCCCTCTCCGCTGTTGTTGCAGCATCAGAGACGTCTAAAACTGCAGCAGAGGTATAGCTTACACATACGACAGTCTCAGTAAACGGAGTCAGAAGCTGAGCACTGGATGTTTTCATAATGAGTAAATGTGCAGGGAAATCTTGTTGAGGACCCATCAAACATGTTGAGTTATTCATAGTTTGAGTGTCCATGTTAGTAATGAAAAGGGGTCTATCTAGATCAAATGTTTCGTAATCTTATACAATATAAAAAAGTAAAGTAGTTAACAAGGCATTACTGCAGGTCAGTTGGTTCCTACTTGAAAGTATTTGATTATTTTTGCAACTTCAAAGTGATTTTTCAAGTTTTCTTTATCAAGTATGAAGATATAATTCATGCCCAAGTGAACTAGCGCATAGATAAAAGTCTTAATTGATAACAAATTTGGATTTTAAGAAAAATCAGATAACAATCAATATAAATTGTTCTGTGGTTGACAGTGAGCCCCACATTTGTACGCTGTGTGAAGTTTCATTCTTGGTGTACCCGCCATGATTTATTACTGGAATATTGCAAACAGCAGACCTAAAAACTCTCACTCACTCACTTACTCTGTTTCACAGGAAAGCTCAAAAAAGACTGCTGAAGAGAAGGCCATGATGGCGACAGAGCAGGCAAGGCTGGAGGCGGAGATCAAGAAGTATGAAGCTGACTTCAAAAAGAAAAATGGACATCCACCTACAGAGAAAGACAAGTAAGGGCCTCACTTAAGTTGCTGGAAGCAGCTGTATTATATCTGTCTTCATCGTTACCTCCCTTCTCTTGATATTTATATGATGGTAATGCTTGACTTATCTCTAGAAGGTCATAGTTGTAGTACAAGGTGGCTCACAGATGAGCTTTATGTGTTTACATTGCAAACATGACGGTAAATGAGTAGTTACCTCCCCTTGAACTTGGTCCTCTCTGTACAGCTTACACTTTAATGTGGCTAAGAAACGTAGTAGTTACACATATCTTCTACCTATATTCAGCAGGCTTTGGTGACCTCGTTGTCTAAGGTCCTGCAATCCACTGTTCTGAGTTACATCCCTTAGGTGGCCCAGAAGGCTATGCTTTTGGGTTCGAATCCCAACCTGCCCTGATTATGTTTCTGGGTTTGTCACCACCCTACCTGTGCTCATGGGTTTCTCAAATGTGGTAAATGTCCTGCTTCATTTCAGGCTTTTCCCCCACATTAAGCTGACACGCTGTGATATATAACTGAAATTCTGTTCAAAGTGGCGTTAAACCAAACCTACTCACTCACTCACTCACTGCAGATCCGACTCGGCCAAGGAGATGTACACCCAGTTGGAGGAGGTGAACACAGTAGTGACCTCGCTGGACAAGAAGATAGAGACCCTGGACCATGTGAAGGCAGGAAACGTTCCTCCGCCACCCGAGGTGGACCCAACTCCTGTTGTCATCAAAGACCCGGAGGTGAAGACAGTGGAGGTGGGTGTTTACAGTAGAGACAGCTTCAAGATGAAACCTGTTGCTATGATACATGCTGGGCACACACGTTTCCATGCTGCTCTATGGACATATACTGACTGCCAAGAGAAACCCGAATTCCATACCTGTTGGTCAATATATGAAGACTTACTCATATTTAAGAGATATTAGAATGGTTCAATGCACCAATGAACATGCTGGTATGTTGTGTGAACCGATGCTTATGATGCATCACATGTGACATCATAGATCCATGATGCACCATTTGCCTCGTGGATTAGTGTGTAAAGTTTGTACGTCTGTACTCATTCATTGAAATAGTCTCTTTAGGGTTACTCGGAATTATGAAAATAAATTATCAAAATGTGTGTGTTTTCCCATATAATAAATACAAAAGTATACATTATGACAAGCCTATAACGTATGATATCAACATTGCATTTTATTCATGTGAAATATATCAGGTGATGGTACTAGACCCATCAATTGTTGCTGCCCTGGAAAAGGCCCAGCAAGAGTTATCTGCCCTCCAGACCCAACTCTCAGATCTACAGCAAGAGAAGTCATTGCTTCATACACAGATCAGTTCTTTGAACACTGACCTGTCCGAAAGCAGGGGCAAGATCGTGGAGCTAGAGCGGCTCCTGGCCGAGGGTGATGCACCTGACGGAGTTGCTGTAGCTGCAGCTGCTACTGTTGCTGCCAGTGCTGAGGTAAATACAGACTCATTAGATGCAATAACAACTCTTACTTCTCAATTATGTTGAACTATCTTATGGGGGCACGGGTGGCCCAGTTGTCTTAGACATGCAGTTCACTGTTCAGAGTTACGTCCCATGGGCATGTCAGAAACCTAGGATCGTGGTTTTGAATCCAAGTTGGCCCCGATTATGTTTCTAGGTTTGTCAGCACCATTCCTGTGCTTGTGTGTTTCAGTGGTAAATGTCTGAGACCTGCATCACTTTGGGCTTTCCTCCAGCATTAAGCTGACACACTGTTATATAACTGGAATACTGTTCAAAGTGGCATTATGCTCAAATCACTCAATCACCAGATTATCTTATGAGCCTTGTATTAATAGTTTCATTATCACTGCACGCTTTGTTTTTTTCTAATTTTGTTTCGTTTTCGTACTCTTGTTACGCTTTTATCAGAATTTTGTTCAGACTTTTTATTTATGTACAATTAATTGTACCGGCACTAATATTCATGACTATTTTCATTTTCTCTGTTTTGTTCTTGTTTTGCACCCTTGGTTTTGTTTCAGTCTGAAGAGAAGGTATCTGAGCTAACAAGTCAGCTTGCAGAGAGAGATGATGTGAGACTTCAATTGTGGCAACATATTTCAATAAACGTCTTTATGTTGATGGTTAAAAAGTTGATAATGATTATAGGCAATATTCAGTGCGACATAGAATCTGCCATGTTTTATACATACAAAATGTGATTGATGTAAAAATGGATGTTATGGTACATATATATATATATATAGAGAGAGAGAGAGAGAGAGAGAGAGAGAGAGAGAGAGAGAGAGAGAGAGAGAGAGAGAGAGAAAAACATCCTACTGTGATATTGTTATGAGCACTACAGTATGCTGAGTTTATACGAGATGGCTTCATTGTCAATGTATTCATTATTGTAGGAGTTGGAACGTCTTCGCCGCGAGAACCGTGAAATGCAGAAAGACATGAAGAAGATGATCAAGCGATATGAGAAGCTCCAGACCAAGCTCAAGAAGATGGAGGTGAATGAGGGAGCCAGCGCCCTGTTGCAGGTGGTCGTAGCCATGGTGAGTCCTGTAAGTGTCAGTCTATTGACCTGAAGAAGATGGAGGTGAACGAGGGAGCCAGCGCCCTGTTGCAGGTGGTCGTAGCCATGGTGAGTCCTGTAAGTGTCAGTCTATTGACCTGAAGGAGATGGAGGTGAATGAGGGAGCCAGCGCCCTGTTGCAGGTGGTCGTAGCCATGGTGTGTCCTGTAAGTGTCAGTCTATTGACCTGAAGGAGATGGAGGTAAACGAGGAGCCAGCGCCCTGTTGCAGGTGGTCGTAGCCATGGTGAGTCCTGTAAGTGTCAGTCTATTGACCTGAAGGAGATGGAGGTGAACGAGGGAGCCAGCGCCCTGTTGCAGGTGGTCGTAGCCATGGTGAGTCCTGTAAGTGTCAGTCTATTGACCTGAAGGAGATGGAGGTGAACGAGGGAGCCAGTGCCCTGTTGCAGGTGGTCGTAGCCATGGTGAGTCCTGTAAGTGTCAGTCTATTGACCTGAAGGAGATGGAGGTGAACGAGGGAGCCAGTGCCCTGTTGCAGGTGGTCGTAGCCATGGTGAGTCCTGTAAGTGTCAGTCTATTGACCTGAAGGAGATGGAGGTGAATGAGGGAGCCAGCGCCCTGTTGCAGGTGGTCGTAGCCATGGTGAGTCCTATAAGTGTCAGTCTATTGACCTGAAGGAGATGGAGGTGAACGAGGAGCCAGTGCCCTGTTGCAGGTGGTCGTAGCCATGGTGAGTCCTATAAGTGTCAGTCTATTGACCTGAAGGAGATGGAGGTGAACGAGGAGCCAGTGCCCTGTTGCAGGTGGTCGTAGCCATGGTGAGTCCTATAAGTGTCAGTCTATTGACCTGAAGGAGATGGAGGTGAACGAGGAGCCAGTGCCCTGTTGCAGGTGGTCGTAGCCATGGTGAGTCCTGTAAGTGTCAGTCTATTGACCTGAAGGAGAGAGGTGAACTAGGGAGCCAGTGCCCTGTTGCAGGTTGTCGTAGCCATGGTGAGTCCTGTAAGTGTCAGTCTATTGACCTGAAGAAGATGGAGGTGAACGAGGGAGCCAGTGCCCTGTTGCAGGTGGTCGTAGCCATGGTGAGTCCTGTAAGTGTCAGTCTATTGACCTGAAGGAGAGAGGTGAACTAGGGAGCCAGTGCCCTGTTGCAGGTTGTCGTAGCCATGGTGAGTCCTGTAAGTGTCAGTCTATTGACCTGAAGGAGATGGAGGTGAACGAGGAGCCAGTGCCCTGTTGCAGGTGGTCGTAGCCATGGTGAGTCCTGTAAGTGTCAGTCTATTGACCTGAAGGAGAGAGGTGAACGAGGGAGCCAGTGCCCTGTTGCAGGTTGTCGTAGCCATGGTGAGTCCTGTAAGTGTCAGTCTATTGACCTGAAGGAGATGGAGGTGAACGAGGGAGCCAGTGCCCTGTTGCAGGTGGTCGTAGCCATGGTGAGTCCTATAAGTGTCAGTCTATTGACCTGAAAGAGATGGAGGTGAACGAGGGAGCCATTGCCCTGTTTCAGGTGGTCGTAGCCATGGTGAGTCCTATAAGTGTCAGTCTATTGACCTGAAGGAGATGGAGGTGAACGAGGAGCCAGTGCCCTGTTGCAGGTGGTCGTAGCCATGGTGAGTCCTGTAAGTGTCAGTCTATTGACCTGAAGGAGATGGAGGTGAACGAGGGAGCCAGTGCCCTGTTGCAGGTGGTCGTAGCCATGGTGAGTCCTGTAAGTGTCAGTCTATTGACCTGAAGGAGATGGAGGTGAACGAGGGAGCCAGTGCCCTGTTGCAGGTGGTCGTAGCCATGGTGAGTCCTGTAAGTGTCAGTCTATTGACCTGAAGGAGATGGAGGTGAACGAGGGAGCCAGTGCCCTGTTGCAGGTGGTCGTAGCCATGGTGAGTCCTGTAAGTGTCAGTCTATTGACCTGAAGGAGAGAGGTGAACTAGGGAGCCAGTGCCCTGTTGCAGGTGGTCGTAGCCATGGTGAGTCCTGTAAGTGTCAGTCTATTGACCTGAAGGAGATGGAGGTGAACGAGGGAGCCATTGCCCTGTTGCAGGTGGTCGTAGCCATGGTGAGTCCTGTAAGTGTCAGTCTATTGACCTGAAGGAGAGAGGTGAACTAGGGAGCCAGTGCCCTGTTGCAGGTGGTCGTAGCCATGGTGAGTCCTGTAAGTGTCAGTCTATTGACCTGAAGGAGATGGAGGTGAACGAGGGAGCCATTGCCCTGTTGCAGGTGGTCGTAGCCATGGTGAGTCCTGTAAGTGTCAGTCTATTGACCTGAAGGAGATGGAGGTGAACGAGGGAGTCAGTGCCCTGTTGCAGGTGGTCGTAGCCATGGTGAGTCCTGTAAGTGTCAGTCTATTGACCTGAAGGAGATGGAGGTGAACGAGGGAGTCAGTGCCCTGTTGCAGGTGGTCGTAGCCATGGTGAGTCCTGTAAGTGTCAGTCTATTGACCTGAAGGAGATGGAGGTGAACGAGGCGGTCAGTTTCTAAGGTGATGAAATTGGTGTTGCAGGGTTGCCTCCTTTGGCATTCCAGAAAACTATGACCCAACCCAAACTTCACTTACTCCACAATACAAGCTGAATGGGTGTCATATGTATAGGCGAAAACACACCTCCAAGCTTTTGGTTGAAAATGTAAGACCTGAGAGAGAGAGAGAAGAGAGACACAAGTAAAACTTCATACCAGGTCTTACTAGGAAAAGTAAAACCTCATACAAGGTCTTACTAGGAAAAGTAAAGCCTCATACCCGGTCTTTCTAGGAAAAGTAAAACCTCATACCCGGTCTTTCTAGGAAAAGTAAAACCTCATACCCGGTCTTTCTAGGAAAAGTAAAACCTCATACCTGGTCTTACTAGGAAAAGTAAACTTCACACCTGGTCTTACTAGGAAAAGTAAAACCTCATACCTAGTCTTACTAGGAAAAGTAAAACCTCATACCTGGTCTTACTAGGAAAAGTAAACCTCATACCTGGTCTTACTAGGAAAAGTGAACCTCATACCTGGTCTTACTAGGAAAAGTAAACCTCATGCCTTGTCTTACTAGGAAAAGTAAACCTCATACCTGGTCTTACTAGGAAAAGTAAACCTCACGCCTGGTCTTACTAGGAAAAGTAAAACCTCATATCTGGTCTTACTAGGAAAGTAAAACCTCATACCTGGTCTTACTAGGAAAAGTAAAACCTCATGCCTGGTCTTACTAGGAAAAGTAAAACCTCATACCTCGTCTTACTAGGAAAAGTAAAACCTCATACCAGGTCTTACTAGGAAAAGTAAACCTCATACCAGGTGTTACTAGGAAAAGGAAAACCTCATGCCTGGTCTTACTAGGAAAAGTAAAACCTCATACCAGGTCTTACTAGGAAAAGGAAAACCTCATACCAGGTCTTACTAGGGAAAGGAAAACCTCATACCTGGTCTTACTAGGAAAAGGAAAACCTCATGCCTGGTCTTACTAGGAAAAGTAAAACCTCATACCAGGTCTTACTAGGAAAAGTAAACCTCATACCAGGTGTTACTAGGAAAAGGAAAACCTCATGCCTGGTCTTACTAGGAAAAGTAAAACCTCATACCAGGTGTTACTAGGAAAAGTAAAACCTCATACCTCGTCTTACTAGGAAAAGTAAAACCTCATACCAGGTCTTACTAGGAAAAGTAAACCTCATACCAGGTGTTACTAGGAAAAGGAAAACCTCATACCCGGCCTTAGTAGGAAAAGTAAACCCTCATACCTGGTCTTACTAGGAAAAGTAAACCTCATACCTGGTCTTACTAGGAAAAGGAAACCCTCATACCAGGTCTTACTAGGAAAAGTAAACCTCATGCCTGCTGTTACTATAAAATGAATAGTTTGGTTAAATGGCGGGTACCAGCATAGAGGTTTATAAATTGATTAGTCCTTCTTTCCCTGTTTTCCTGTTGATCTCAGTCTCAAGTAGTTCTGCTTGTCGTAATAGTCAAACTAAATTGTTGTTGGATGGTCAGGCTGTGTGTGTTTTGATTGGTGCTCACACTTTCAGCCACTGGTTTCCCCTTTTCCTGATTTGATTGTCTATGATATAGCTGGAATATAGCTGACTGAGGCATTAATCACCATTCGTCCAATCATTCTTTCCATATTGACAACCTGACATGTATGTTTTTAATGATGACCTGATGTGAAACTGTATGAAGGCCAAATTAATTATGTCCATATTTTAAAAATATTCCTGCCATGATTTTTTAAAATATAGAAACATGAAGCCCAGCTCTTCAATTGAAAATGTGCTCATTCTTTTATTTTACTTGTCAGAAGTATCCGGTATCTTTAGCTATTGGCCAAGACGATCCATGAAAGGAATATGATCTTATCATATCAAATGTATCACCTAGGCACACGAGGTCCATGGCAAGGTTCCAACTGCAGCTGAAGAGGTGGACACACGTCTCAAGTCTGAAGAAGAGGATGTGAAGAAACTGAAGGAGTCGCAGAACGAGAATCAGAAGGCCCTGGATACATGGGCCCAGAAGTACAAGAAGAAACACAAGAAGGAAGCGACTCCCGAGGACAGGTGAGGCTGTGGTCACGATTCACAGACTGCCCTCATACCGCTTGAATTGTTATACCTTTATTAGGAATGATGCAATTCCATTGGTTAATCCGTATCATGTGATGAAACAATACATTTCAATGTAGAAATCATGTGACTGACACTGACCTTGAATATTGACTCATCACATAATCAGTATTGACCTGTCACGTAATGAATATTGATTCGTCTGCTGGAAAACAAGATGGCGTCTGGTTCAAATATTTCATGGTTGGCAGCTAAGTTACTGTAATGAAACAGAGGACTGTTTAAACACTTAATAAACATTAAAGTGAAATTTGGTATAACAAAACGAATGATTGCTCTTGATGAGGTAAATATGCGGAAACAAAGCGGACCCGACTCCTATGGCTGTCTGACGGGACCGCCTCAGGGGCCGGGTCCTCGGGCCCTTGTTTTCACACATTTACCTCGTCAAGAGTAATTATGTGTATAGTGTGGCATTAAAAACAAAGTGCAGAACAATACATAAATAAATAAATATGTAGTTAAGAACCAAAATAAAAAAATATAAATGAAAAAAATAAACTAAAAACATATTGAAAAGGTAAATAATATTAATCAACATGTTGTAAAACATTACAATAATCTGATAACTAACCAAGTACTGCTTTGTCTCAGGGATGAGGAGTGTGTGAGGCTGCAGGAGGCAGTAGATGTCGCAGTGAAGGAGGTTGACGACAGCGGCCGGAGACAGCAGGCTCTCACCATGCTGCAGACCGGGGTTGTCAAGGTGAAGGAGCTCCAGCAGCAGAGGCCCGCATCAGCCGCCAGGGTTGCCAAGGAGACGGGTGGGACATCTCTACTTCCACCATGTCTACTTATGTTTGTTATTTCTCACCCCTGTGAAGATCTGGGAGCCAGCAACCCATGCTAGTTGTCAAAGGTCACTATGCTTGTTGTAAGAGGCGACTAACAGGATCGGGTGGTCAGGCTTGTTGACTTGGATGATGCATGCCATTGTATCCCAATTGCATCGATCGATGCTCATGATGTCAATCACTGGATTGTCTGCAGACTGCAATTATATAAATGGAATATTGCTGAGTGTGGTGTACACAACAAACGAACAAAATTAGATTTGAATCTGTTGTTGAACCAATGGCCTCAGATCTTTAATACAAACTGGCAGATAGTAATATTCTTCAAATAATTTTCATACAAATTTACCTGTCACTGTCAAATAGTTTTTCGTGTTGATGCAAAACTTGACAGTATGCTGGCACAGTGTATCGTGATGCACCAAATGTTTTAAGCCCCTATCTCACATTCATGAATCTGAACACGAATGAACACGATTTAACGTTTTTCCTTAAATCGTGTTAGAACGTATGATGGTCGCGCACTCATTCGTGTTCATTCGTGTTAAGTCGTGGTCGGTCGCGCGGGGTCGTATGGACGTCACAGCACGGCTTAAATCGTGTTATAAATTTTTGCAATTGTGACCCACGTGACCAAAATAAACAAAAATATGTCGTATGAAGGTCTTGCTCAGTCGTATGGAGATCGTGTTTATTTTTGTAGTCGTATGGACATCGTAATGATTCGGGTTTAATCGTATGGCGGTCGTGTAAATTCGTGTTAAGTCATATGGGCGTCGTATGACAGTCGTGTTTGGTCGTATGACAGTCGTATTGGGGTTGTGTTAAATGAGGTTAAATCGTGTTGTATCATATGAATAGCTTATGACGGTCGTATGAGTGTCATGTTCAGTCGTATGAGGGTCGTATGAGGGTCGTGTTTGGTTAAGAAATTTGCATAAACCACAAGATTGAGCACGAATCAACACGATTTTTCAACTTTTCATAAATAGTGTTCGCAATTTCTTAAATCGTGTATGTGAGATAGGGGCTTTACCCTGTACACTAAACACTTAGCTTTCATTTGAGGTATTAAAATTACATGAGTGAATTGGCTAGTTCCCAGCTATGTTTTTATTAATTTTCCTTAAAACATTCCTTAGGGACATCCCACAATATATTCAAAAACATATTGCTATACACAGTATAAAAGCATACTGAGTCACTCATACCTGTTAGATTATTATCCGCTGCCACAATTTGGGGTGGTTGTATAGGAACAGAGTCCATCCCTCCTTCCTTCCGCTTCTCAAAGGGGACAAATTTTCTAAAAACCTATTTCAGTGTGATTGCCTGTATTCTTCATGTGATGGTTATAGCCTGGTATGTTTCACAGGTATGCTAAGCATTGATAGAGTATGTATATGTGCCTAAATTTTAATCATTATTGATTCTCGTTGCTATGAGACTAAAAATAATGCCGATGGGACGTTAAATTTTAACTCACTCACCAAATTTTCTCCTGACATTAAGCCACCCCAGTCTATATTTATAGGTATCTTCTACTATACGAATAGCCAAAAACTCTAATGTGCCCCATGCTGGGATAGCAGCCTATGTAAATGGCAGGAGATACAGACCTCTTTGCCCTTGGTTGACTGTATTCTTCATGTGATGGAATGTTTCACAGGTGTGCTAAGCATTGATAGAGTATATAGAGGATTCATCACGAGTGTTTTTTAATATGGGAAATATCAACCGAGTCTTAGATAATCGGTATTTGCCGAGCCTTTGGCGAGGCAAATACCGATTAACGGGACGAGGTTGATATTTCCCATATTAAAAAACACGAGTGATGAATTCTATTTATCATTTTCACATTTTTGCTTCCAAATTAAGGAATAATTGCATTAAACATTAACCTCAGCAACTTGTCGAAATCTTACGTATAGATCGTGCCTAGTGATACATGTTTTCCATAGCCATGTAAACCAAAATAAACAATTCGCTGAGAAAAAAAGTTCCTCGGATTATTTTAAACAAAATACTTGAACAGACTTTTGCAGAATAATTGAAACTTTAATAAGGGTAACAACAACGATTCTGTGTAATCTGATTATATCTCTGGTGTAACTTCACTTATAATATATAGTTTCAAATCAAACCGTTCCCTCCGGTTATCTAATTTGCATATCTAATTTGCATACTTATGTCATTGGGGTATGACATACATGTTTTTATGTTATAAGCTTATGTCATGGATAAATGCTTAAGTTAAATGATAAATGTATATATGTGCTTCAATTTTAATCATTAATGATGCAGAACAAGATATGTCTACACTTGATGAAAAAGTGATTGACCTTGAGTCTGAGAATGAGGCTCTGAAGGATGACAAGACGCGTCTGGAGGATATCAGAAAGGTACATGTTTCTGTCAAAATGTACTTGTTATCGTCAACAACATGCCTGGTTAGTAGGTCCCCAACAACCTGTGCTGGTCACAAGAGGCGCCAAAATGGATTAGGTGGTGACTTGCTTGATAATGAGTCATCATAAACTGACAATGTGGATCATTGCTCACAATATTGATCACTGGATTATCTCGTCCAGATTTGATTATTTACAGGCCACCGTCATGCATCTGCTTCGTGCAGTGTTAAACAACAAACAAACAAGCTTGTTTCAGTAGCATGGCACTGTATAACATTGATGAGAGTTGTTTAAATACCTGTATCGACACGAAGTGTAAAGGTCATTCCTGGTGTCCTCGACCATTATATTGGAGGAATATTAATAAACACATTTACTCTCAATGAGGCCTGGGGCGGTCGGGTAGCCTAGTGGTTAAAGCGTTCGCTCGTCACGCCGAAGACCCGGGTTCGATTCCCGACATGGGTACAATGTGTGAAGCCCATTTCTGGTGTCCCCCCGCCGTGATATTGCTGGAATATTGCTAAAAGTGGCGTAAAACCATACTCACTCACTCACTCAATGAGGCCTGTGCTGCTTAAGCTCCATGGTCATTTTCACAACTATGTAAAACATCATTAATATTGTCTTTTGTGTTAATGATGAAACAAGCAATCTGTGATGTTATTTTTGTTGAATTATTTATTTATAAGAGTCTACTTAAGTATTTATCCCGGTTCGCCCCAATTATATTTCTAACTTTGTCAGCACCATACCCGTGCTCGTGGGTTTTACCGAAGTGGTAAACGTCATAGACCTGCATCACTTCGGCTTTGCTCCAACATTAAGCTGACACGCCGTGATATAACTGAAATAATGTTAAAAGCGGCGTTAAACCCAACTCACTCACTCACTTAAGTATTTAATAATGTAAAGATAAAACCGATGTGCACAAGTGTAAATCCATGTATCGTAAGTAAATTCTTAAATAATGAATTGAAGCCAAGTACATGATTAAACATTTCATTCAACAGGAACTGGAGAGTCAGTTGCAACTTCTCCAAGACCAGGTTGCACTGCAAGGATCTCTGCCTGATGCTGGCCAACCCTCAGAGGTGAGTTTGGCTGACAGCTGGGTTTCAGGTTCAGAACTTGACAGGAACCTGAAATCGTTCACAGGACGCTGAAATCTGTTAAGCGTTGCATCCCTTAGCTTTGTTAGGATCCTTGGTCAGCATCAGCATTATATCTTGGGGGTTTAACTGAAATGCATAACTTTGGACTTCTCTCCCATGTTAAGCTGACACTCTGCTGAACACTGAATACAGTTCGAAGTGGCATTAACCCCAACTCACTCACTCACCTCACCCTTCATCCTTCTTAGGATCTGTCTGATGAGCTGTCTAGCCTGCAGCAGGAGATTGATGCCCTGAACACCAGCCTCCGTGGGGAGAAGGCCGCCCACGACAAGACTCGCGATGAGTTGGAGGAGGCCAAGAGTCAGGCCGCAGGAAAGAACGAGGAGTTGGCTGGGGAGCGGGCAGACCTGGACGCCAAGATTGACCAGTACAAGAAGATCATGGAGGCCAAACTCAAGGGAAGGGAGGAGGTGAGATGATTTGCTCTTTATATGGGATCTCAGTTACCTAGTGTCAGCATGTTGTAAGACAGTCTTGAATACTTATATTGCCAACACAAGCCTCTACCAGTGGAAGGTGTCATCAGGACATATACAGGCTTCCAGGCCTAATTAGAGTTCTTTTGGTAAATATGGCAAACTAATCTATGCCTGTCAAATCAAAGGGTCACCATCTGTTGGTAACACTATGTTTGCATGCTTGTCAATCACATTCTAGTTGTGTATAATTGACGTCATAGACCAGGTCATTCACAAGGCAAGACCTGTCTCTTACAATTTTAGCAATATTCCAGCAATATCAAGGCAGGGCACACCAGAAATGGGTTTTTTGACACATTGTACCCATGTGCGGAATCGAACATGGCATGACATGGCATGGCATGTGTACGCTTTATCCACTAAGCTATCCCTATTCTTTTAGAAGGTCAGAGATGTTTTTATTTTCATTGACTAATAACGTACACGTGTTTAACTCCTGGAGTCTGTGCTTATCTGAACCCATGCTTTGGTATGATGAGTGAACACATTAACCATTTGAGGAAACCATGAATCATTGGCCCCATGTACAGAGTTGTATTGTATGAGGTGGTAACCTGGGTAAGATGTGTGTGGTAACCTTGGTAAGATGTGTTTTATGTTTCAGGAACTGGCCAATGTGAAGCAAAGGACTGAGGAACTGGAGGCGGAGCGATTGGCTAATGTCCCAGTTGACACTGCGAAGGAAATGAAAAATCTTCAGAATAAAATTGTGAGGATTTACTGTATGTGTCACACACACACACAGACACACACACACACACACACACACACACACACACACACACACACACACACACACACACACACACACACACACACACACACACACACACACACACACACACACACACACAGAATCACACACACAAACACAGAATCACACACACACACACACACACACACACACACACACACACACACACACACACACAGTCACAAACTCACTCACTGGTTGTCTGTCTTCAGTCCCTGCTGGAGAAGGACAAGACTGGGTCCAGTGCGGCGGTGGCAGGTCTCGAGGCGCAGCTGACGGAGTCCCAGAACAAAGTGAAACTCTCCACCAAGAACTTGGAGACACAGAGGGCTACCAACAGGGAGCTGGAGGTGGGTCACCGGCACCAACCCAAGTCTTATGTTCTGGATTCAGTTTGAAAAACTAACTCTCCTCACAATTCAGATACAAGATTCTGCTTGTTTGTGTTGGTCCTAGGTGTATCATGGTATATGGGGACTTGTGGCATGGCTCTGTAGAGTGGTTAGAAACAACATGACCTCTTGACGAAACTGATGAACCATTTGTAAAAAACATGGTCATTCTACCAAAATGATTGGTCACTACAGACTATAATAATTGGATAAAGTACTCATATCATGTATGTAGGCGGCCAATCAGAACATGATGTGATATTCTGTCTGACCCTCTTTTGTGTGCAAACTGACACAATTGTTATCTCTGCCTTTCTATACATATGCATTGTCAAGGGTGAGATCTCAGTGGCCATCTAGGTGTCCAGATACCCATGACCAGTGTGGGGAACCCTTACAGGGAGGCATTATGACTGTCTGTGCTCGGGGGGGGGTCACCAAGAAGAAAACATCTACTTCAGCACTAAGGGCTTTTCTCCCACATTAGTGAGTAAGGTTTTTAGCAATATTCCATCCACATCAAGGGGAGGGGGGTTTGGATGGCACCAGAAATAGAACCTGGGTCTTTGCCATGCTTTGACGACTTCGCTATGCCATCTGTCCCCCAATTCAAATTGAAATGACATCGACATCCTTACACAACTGAAATTCTGTTCCCTCTCTCTCGCACGATCGCTTGCTCTCACTCACTCACTTACTGAATATACTAAAATGAAAGGTGCCATTTGAAATTGAGACATTGTTTCCTGTCATTTGGGTAATCAATCGCTGTCTGATTGAATTCTCTCTTAAAACTTGAGTTACAGACAAGTACAATGTTGTTTGAATGACCTGATTAAAGCCAGGATTTTAGTTAGCTCCAGGCCTACTTTTAGTTAATTAAACAGTCCCTTCTGAAATGTACAGAGATGAAACTCTCTTATATTTTTTTTTCTTCATCTAAATGTGTAATTTCTTTGTGCTTGCTTTACAGAGCAAGGTGAAGGCTGCACGGTCCGAGAAGGAACAGGCTGTCCGGGAACTGACCAATCAGCTGGAGAAGAAGGAACTCCAGAGATCAACACTGGAGAAGAAGGTAGGGGAGACAACTCATTGACCAAGAGTGCTGCTCGGCTCACCTTGACCTACAAAAGTAGGAGTCCTGTAAAGTAACGAAATGGTATATTTTACTGTAAGATTTATTAAGTACTTAGTCAATTTTTGAAATCATGCTGACCTGTAAATATGTTTTCATGATGAAACTATGTGTTATAGACGTTAATGTTCTTTATTAGGTGAAACAACTACAGACTCAGGTTCCAGTCAAACCAGTGAGTACTCCCATGTTTCTATACCCGCACTTAAAAAGAACTGATTGTAAAACAAATGCAGGGAAAGTATTGGGCACTTACCTACACACCTGAAGCAATCTGCTCCAAGTGAAGGATGTCTGCTGGTTTGTTCGTGTTTCCAACTCTTAATCCATTGCCAATATTAGCAGTGCAACCATCATAAACTGGAGGTCCAGTCGCTCTGCATCATATATCAGACAATAAGTTAATTAATTCCCATTTTAGGATATACCTTATTCGACGTATAAGCACCGAGGGCGCTCTCAAAATTAGAAATAGGGGGCTCTTATTAGAATATTATTTTGGTGGAAAAAACAGAGTTGAAAGATAAATTTCGTGGTTTATGCTGACAGTTTGAACTGTTTATATACGACAGATATATTTTTCAAGAATTTAATTGCCCATAATTAAGGGTGCATATAACACATGAGTGCGTATTATACGCGAATAAATAAGTCCTGTGTACATTGATCAATCGGAAGGGGTGCTAATTGGGATTGTTAACTTGCCAATATATTAGCAAATATCGCCGTGGGCGCTTATTACATCGAATACGGTAGTTTGTATTGCTTATGGCAAAAAGGAATGGGAGTAGCTCCACCAAATTCTTTAGACACTGACGTCAATGCATTGTAACCCTGTAACGTGACATCGAAGCACTGTAGGATCGTCATTGGCATGTTGCTTCACGTTAGACATCAGGGGAAACATGTAAATCCTCATAATCGATTTCCTCCAAAAATATAAGAATTATCAATTTTTTTCTGAAGATGAACATAGGTGGTTAAAACACAGACAGTTAAATACTCTCTACATGTTGGTTATATATGTTGTATATCCAATTTATTTTCCTAGAGAAAAATATATAAAAAAATGGATAAGATCTTGGTAAGTGTTATGCTTGTAGGAAAACAACTCAAATCACAAATAGCAACCAGTAGCATGATGTTATTGTACATTGTTTTCTAGCTTGCTACCACTGTGTAGAGTGGAATGTCACAGTAGCCTGGTCATGTAGCAACATGCATGTCACTTAACACTGAGTGAAGGACTTGCCTGTACCTAGTGGTACTTTTACTCACTTGTCTTTTAAGGTAGATTTTAAGAATATATAACATTTATGGTGTAGACGTAGTAGTTATTCCAGGAATTGTTTCACTTTTAGAGAACCAGGTAGTTTGTCTCATGTCTTAGTTCATGTGTACCCATTTGTGACATATGGGGATGTTAGTGTTTTTTGTAGATAGATTTTAAGGAATGATTAGTAACATTTTTGCATTTGAAAATGTACAACTTTCTATGTGAATTCTTACAAGCTGGATAACAGTGTAAGAATCTACATCGATACATCGCTAATTGCAATAAACCTTGCAATTTTCTTACTTACTAACCAATTTCTAGAATGCGAATCAAACAGTTAACAGTTTTGCAGTAGACGTAAAAATTCTAGCATAATTTTACACTTTTACAAAATCAAGTAGTTTGTTTCTTGTCTTAGCAGTTCACGTGTATGTACTTGTCACATGATGGGATGCTGCATTGTTTAGTCTTATCCTCTTGCAATCTGTTCACATTGGGGAAATTTGTTCATGGAAGGATTTGCCCACTGAATCGGCATGTTTCAATATTTAAGGGAGCAACCACTTGATTGTCAAGGGTAGGGCAGTAGTATTTGGGGTGGAGATCAGCACTTGTTTTAATGTTTATGAGCTCAATTATTTGTCCAACATAAACAGGGCTCAATTATTTATTTTTGTAAATAAATACAAATAACCAATTGTAATTTTTGGACACTTTAATATAGTCTGCAAGAAAAGGCACATTATTATTTTTCCTACCATTTGAGGGAAATGTATTTTTTTCACAGTAAAACAAGGACTTGATAACTTTTTCAGAAACAATCCCACCCACTCACCCCTGAAAATCAAATGGTTGCTCCCTAAACCCAGAATCAGTTTGTGTATCGGATGTTGTATTTTCTAAACCAAGATGATAGTGATGGTCTTAATGGCCCAGAGCACACAGAGAAGCAACACTTATGGAACGTACATTAAACTTTAAGTTATTCATTTGTTTCTGTGAGTGGAAATGTAATTCGTCAAATTTTCAAGTACTTTTGTCTAAGTTTAATTCATTAGTACTATCAGTTTATTACAAATTTGGAATCGGGCCGAATGTATTCTCTTATGTATCACTCAAATGCATTGTGCGAATATTGAATTACGAAATAATATTTGCTCTACCCCCATGTGTAGTGTAATAAAGTATAGGTTTTGCCTATACTATTATAGTTAAAGCACAAGGATGCACTTTTGTAGTGATATGACTAGTATCGATCAACTATTTTTGAGTGTTATTGTATTGTTACCTAACTATGGGATATATGTCTTATCATAAGTGACTATATTGTTGGCACCCTATACTAAGGAAATATGTCTGTACTTTGTACTATGTACTATGTCCCTATACTATATGTCTGTACTATGTCCCTATACTATATGTCTGTACTATGTCCCTATACTATGTCTGTATTGCAAGTGGATTGTTACTGGTGAGTGTTAGTGTGCTTGTGTCTGTGCTATGTTGGATGTATATGGATGGGTCACTAACACATTCCATGCTCTGCTTTCACTATAGGCAGGAGCAGTGATACAGGCAGCAGGAGTAAGTACTGTCACTCAGACATCCCAACAATCCCTGTCTTTATACATGACTGTCCTATGATTCCTGTCAATTGTATTATTTTAGGTATATTGTTTGTTTTTTGTTGTTTAACACCGCACTCAGCAATATTCCAGCTATATGACGGCGGTCTGTAAATAATCAAGTCTGGACCAGACAATCCTGTGATTGACATCATGAGCATTGATCCATGCAATTGGGATACAATGACATGCAACAACCAAGTCAGTAAGCCTGACCACCTAATCCCGTTAGTCATCTCTTACGACAAGCATAGTGGCCTTTAACAGCAAGAATGGGTTGCTGAAGACCTATTCCATCCTGGATCTTCACAGGTCTACTTTAGTTTATGGGAGTTTCATGACAATCTGACTCCTGTTTTTCAATATGCCAAAAAAATATGTCTGCCTGGCTGTTACCAAGTCTGTTTGATGTGCAATCTTGGGTCCTTAAGTGGTTTAAGGTGCTATCATTTGCAATGCTGGGTTATGCCCCTTAGTTGTGCCAAGATCTGCTAATTATATGTTCGAATCCGATAATTGCCATAATCCTTGGTTGGTCGGCACCCAACTAATGCTTCAGGGACTTCACTGAAGAGGTAGACATCAAAGATCTACCTCACTTTCCCACAATTGCATGTGTATGTAGAATACATCAATGTTAATCATAATGTATTATTTAATGAAAGTGTTTCTTATTACACATACTATCACTTACCTAATATATATTTATGCATGTATATATCATTATGGCCAAGCATGATTAGTAAATGAAACTTGTTAAAAAAGTATGATGGTTAGATATAATACCAAGTTTTGCTTCTAAATATTTTTATGTATTATATTCAGATATACATGTTGAGAAATAACCTATTTCATTGATGACATATTTAAATTTTAAGCATGACATGCCACTTTTAGCAATTTGTCGAACTAAGGATTTCATCAGAAAAACAAGGATTCTGATTATTAACAATACAATTAGAACAGCCATTTTGTCACACTGTCTGATTTTATCATTCCAAGTGAATGCAGCAAGTTTCACAGCCCCTCCCATCAGATATACACTGTTATATCAGGGCAGCCCACCAATCAGATACCTTCTGTTTTCACTGACCCCTGTATGTAGGGTAGGGCAGCCCCACCCATCAGAGACCCTCTGTTTTCACTGACCCCTGTATGTACCAGGGTAGGGCAGCCCACCCATCAGAGACCCTCTGTTTTCACAGACCCCTGTGTGTACTAGGGCAGCCCCACCCATCAGAGACCCTCTGTTTTCTCTGACCACTGTGTGACGGGTAGGGCAGCCCACCCATCAGAGACCCTCTGTTTTCACTGACCCCTGTATGTACTAGGGTAGGGCAGCTCCATCCATCAGAGACCGTCTGATTTCACTGACCCCTGTATGTAGGGTAGGGCAGCTCCATCCATCAGAGACCCTCTGATTTCACTGACCCCTGTATGTAGGGTAGGGCAGCCCCATCCATCAGAGACCCTCTGTTTTCACTGACCCCTGTGTGTACTAGGGCAGCCCCACCCATCAGAGACCCTCTGTTTTCACTGACCCCTGTGTGTAGGGTAGGGCAGCCCACCCATCAGAGACCCTCTGTTTTCACTGACCCCTGTGTGTAGGGTAGGGCAGCCCACCCATCAGAGACCCTCTGATTTCACTGACCCCTGTATGTAGGGTAGGGCAGCCCATCCATCAGAGACCCTCTGTTTTCACTGACCCCTGTGTGTACTAGGGTAGGGCAGCCCACCCATCAGAGACCCTCTGTTTTCACTGACACCTGTGTGTAGGGTAGGGCAGCCCCATCCATCAGAGACCCTCTGTTTTCACTGACCCCTGTGTGTAGGGTAGGGCATCCCACCCATCAGAGACCCTCTTGTTTTCCCCGACCCCTGTGTGTAGGGTAGGGCAGCCCACCCATCAGAGACCCTCTGTTTTCACTGACCCCTGTGTGTAGGGTAGGGCAGCCCCACCCACCAGAGACCCTCTGTTTTCACTGACCCCTGTATGTAGGGTAGGGCAGCCCACCCATCAGAGACCCTGTTTTCACTGACCCCTGTATGTACTAGGGTAGGGCAGCCCATCCATCAGAGACCCTCTGTTTTCAGTGACCCCTGTATGTAGGGTAGGGCAGCCCCACCCACCAGAGACCCTCTGTTTTCACTGACCCCTGTATGTAGGGTAGGGCAGCCCACCCATCAGAGACCCTCTGTTTTCACTGACCCCTGTATGTATGGTAGGGCAGCCCATCCATCAGAGACCCTCTGTTTTCACTGACCCCTGTATGTAGGGTAGGGCAGCCCACCCATCAGAGACCCTCTGTTTTCACTGACCCCTGTATGTATGGTAGGGCAGCCCATCCATCAGAGACCATCTGTTTTCACTGACCCCTGTATGTAGGGTAGGGCAGCCCACCCATCAGAGACCCTCTGTTTTCACTGACCCCTGTATGTAGGTTAGGGCAGCCCACCCATCAGAGACCCTCTGTTTTCACTGTACCCTGTATGTACTAGGCAGCCCACCCATCAGAGACCCTTTGTTTTCACTGTCCCCTGTATGTACTAGGGTAGGGCAGCCCATCCATCAGAGACCCTCTGTTTTCACTGACCCCTGTATGTACTAGGCAGCCCCACCCATCAGAGACCCTCTGTTTTCACTGACCCTTGTGTGTACTAGGGTAGGGCAGCCCACCCATCAGAGACCCTCTGTTTTCACTGACCCCTGTATGTACTAGGGCAGCCCACCCATCAGAGACCCTCTGTTTTCACTGACCCCTGTATGTACTAGGGTAGGGCAGCCCACCCATCAGAGACCCTCTGTTTTCACTGACCCCTGTGTGTACTAGGGTAGGGCAGCCCCACCCATCAGAGACCCTCTGTTTTCACTGACCCCTGTATGTACTAGGCAGCCCAACCCATCAGAGACCCTCTGTTTTCACTGACCCCTGTGTGTACTAGGGTAGGGAAGCCCACCCATCAGAGACCCTCTGTTTTCACTGACCCCTGTATGTACTAGGCAGCTTCACCCATCAGAGACCCTCTGTTTTCACTGACCCCTGTATGTAGGGTAGGGCAGCTCCACCCATCAGAGACCATCTGTTTTCACTGACTGCTGTATGTACTAGGGCAGCCCACCCATCAGAGACCCTCTGTTTTCACTGACCTCTGTATGTACTAGGGTAGGGCAGCTCCACCCATCAGTGACCCTCTGTTTTCACTGACCCCTGTATGTACTAGGCAGCTTCACCTATCAGAGACCCTCTGTTTTCACTGACCCCTGTATGTACTAGGGAAGCCCACCCATCAGAGACCCTCTGTTTTCACTGACCCCTGTATGTACTAGGCAGCTTCACCCATCAGAGACCCTCTGTTTTCACTGACCCCTGTATGTAGGGTAGGGCAGCTCCACCATCAGAGACCATCTGTTTTCACTGACTGCTGTATGTACTAGGGCAGCCCACCCATCAGAGACCCTCTGTTTTCACTGACCTCTGTATGTACTAGGGTAGGGCAGCTCCACCATCAGAGACCCTCTTGTTTTCACTGACCCCTGTGTGTACTAGGGCAGCCCACCCATCAGAGACCCTCTGTTTTCACTGACCTCTGTATGTACTAGGGTAGGGCAGCCCCACCCATCAGTGACCCTCTGTTTTCACTGACCCCTGTGTGTACTAGGGTAGGGCAGCCCCACCCATCAGTGACCCTCTGTTTTCACTGACCCCTGTGTGTACTAGGGTAGGGCAGCTCCAGCGGACAAGGGTCTGAAGGATCAGCTGCTGCTGATGAAGCGAGAGAACACCTCCCTCAACACCCGCATCAAGCAGATGGAGGTGGACTCCAAGAAGCAGGGCAAGTCTGATGGAGACTCGGCAGCTGATGTGAGTCACAACTGAACCATCTCTGGTTTATCAGGTTATGCAGAATAGCTATAATTCTGCATTCATCCAATAATAGTGTCCACAGCTTTTCTTTTTTGATGAAGTCATCTGATATAGGAACAGTGAATAGTGTCTCAATCAATATGTGTTTTGCCAAAGAGTCCTGACACTGACGTCAGTCTCATGTAATGCTAGTTTATAAACAAGTTGTCATGTGTCATAATCTTCAATTTCCATCCTCCATTAGAAGAACATGATGAAACGGCATGAGAAGATCCTCAAGGAACTGGAGAAGAAGTTGGAATGGGAGAAGAATCGTACTGAGAAGCTGACAGAGAGTCTGAGGAACAAAGAGGAAGAGGCTAAGGATCTAGGGAAGGTGAGCTTCAGTAGGATATACTTGGTTTCAGGGGAGAATAACAACATTATGCATGTTTATTATAATCTGTTGTTACTATTCCAATCATTACATGTTCTTCCCAATAGAAGAAGGGGAGGAATCAGGGTTGAGAAAACTTGGCAAGATATAAATGTGCATGAGGAATTTACCACAAGGAACATGAATACTAACCATTCCAATTTCTCAATTTCCTTATACGTTCATAAATACAAAAATTGAAACACTCCCAAATATAAATTTCTGTTTACAATATCTTTTAAGATTAATTTCAAACATCAGAATTTCTAAACATCTCAAAAGTAATCAGTGATGGAAAGATTGTTTTGGGTGTGTATGTATAGGGTGAAATTTAGGGCTGGCATTCTTAATGCTATTATTGGTGCAACAGACCAATTACAAATTTCATATTTTGATCTGTTGTGGTTAAGCTAAGAGAATAAATCCTGTACATAAATCAAGAAAGTTTCTTGAATTCTGTCAGACATGCGGCAAGCAGGAGACTGAGTTAAAGAAGCTACGGGACGAACTGGCAGCTCTTGGAATTGCTGCTAAGGAAGGTGTGGAGGCAGCAACCAAGGTCAAGGACATGGAGAAGGACTTCAAGAGACTCGCAGAGGAAAACAAAACATTGTCAGAGAACTTCAACAGTGAAAGGGTCAGTTCATTATTATGGTAAAGTGGGCGCTGTAGTGAAGGGGCACTTGGGGCTTTGCCACAGTTTCTTGCTGATGAGATTCTGTTCATAAAATACTTCATGTCAGCAGAGTATGTTCACAGCACTGACGGGATATGTATACAGCTATATTTACTATTATTGTAGCGATATAGACATTTCAACTTCTGTGTCCTCAATACTGATGATGAAGAAGCATGATGTAGCCTTGAAATGTTGTGTAAATAGAAATTACGAAGTGTAGGTAAAAGAAATAAACACCTTGATTAAGCACCTGCCATTAATGAAACCCTAGTCAAATAATAGATGTAAAATGACGAGAAGAGACATTGGAAATAAAGAAACTGGATAAAAAATGATTCTCCGAATATATAGACACCTGTCTCAACTTTATGCTGAGCTAAGGGGATTAAGTCTGGTGCTTATTCAAGGATTTACCAGATATCTTGAGGCTCTGTGAACTACCAACTTCTAAATGCCTTTCAAGGACCCCATGTAACATTGACCTACAAATATATCTTGGGGCACGGGCGGGCGAGTTGTTTGAGGTGCTGGAATTCACTCTGTGTGCCCCTTAGATGTACCCAAAACCAATAAATGTGGATTCAAACCCTGTTTGATTATGTTTCTATATTTATCAGCGCCATACTCGTTCCCGTGGGTCTCACCAAAGTGGTAAATGTCAAAGGCTTTCATCACTTTGGGCTTTCCTCCTACATAAAGCTGACTCACTGTGATATGACTGAAATACTGTTCAAGGCAGTGTTAAGCCCAACTCAATCATATAACCCTGGTGATTCCACTATCCGCAGGTCCTGAGGAAGAAGTACTACAACATGGTGGAGGACATGAAGGGCAAGATCCGCGTCTATTGCCGCGCTCGACCCCTCAGTGGCTCAGAGAAAGACAGGGTATGTGTCACCTGCTGTATTTGGACAAAGATCTTTCACATAATATGGTCCTTCACTGTGGAACTCTCCCAGTTGAACTCAACAACTCTCCTTCTCTCTCTGTGTTCAAGTCTAACCAAAAACTCATCTCTTTCACAAATTGTCATCATGATGATGATGATGATGATGATGATGATGATGATAAAATAAAGCCCCATTTCACTTTTGAAACATATTTACAGAAAGTGTGAATATTAGCTAATTCTATTATATATATTTTCTACGAGATCTTGACTATCAGTTGTCAGACTTTTATTTTGTGGAAGCGTTGGTGGGCTGAGTGAATTAGGTCGCTGACTTTGGTGCCTTACTCTGAGAGTGTTGGTTCAAATCCCAGACAGCACTGGGCCCCCAAAAGTATTAGAATTTGTTCTATGTTAAGAAACATATGTTACATTTGACCACTTTGTAAAAGGAATTGCCTGTTCATAGCTGAATTCCATGGTAGCCCTGCGTGCCAATTTACACATTTTTCAATCAGTGTCAATCAGTGTCAAACACTTTAGCTCCCAATGTATCACAAGGGTCCAGCTTAACAAGGTCCAGACAACAAGGTCCAAACTGAATTGGGCCCAGACTAACTGGATCCTGACTAATGGGGTCCAGGGTACAGACTAATGAGGTCCAGACAGGTCCAAACTAATAACATGAACCAGAGGGATACCTGAATTGCAATATAATGCAATACAATATCCTTTGCCAATACACAGCCCTAACCATAACAGAACATGTACATTATGCACTTGCTTCACTTTTTGACAGAAATGTGACTGCAAGAGATTATTTTCCCTCTTGGTATTTGCAAGATAATAAAGGGTAATACCTACGACTCCCCTCTGGTGAACTCCATGGGGAGAGTCAAGGCTTCATGTCTATACCTGTGTCTCCAGGGTAACTTCTCCGTGCTGAAGTCGGCCGATGAGTACTCTATAGAGGTGTCGAGTCAGCGCGGCATCAAGGAGTTCCAGTTTGACCAGGTGTTTATGGAAGCCAGCACACAGGAGAAGATATTCGAGGATACCAATGTGAGTACCCGGACACATGAACCTGAATTGTCTACGTGTGTACAATCCCTCAGTGCCAAACACAAAAGCATCTTTGGGTCAACATGTATCCTATAACTTGGGAAAGTATATCCTTATCATGTATATGTCAGAGTTTCAGATGAGTAAAGTTTCTTGAACATTGAGTGATTGTCATCCATGATGTCCTTAAGATATTTTTAAATTTTGGTCATGATAAAGAAAAAAGTCCTATCAAAAATAGCATAGATCATTTGTGAGTGAGTATGGTTTTATGTCGCTCTTAGCAATATTCCAGCAATATGACAGTGTGGGACACCAGAATGAGCTTCACACAATTTACCAAATCAAACCCGGATATTTGGCATGATGAGCAAATGCTTTAATTACTATACTACCCCTCTACAAGTAATTAAAATGTCCTGCTGCCATTTGTCATCAGTAATTACATCATGCATTTTTACCTGCAAACCAGTTCTTTGCTGTTGTTGAAGATAGCTTTGTGTTTCCCCCAGAACCTGATCCAGTCGGCTGTGGATGGGTACAACGTGTGTATCTTCGCCTACGGTCAGACCGGCTCGGGCAAGACGTTCACCATGATCGGGGACAAGGAACAGAACCACCCCGGCATTGCCCCCCGAGCTTTCAACAGGATATTCGAGCTGGCGCAGGAAAACAGGTTGGTTGTGGGGAAAACCAGTGTCAGCACTGTCACTATTCAGAATTAAACAGGAAAGTCAAGGGGTCCTTGTCCAATCTTATCAAATTAGATCTTAGTTCTTGCTACCGCAAAACAAAGATCTGAGGACATCCCATTTTGTGACCAATTAAATTACTAACAAAAGGTTGACATTAGCCAATCCGAAAACAGCTTTCTCGAGCTATACGGCACTAGTTTCAAACTTACAACTACACTTTCAATTTTTTATTAAAAATTTGAAAACTGAACAAAAGAATATTCTGGAATGTCTAATTGATGACCTGGTTTCCAGATTAAAGGAGTCCAGAGTAACAGGGTCCAGTTTAATAGAGTCCAGACTAATAGGGTCCAGACAACAAGGTTCAAACTAATTACAAGGCCCAGACTAACAGGGTCCAAACTAACGAGGTCCAGATTAACAGGATCCACAATTACAGGGTCCAGTTTAATGGAGTCCAGACTACCAAGGTCCAGACTAATAGGGTCCAGACAACAAGGTTCAAACTAATAACAGGGTCCAAACTAACGAGGTCCAGACTAATAAGATCCAGATTAACAGGATCTACAATTATAGGGTCCAGACAAACAAGGTACAAACAATGGTTCAAACTAACTACAGGGTCCAGATGAATGGGGTCAAGACTAACAAGATCCAAACTAATGTCAAGAATAACACTGTCCAGACTATCGAGGTCCTGACAAACTGGGTCCAGGCTAATGGGGTGCAGACAACAAAGTCCAGACTAAAGGGGTCTAGACTAACAAGGTCTAGACTATCAGGGTCCAGATTAACAAGGTCCAGACTAACAGGGTCCAGACTAATAAAGTTTCACTGTATATTATCATACCCTTTTGTGTGAAGCTCTTTCAGAATCCTTAAAGGGATACCAATCTTGCCCTTCTTGTCAGTGATGTAAGATAATAATTGTTTGCAATGCCTGTGACAGGTCGAAGATGTCAATGAAGGTGACGTGCTACATGATGGAGCTGTACAACGAAAAGCTGATCGATCTGTTCGGGAGACCAGGCCAGCAGGATGATGTGGGTGGACACAAGAAACTTTGTTTTGTGTTGGGGATTTAACAAATAAATACAGCATTAGCTCATAAGAGCTATTAATCCGACAAACAGAATAAGAAGAAAACTAGCAAATAATCAGTTAATAAAAAATGCTTGTTGTAAGAGGCGACTACATTTGTCGTAAGAAGTAACTAGGGGGATTGGGTGGTCAGGCTCACTGACTTGGTTATTGCTTGGATCGATGCTCATGATATCAGTCACTGGATTGTCTGGTCCAGATTCGATTATTTACAGACCGCTGTCATATAGCTGGAATATTGTTGAGTGCGGCCTCAACAATCAAACAAACAAATAATAAAACGTATTGATAAATATGCAAACTCACAGGGCAGATAAGTGATCATATTTACATATAGAAGGCTTCAATTGGTGAGACATTACAGAATGACAAGCATTACAGATTATGTTTGACGATATGGACAGGGAATGAGGTCCAATTCATCTGCAACAATGCATTGATATATCAACTCATAAGGTGCTTCCTCAATATTCAAAATGATGAAACAAAAGTACCCTATCTGATTGATTCAAACTGTTTAAGAACGACTCCAAGGTTTTGGTTGAAAATGTCAAACCGCGAACCAAAACCAAGGAGGAGTGTATTATCCAAATTGTGATCCATTTAAATTCAAGAAAAATCAGAAAAAATATGAAAACATTGAGATACCTTTTAGTGAAACAATAAAATGTGTCGCTGTATAAAGGGAATTTGATCAAAATATGCAAGAGAATGACCATGTGCATGATGCAGCATAAACTGAAGTCATGACATGTAAAATTTAATCACTTTTTATCACCTGCCCTGGTGGCTCAGTGGGAAAGCAATGGGTTACAAAACTAAACATGATATGTGAGGTTCCTGTCATTCACAATGAAAACTGTCATTTCTTGTCTTCGATTTGAGAACATTGGACGTTTGAAACACCAAGTACAAATTTGGTGTATCTACTACTCAACTCATCAGGTCTTACCAGGAACACGTAAAACCTCCTATCCAGGATGAGGTCTTAGTAGGAAAAAGTAAAACCTCCCAAGAGGTTATTACAAGATAGGAAGATACCTACAAAACAATAGTCAAAACAGTAGGTTTATAATACTAGCAGGGACAAAATAAAAATATAGAAATTATGTTTAAATTATTTTTTGGGACCAGGTTCTTTTCAGTAGGTGTGGCGGGCCCATGAAACGAAAAATAAAACCTGTGTGGCCTTATATAGCTTAAATACCATTAAATCCAGCCTAACTTCCACCTCACTCACTCACTGTATGCCGGTGTGTTCAGGACAAGCTGGACATCAAGAAGGACAAGAAGGGCATGGTGTTTGTCCAGGGGGCCATGGTCAAGGAGGCTTCCAACACCAAGGAGCTCTTCGCCTTGTTCGAGGAGGGGTCGAAGAACAGACACACAGCTTCCACAAGTGAGTTCATGGTCTGAAGCTGAATATAGACATTGATGTATCAGAAACTTGATCCATTTATTGTGGAGTTTATTCCATTACCTTTGAAACAGACTGTTTTTGTAGTGTTTTAGGAGTATACCACTCCTCACAGTTTTGTCCAGAGAAAAGTCATATACGGTAAACTATGGTTATAACAAAAAGGGACCACTAATTTTAGTTAGTAATAACTGTAGTTTTTATGAGCATATATACAGCATATACAACAAATGGCAGGGAATTTAGTTATATTGGCCAGTTCGTTTTAAGTGTGTTCGTTATAAGCGTTGTTTACTGTAAGTATACGAGTACTTTATTGTTTTCCAGAGATGAATGCTGAAAGCTCCCGATCCCATCTTGTTATTGGTATAGTGTTGGAGAGTACCAACAAGGTCACGGGACATGTGCTCAAGGGAAAGGTAGGGATGATACTGTCGTCTCATCTTGGTCAGTCACTGAAACATGTTGAAGGTGGATACAGCACATTCAAGTATAAAATCTGAAATATTTCCATTCATCTTCACCACATTCCTCCGAGGTGATTCCCAGCACCTAATGCATGTTGGGTGGAAACAGAAATGAGGATTGGGTGTCAAATGAAATTGCTGTTTGGCGGTTTGTATCCCTGTGTGATGCGTTTCCGGACAAAACATTGATAGTTTTCTCATTAATCACAAGAACAACTGTAAGGCATCTCAATCACCACTTATAAAAGACAACTTTATCTGATAAACAGGCCATCATCTGAGTATTTACAGTCTGTGTGATGCCACACCACCTGTTATAGCGCGAGAAATAGCGATTAACATGGCTGCTAAAGGAATAAAAAATGTAAAAAAAACCCCAAAAATCATGGCTGTCCGAAATTATACCATGTCCTAAATCCTATGATCCGACGACATGTCATGGTGCCATTGTTGTTGTTGTTGTTGTTGTTATTATTATATACCACACTTATCAAGGTACTGGTATCTGCTCAAATGTGTTTGTTTTTTCCCCCCGACCAGTTGATCCATGTGCAATTCCAGTTATCTTTCTCAACTCCCTTCTTGGTCACATTGTCTGAAGTTCATTGTTGTATCTTCTTCCTCCTTCAAACGCATGTACACAAACACGAATAGGGTTGGAATATGGAACAGTGATAATCATTCTAAAGCCTGCATGACACCAAACTCCCTCCCTCCCTCCCTGACTCATGACATGTGTTTGTGCTGCAGCTGAGCCTGGTGGACTTGGCAGGCAGTGAGAGAGTGGGCAAGACAGGAGCTGGGGCAGAGCAGCTGAAGGTATAGACGTCGGCTTCATTAATAGAACAACAATTAATAAAAAGTAAAACATGATGGAGAAAATGCCATCTACTTATGTCGTTATCCTCATCTTCTCACACTAAAACAGTATATCTGTTGTCTCATTGTTAGTGTGAATCTGTGCTGATCGTTAAAGGAAGCGTAAAGGTGGTCATTCTCATTAAATTCAGATCTTAGTGCTTGTTACTGCTACACATAGATCCCATTATAGGTCACGTCAGAATGACTTTTCATCCGAAAAGATTAACACAGGATATTCTGAACAACATTTACGGGCTCATTCGTGTCCAAATCGTGTCAGTCCGGGGCTATTTGGCTGTTGTCAACTTCCTGTTAGTCATTTCATTGGTTGGTCAAAGTTCACTCAAATGTCATTCTGATGTGGCCTGTAATGAGATGTCTTCAGATCTTTGTATCGGAGTAGCAAGCACTCAGATCTGCGTTTAATGAGATTGAAAGGTGATTTGATGTTGATTGGACTGTAGGTAATAAAATGGGTGACCATCTAAAAAGAGGAACTGAAACACGTCTTCACTGCATTGGTGACAGAAGCCATGTTGACATCCATCTCTGGTTACAAACAAATATGACATAGTGCACTGTGACTGTGAGATTTGACCCTTGCTCTCTGTGTACAGGAAGCTATGTCCATCAATAAGTCGCTGTCCGCCCTCGGCGACGTCATCTCGGCACTGAGCAGCGAGCAGTCCTTCATCCCCTACAGGAACAACAAGCTGACCATGTTGATGCAGGACTCACTCGGAGGCAACGCAAAGACGCTCATGTTCGTCAACATCTCCCCCGCTGACTACAACACGGATGAGACTGTTATCTCTCTCACGTAAGCTCTCATTGTGTATGCTGTACATGTGTGACAGTTATATGTCTTACGTTAATTCCTTATTGTGTATATTCAATCAGAACCTAATATTTCTCATGTACGTTCTGGGGCCGTGGGGGAGCAGTGGGGTAGTCTAGTGGTTAAAGTGTTTGCTTGTCATGCCGCAGGCCTGGGGTTGATTTCTCACATAGGTATAGTGTGAAGCCTGTTTCTGGTGTACATCGCCATGTTATTGCTGGAAAGTGGCATAAAATTATACTCACTCATTCTGGGGCCATGAGTGGCCCAGTTGTCAAGGCGCTAGAGTTCAGCATACTACAAACCTACAAATGTGGGTACAAATCCTAGATTAAGCCAAGTATGTTTCTAGGTTTGTGAGCACCGTACCCATGCCCACTGGTTTCATGAAAGCATTACTTCAAGCTAAGGCTTAAAAAACAAAAAAAACAATTGGCAATGACTTTGAAAAATATATTGTGAGCGGGAGGTGTTTTGTTTTGTTTTTTTGCTTATTCAAACTAGTATGTAACCAAATAAACAGTTGTGTACCATCAACCTGGGTACTAAACTTCCTACATGGACAAGTATATAAAATTTCTATTGCCACCATGACCATAACGTGAGATGCATAGTAAAGGGAAGTAACTGTGTAAGTTAGGATTTTTTAATTTTTAGGAAAATGGAAATATAAACGAAATATGCAGCTGACTTATGATGATGCGGGCGGTGCCTGAAAACCAAGACTATTATTTTGTTTAGCCTTAGCTCCCATACTGTGATACGACTTAAAGGGGAAGTGTACACGCAAAAATCACTTTCTTTCTTTTTCTAAACAAAACGCAATTTTAGAATTAATTAGTATCTGTGTTTGAAAATATACACTCATTTTTTTCACAGTGAAAGTAGGAAGCTCACAATAGTGTGAAAATGATATGCCGTTATGAGGCCTTCGTTTTCGAGCTAAACAGGCCTGAGTTATCCCCCTTAGATTATGACGTAATTGGTGCCAATTCAACTGGGTCCCTGTCTATTCTCAACGCAAAAGATATCAAGTACCAGTTTGCGGTAAAACAACATGGCCTACGACACACTCCGGGGCAGTGGTGACTCAGCATAACACTATGCTGGCTGGCATCTGAGACGCTAGAATCACACACCAAGACCTACACCACGTGAAGCGGCTCTAACAAAGCATGATGACGTCATAATGTTTATCAATTGGCACCAATGACGTCATATTGCAAGGGGCATAAGCCATGGTGTTTTTGTTGTGGAAATAGAACACTTGGTAAATGTGAAAAATATAAATCGTTTTAATGCGAAAAATATGTTATTTAATTGTGATATTTTTATATTTTTGTCTATGACACTTCTAGGTTAACACTTTTAATGTGGAAAAAGTACAAGAAAAATAGGTTAATTTCCGTGTGAACTTGCCCTTTAAATACTGTTCAATGTTATGATCTCACAGGCCTTCCTCACACCCTATAGTATATGACCAGTCCCTTATAGGAAGGTCACTCACTTGTATGTTATGAACCAAATTAACCTTTTATGTTTCCAGTGTAAGCTGCTGTTGTCCTACAAATCAGTATAATCATGCTATCAACCATTGGTGTGCCTGTCCCGACTTGTCCCGAATATTGCTGACTGTTGTGTTCAGCCAATGTCCACTCACTGACACCAACACCTTTTGTTTGTAGTTATGCCTCCCGTGTGAAACTGATCACCAACGACGCATCTAAGAATGCTGACAACAAGGAGATTTTAAGACTGAAGGCGGTGAGTGTTGTAATCAGATAAAGTGTTTGTGAGAAAGGATTGGGACGGGTCTTCTGCAGTGGAGAAAGATAAGTGCAGTAGACTCCCACTGTGGTGAAGTTGTCCAATTTGAATCAGGTCATTCAAACACCTTATCACTTTTTTGCTGACCTTGAGTTGTTATCGGGAGATATGAAGGCCCTAATTACTAGAGACAGTGTCTCAAGTTCTCTCTAAGCCATAAATAAGCAGCCCTCTTCTACTATCTGTACCTTAATGTGGTTGCTCGAATTCGAGCTCGGCTGCTCTGCATTTGTTTTATCAACCATATGTTTAGGACAGATGTTGGAGACTTGACTAACTTTCTGGTGATATCTCTTTGCGGTCAAAGTCTAATTATGAAACATAGTTAGTTCAAATTTCATGAATGTTTGGATTAAATCATGAAAGGTCTAAGGAATTTAACACTTATCATCGTGCTGTGTTATTATCCCCCACCATGAAGGGGATATAGGAATGGGTGCTGTCCGGCCGTCCACCTCTCCGTCATGTTTCGTTTCTGGAGCAGAACTCAAAAACCATTAGAGATATCATAACCAAACTTGGCACATAGATAGGTCTAGTGGAGAACTAGTGCCTTTTGATAGTTTAGGATTTTAGATAAAAAAAATAATTTTGGAGTTACCATGGCAACAACTTTGACTTAGACTGAAAATGGCAGTAGTGCTCCTTTCTGGAGCAGATCATGAAAACAGTACAATATTTCTTCACCAAACATGGCGCATAGATAGGTCTAGTGGTAAACTGGTGCCATTTGATAGTTTGGGATTTGTTAAAAATTCAATTATTTTAGTTTCTATAGCAACCACTTTTACTTGGACTGAGAATAGCGGTAGTGCTCGTTTCTGGAGGGCTAATGCCTTGCACACAACCGGTCATGTCATATTGGCGGGGATATGAGTATTTCATGCTTGTCTAACATAGTTTGCAGCAGGACTGTTGTAATGAAATAGGTAGTCTTTGCTTTGCTATCATTTTTCCCTTATTTTTCTGTGTCATGTAATATTTGTTCATAAGAGAGTACAATTCGCATTTGTAAATACTCGCGACCATGTGGATCTTTGTAATGTAGGATTTGTTGTGCCACATCCTTTTTGCTGACTGAAGATGCCTATATAAAACCAAATAATTTCTCAGTGATATGAGGGGCGGTCGGGTAGCCTAGTGGTTAAAGCGTTCGCTCGTCACGATGTTGACCCGGGTTCGATTCCTGACATGGGTACATTGTGTGAAGCCCATTTCTGGTGTCCCCTGCCGTGATATTGCCGGAATATTGCTAAAAGTGGCGTAAAACCATACTCACTCACTCACTCACTCACTCACTCACTCAGTGATATGAAATTGCCAATATATTGTTTAGTGTTAATGGCTGATGTTTGGTTGCAGCTGATCCAGAAGATGAAGAAGGGAGAGGCGGTGGAAGAGGAAGAGCAGTAGTCATCTCACGACGCACTGAATCAACTTGAAGACTACAAACATCTGTGATATTCTCAACTGGAGAACAAATCTGTGGACAAAGATCAACATATCAAGACAACCAGCATTACTAAAATAATTTGTCTAAGCTTACAATCAAAATATAACAATGTTTTTCAAATCTTTTAGATTAATCACATTTTTGTTATTTTCCAACTGTGATATAGCAATTGTTAGTTGGTGTATGTGTTGAAAGAGTTTCTTCTCATTCTCTTTTCCTGGGTTTTTTCAGTGTTTATGTGCCAAGTTAAAATAATAATATAATCAGAACATTAATATTCACAAGAAATTAATTAAAAAATGAGTGTTGACATAGATCAACATATCCGAACAATCAGTATTGTCATAATAATTTATTTATGTTTAAATGCTTACAATCAAAATATTACAATGTTATTTCAATCTTGTCGATTTTTTAATGGCATTTGAATTATTTTCTAATTGTGATACAGCAATTGTTAGTTGGAGAATGTGTTGAAAGAGTTCATTCTCATTCACTTTTCATGGTTTCAAAGTATTTTTGTGCCAAGTTAAAGTAATGATATGAGCAGAAATTATTAACGAAAAATTAATTTAACAAATGAGTAAATGAGATAATAATTTAATGTCACGTCAGAAATATTTTGGCCACATAGCAACGTGATAAGGTTAATTTGAGTCAGTGTTTGAAACGTGAGTATGGATGCTGAAAACTTCCAGATCACGGTTGTTAATTTTACCCAATTTCTTCACTAATATATACACGATGCTCGCACAATCCTATGTAGACAAACTATTTATTTTTTACCAATGTTACACCCTTTATAACATGTATTTTATGTTTCAACATTTGTGACCCTAGGTTGTGGAGGGGTTATTTTGGTTATGGTATAATCCTATATTTATCATAGTATGTGCAATTTACTTCTTTGATCACTTCTTAATAATTTGTATACATGACTTCAGAGATACAACCAGTAGGTATGCATGCATTTGTTATCAGTGCAACAGAAACGAGTACTACATCATACAAGTACATTTTGGACAGTACATTCTTTTTAATTATACTATGCTACTCCACGTTTGATAGGGATATTTGTATCTTTCCATGATACACAAAAATTAATCTATTTCAAGTGTGTATTTAAACAGAATGACTATCTGATTATCCCTATCACAAGTTGAGTAGTATTGTTCCTCGGTAAAGGCCAGATCTTGAGCCTCTCTTGGTTGTGCTGGGGTGGTCGGGTAGCCCAGTGGTTAAAGCGTTCATTCGTCACACCGAAGACCCGGGTTCGATTCCCGACGTTGGTACAATGTGTGAAGCCCATTTCTGGTGTCCCCTGCCGTGATATTGCTGGAATACTGCTAAAAGCGGCGGAAAACCATACTCACTCACTCACTCACTTGGTTGTGCTGATGGCATAGATTATGTCAATGTACAACTTGCATGGTACAGTATTCAGTGTAATAAGCATCCCTCCCCTCGTCACTTTTCCAGGAAAGTCAAAATTATTAGTATCCTTTCGCTTTAATTCAGGAATCGAGAATATTTGTTGTCCTCACACATGAACTCTTTTTTTTTTAAAACAAAAGTTTGGGCAATAGATTAAACAAGGTAAAGAAGACCAGTATATGGCGATAATACGAGTGTCCAAATGGGCTTTGTGATGATTACATTGATTATTGAGCTCGTGGTTGTCAGTACCGGTATATGTACCACATGTAGAGTCATGAAGGCTGGTGTATCTCTGCAATGTAACAACAATTGATTACTTAATTCTCAAATCCATGTTTTATACTTTTATATCAGCATTTTTAATGTGCATTATGTATGAGATTGACATTAATTCCGTCCATTTGTTTGTCTTAAAGAGTTTTATAATTGTTACAACATTTACAAGTTTTTGTGATCAGCATTTATGAACCTGACACCCCTTGAAGTCCGATACACTTTATGTAGTTTTTGTGAATTCTTTTTTAGATCATCTTACGTTTTAATAACACCAAGTTCATGAAATCCCATTTTCTCTGAAGTATATGTTGGGAATTGGATGTTCTAGCAACAGTGCAAATATATCCATGTCTGTTTTTATTATATGAAACATATCCCATTTTGTCTGTAGCTTTCTGTGATTCTGCATTGGCCTACAGGGCTGGTCCCTTTTTTTTCGACATCTTGCTGCAGGGGAAGCGAGTTTATACAGGTGACAGCATTAAATTATTTTACATTCCAAGCTGGCTTTTGTTGTCACTGTCCTGGAGTAAGCGAGAATTAACATCTCTATTTTATGGCCGCTGCTAGATTGGTGATTGTTGTGGATGTTACCACACTGTCTTGTTTGTTTGTTTGTTTGTTAGATGAACACTGTACTTAGCAATGTTCCAGCTACAGTCAATCCGACATGGTTAGTTGCATACGATTATGACAGATTAACCAGTATGACAGATTAACGAAATAACATAGTATCAACGTTCATGGTTGAAAATCGGACAACTACACGATAGATAACGATACAAACTTAATAAAAAAGGGGATAAAAGGAAATATTCATATTATTATGTTATATTGTTAGCGGAATATGTTTTCTAAGCATGCAACCTCCAAAGCTTAACACAAAACTACTGTTACTGATCATTGTTGGATTAACGAGACTGATTAATGAGTGATTTTGGCAATTCTTTGTAAATTAGGTGTGTTGGAGTCAGAGTGTGAGACTGTCAGATTAACGGGTGTAAATCGCACTGATTTAATCTGTTCCCATCATTAGTGTCCGACAAACAAGTATCGGATTATCCAGACTTGACTGTACACAGCAACAGGGTTATGATGACATGCATCAACAAGTTAGTGAGACTGACTACCCGATCCTGTTTGCGCCTCTTGTGATGAGCATGGTTGCTGAAGGTCGATTCTAACCAAGATCTTCACGGGGGTATCACAATGTGTTATGGCTGTGTGTTGTTGAAAGCAGCACTCAGCCATTTATTGTTGACTGCAAAGTGTTCCAGTATGATGCACTTCATGTGTGGTCAATAAAAATCATGACTCATGGACTTCTCAGGGATGACCTACTAGCTTACTTTGGATCATACATTTGTTAAAGGCTAAAAGCACATCAAAGCATCTCAATTGTCACTATTCATCACCAACGGCCCACAACCACTCACGATATTATCATGCACCAATAAATCACAGTAGCAGTGGGACATCATGCTCCAATTCATACTTCTTTGTAAATGTTGGTCCTCAGTGCAGTAGGATGGAGATCTCTGAAGCTCACCTGGTACAAAGTTGCATCACATACTCACTACCCCACACATACCCGGCTGTAATGTTTTCATGGGCTGCATTACCTTCTTGACGTCTTGTATGTTGCTCCTTACCCTCCAGTTGTTATTCCGTCCCTGAGCTGTTTCCCCCTCTGCTTACGTATATACAGTCAAGTCTCGTTAATCCGACATCGTTGGTTGCACATGATTGTGTCGGATTAACGAGTATGTCGGATTAACGAAATTAAGTGATTTGTGATAAAAAATCGGACATCTTCACGATAGATAATAACCGTGTGTTTCCTCGTGTAAATGCAAGTGCTACTGTCTTAACAACTAGCTTCATCTACTTAAAATAGTCTGTCAGTGTTTTCTGTTTCTCACATTTTGAAGGCACATTTCTCAAAGTCCCCTGTTCGCTTGACGTCTTGGGCTGGTGGTTCTTCAGCATCAACATTGTCGAGGTGTAATTTCATTTGTTTCTTATAATAAAGCTTGAAATTCTTTATGATCCCGGCATCTAGTGTTAATTGTTAAAGTTAATCTCTGCAGCCAGTGCGTGTCAAAACACGGGGTTGTGTACTCGCGGGCAGATGACCACAGAGTACGCTGACCACTGTGTCGGATTAACGAGACTGATTAATGAGTGATTTCGGTAATTCGTTGCAAATTAGGTGTGTCGGAGTCGGAGTGCGAGAATGTCGGATTAACGGGACTAAATAGCACTGAATCAATCGGTTCCCATCATTTGTGTCGGATAAAGCCGAGTGTCGGATTAACGAGATTTGACGGTACGTCACCAACTTACCGCCATGTTAATCTACAATCAGACCAATGAAGATTCCGGGGTAGAATAGGTCTTCAGCAACCCATACTTGCTGTAAAAGGTGACTATGCTTGTCGTAAAAGGCGACTAATGGGGTCGGGTGGTCAGGCTCGCTGACTTGGTTGATGTATGTCATCGATCCCAATTGCGTGGATCGATACTCATGATGTCAATCACTGGATTGTCTGGTCCAGACTCAATTATTTTACAGACCGCCATCATATAGCTGGAATATTGCTGAGTGCGGCGTTAAACAACAAACAAACAAATCTACAATCATGCTCACTCAACTTCTGCCAAGGCTTACATCACTGCTGCTTTTATCCCTGTACATGGTGTTCACCTTTCTCCATCACAAAAGTTCGCTTTTGCGGTCGCTCTCGCTTTCACTTCCGCATTGTCATTCGAGTCTTCGCTACGTTTTACTTTCCATCTGTATAGGCTCACATCATGCCACCAAAGCACAAGGCAGCACTCAATCATGGTTTGGTGCCTGGCAGAGTTAATTCAAGCGTGCCCCGGGCAAGCCAACCCATTGTTCCAACAATTTATATATTAAGATTACCGTAGGTCAATGTCGCCCACTATAATGAGACAGACAAGATCACCTCAATATATACTTCTCAAAACAAGCTTACGAACACCCATATTTAGAAGGCCATGTGTCACAGTACCCACCAGCCAGGCAAATTAAATATAGTATGAAAAGAAATCGGGTGTTCTTTCACTTCTTTTGAGAAGTATACATTTATGTAGACCATAATACATGGTGCCAGGATAAATGAAACTTTGCCTCACAAATGGCATCTGTGAGGGGGGTTGAAACTCCAAATATGACAGTCGTGATTCAAAGGTTGACTGTCATTGTTTTTCATTGCATAATGTGACAGTCCAATTCATAGTGTGGGTTGGGTGCCGACACTTTTCAGCATTGTTGAAATGATGTTGTTTGTCTGTTTACTACTCTTTTGTAGCATCTCCAACAATGAATCAAACCATTATTTTTTTAATATCCCAATACGTGGGTGGTGCTTAATTCATACTTAAGTGTATATCTTCCTAAAGTATCAGCTATCTTGGCCTTGTGTCAGAAATTCTAATTAAACTTAAATTTCAATCTAATGCCACGAAAGTAAATCCTAGTCCCAAGGTAGTGTCACACATCCCATGAATCTTATATTCCTGGGCTTATGGCATTTGACTGTTTTAGCTCCCCCATCACATCTTACTTCAATACCATGAATAAATCGGATTCCTACTAGTTTCATCCCCCGTGTGCCATTGCAGAAACAAACAATGAAGGGCTGGACACTTTTAGCAAACAACACAGGTCATAATCTCACATGGACCTGGTGAGCTAACAGTTCCGTTCCATCCAGTTCCAGCACTTTATTATTCTACATGTTGTTAATGTACCAGTATCTACTATCAGGATGCACGGACCAACCTGGACACGACAATGGGTAGAACCAGTCTGCCACCATGTCATTAAATAACATCTCCTATTTAGCTGGGTGGTATAAATGACATTGTCATACCTCCATCTCGTGATCTTGATAAAATACTCTGTAACCCACCTTGCAGTGTAATAAATTTCTCAGCAGGGGAATGAATCCCTCATAAACCACTTCAAAGCAAAAAGTTGCAGGCTTTTTCTGAGTCAATAGAAATCACGTGACATAGCACAAGTTAAACTCAGCTCAATCAAACAGCGGTCTTCTATCAAATTTGAATTTGTGTTAGTTCTTTTACAAGGTCACATTAAAACATGTTGGTAAGATAAATTTGTTGTGGGAGGATCACTCCGGGTTCATGGGGTTTCATGCGTCCCGTGTTAGGCTTCATACCCATCGTGATCCGGCTACAACTCGTATTGATAGGGCCTAAGGGTTGAACAGTATTTCAGTCAGATCATGGCATGTCAGCTTGATGTGACAGGTCCAAAGAGATTCAGATCTTGGACTAAGTTGGTGAAACCCATGAGGACAGGCCTGGTATGGTGCTGACAAATGAAGAAACATTAGCAGTTTGATGCCTCAGATGACCGGGACACACCCACAACGGGACACACCCACACAGGGACACACCCACACCAGGCAATGCCCACACCGGGACACACCCACACAGGGACACACCCACACCAAGCCACACACACCCACACCAAGCCACACACACCCACACCAAGCCACACACAACCACACCAAGCCACACACAACCACACCAGGCCCTTTAATGTTTTTACTTTCATTAAACTTGCTCTGGCTGTTTCAGGCTGAATTAAACTAAATATGATTTTTGCTGGTATGATGTTAATCATCATAACATCCTCTCCCTTATTGAATATACATGATGTAGACACAAGAAAATATAAGCAATATATATGTTTATTTAAACAATGTATTTAAACCATAAGAAAATTAACCATAAGGTTGCCCTCATATTTTTATTATCCCACACATTATCACCATCACTGAACCCTCCGTGATACATAGTGAAATAATTGCAGTAAACAAGTCAACGGACTGGAAACATCAAAGCACGGCCATTTGACCTTGATCTTATCTTGATATTGGCAATTTCACCTTTATCGGTATTTATCTCTAAATCAGATCTTTGAAATTCAATGATGTCTTTTTTTGATCACATGATAAGGAAAAAATATAGTGTCTGCTTTTGATTCATGAGGGTCCACAGGGTGTACACACTGACACTCAATTGAATATTTCAGATAGCCCCCATGATTGATGAAATAATTTCCAACCAACCTTTTTGACAGACCAGTGAACACTCAGAGTAATGAACAAACTTTCTGAACTATGAAAATGCAATTATTGATGAAGCAAACAAGTCTGATTGTACAACAAAAACAGTCAGCAATGTGAAATAACACGCAAAGGCTTATAATGTTATACAATGAGTGCAGACACTCAAGTCAAAATATACTGAACAAAAAAAGGCTAGGGATCATAAATATTATTTTTGATATTGTACTTTAGTGAAGACTGACACAGTTCCATAAAAATATCATATTCATGAACCCAAACGTTTTTTGTTCAGTATACATGAATAGATGTGAGCGTTTTCATTCTCTGATGTATTAACATGGATGACTAAGCAGTTTGGAAGGATGTCAGCTTACTGAGATGTCAATACTATGTGGCAATGGATTTCTCAAGATACAACACCAACAATCACAGTCAGACATGGACACAACGGACTGATTGGTCAGTTCTTCCCATAGGTATCACAGAAGTCCTTTGGACTGAAATGAGGAAGACTGAATTGTCACCGAAGTATTATCTCTCCCCAGCAATGAACACAGTAATCACTCTAAACAACTTATTATGCAGTCTGAGGTTATCTAGACTCTGTATTATGACCTGATTGCTCATCTTATATGTGCCCAACTGTCCGCATTGAGGCTGCAGTCTGAGCCAAAACATTGTCCACTAGCCCACATGGGTCTCAGCATCATATGTACATTGTAGTTTTATCATATGGACTAGTGGTGAGTTGCAGACTGAGACTGTTTTGGTTAAATCCGCCAAGGGACATGTTCAACAAAGTATCTCTCATTGCCGACTAGCTGTTCATGACAAGGTTCAAAGACTGCTATGTTGAATAAGTCCCTGGTTCACATATGCAGTAACAAGATGATATACATTGTCAGTATTTCCCGGCCTTGTGCAAACATCAGTATTTCGCTGTCCTGCATAGAAAACATTCCTCAATGATGAAGACATTTATTACCTACAAGGGCAAACGTATCGGGGTCATAAAAATCATTTGTGCCCTAGGGTCATATCACGTCACGAGACAACAGTGTATTGTTTCCATCATCCAGACGTCATTGTTGAATTCATTCAAACCTTATTGTGGCGTAAGGTCGGAATAACGTCACACTAGAAAAGACGTCATAGCTGAAGATTATTGGCGTCATAGGTAAACATTCATCTCTGTATTTAGTCATCTTCTTCTGTAATAAATAGAACATTATATTCATGTTCCTGTCATACTATGTTTACAACACAGACTAATTCGGGTATTTAGACACTCGTGTCGTAAACATAGTATGACATGAACACATATATAATATCCTCTATGTATGCAGGACTGCGAGTTCTGACAACTTACGACGCAGCAATGTGCATCCAGGATAAACAAATGTACAGAATGGAGGCAGTGAAGAAAAATATTGGGTCCCAAGAGACACAATAATATGTTTTGTAGCAAATTCTTGACAAAAAACATAAATGTTCAGTTATCATAATAATTATCAAGGACCCTTGAAATTAGTTCTGTGAGTCAAGGTAAAATCCTGAATATATGGACAGCGGATCACTAATTTGGGTTTGCAGTGTTTACAGTCTAGAGGTTAGTGAGGGCAAATGCCTTAACAAATGAACTTGTGAAATTCCCGAAATATATGTGCATATATATAATGAGTGTAGTGAAGAACACAAAAGAATATGTAACTGTTCCAAAGCAAACTTTTGACATCTTGAATACTCTGATACCCTTCACCTTTCATTCAATATGGTGTGTCGGTATCGGTCGTACATGGGGATGACAATGAATATATAACTGATTATTTGGCGTGCTTCTTAAACAAGTTGATGACGTCTTGTACATCTTCCTTGGACCCCAGGTAGATGGGACTACGCTCATGGATTTCCTTGGGCTGGATCTCGAGAATTCTTTGTCTCCCGTCTGTAGCCATTCCACCAGCTTGCTCCATGATGAAGGCCATTGGGTTACACTCGTACAGCAGACGTAACTGAAACAGCCAATCACATGCTAGCATCCTGGCAGAGTGAGTGAGTGAGTGAGTATGGTTTTACGCCGCTTTTAGCAATTTTCCAGCAATATCATGGCGGGGGACACCAGAAATGGGCTTCACACATTGTACTCATGTCGGGAATCGAACCCGGGTCTTAGGCATGCATCCTGGCAGAGAAATCATTAGCTCCATAGTATAAAGTGAGACAGTCGGGTGCAACACTGCTTTGAACAGTGTTTCAGTATGTCACTGCATGGCATGTCAACTTAATGTGGGAGGGAAGCACAAAGTGATGAAGGTCTTACGACGTTTTCCATTTTGGTGAAACCCACAAGCCCAAGTCTGACTGACAAGCCCAGAAATATAATCAGGCCGAAACTTTGATTCAAACCACGGTTATAGGTTCATGGCAAGGCGAGAATAGTCAGTGAGTGAGTATGGTTTTAGCAATACTCAAGTAATATCATGGCAGGGACACCTGAAATGGGCTTCACACATTGTACCCATCTTGGGCTGTGCTGGGATTTCATAGTGAAGAATCAACTCCCAGGACAGCCAGACAGGTTTCCTACTCTCCCTCCTCTCTCATCGATCGTTGGTGCAGACGATGAAGAGGAACTTTTGTTGAGCCCAGTGCTTGCACTGCAGTGTTTCCTGAGATGATCCAAGGCACAACGTAGGTCTAGGAAACATCTTTTTATCTCCTACTTATATCCTACTTCACAGACGGAGGTTACCTGGAATGCCATCTCCTTATGGTTTATGGGGACACCTGAAATGGGCTTCACACATTGTACCCATGCAGGGAATCGAATCCAGGCCTTTGGCATGGCTAACGACCACTTTAACCCCACTGCCACCCCACAGTATACATAACATATCTATAGCATAACTATCATTGAATGATCACTCCAAACAGCAGTTAATGATTTCACATTCTCTTCAAGTTGAAACGCTCAGAAAATAATTATTTATGACCCATCTTATGGTTGAGAATATGTGCTTTTCTTTGTTTGTTGTTTAACGCCGCACTCAGCAATATTCCAGCTATATCATGGCGGTCTGTGAATAATCGAGTCTGGACCAGACAATCCACGCAATTGGGGTAAGATGACATGCATCAACCAAGTCAGCGAGCCTGACCATCCAATCCTGTTAGTTGCCTCTTACGACAAGCATAGTTGCCTGTTACAGCAAGCATGAGTTGCTGAAGACCTATTCTACCCCAAATCTTCATAGGTCTGAGAATATGTGAGTTCATCAAAATATAGCATATGTAACAATGACTAAACAAACCTACAGTATTGCTGCTGTTATGCAGGACGAGTCTTACAAAACCTGTGATAGACTTTGTACTGCCTTCTCACTGTCACACAGGAAATTCAAAAATCATGAAACTTTTTTGTAAAGGCAATATAACAAAGATACTCATGATACTTGTGTCATTATCTCTCAGTATAGTATAAATCTGCAGTTTAGGAGCATTCAGATCACATCTGGATAATTTCATGTTATCCGAAATAACCTGATGTTCATCAGCCTCCATTTCTATCTTACATGCATGATATGGATTCTGAGGAATCTGCAAGGTTGTTGGTTGGTTGGTTTGTTGTTTAACGCCGCACTCAGCAATATTCCAGCTAATTGACGGCGGTCTGTAAATAATCGAGTCTGGACCAGACAATCCAGTGATTAATATCATGAGCATCGATCCACGCAATTGGGACCGATGACATGCATCAACCAAGTCAGTGAGCCTGACCACCCGATCCCATTAGTCGCCTCATTCGTGACCAACTCGTGTTATTCCGGGACAAGCCGAATAGCGACTCGTGCCCCTGTCGTGGCCATTTTTGTGACTGGGTTCCGTCTTAGCGTAAACGGGCATACCTAAAACAATTGTCAACTAGTTGCGTAATGGTTCACATATATTTCCCCATATATTATATATATTTCAGATGCAATTCAAAGCACATCAGGACATGCGGAATTATACAGTATGATTGGACACATTTAACTGTGTATTGGGTATATTTTTTAGATGCAAGACATAAGTAAAATCAAAAATTATTTCTGAGGGATTCTTTGACGAAGAACTTGAAACCATACGCGCATTCTGATTGGTTTGTCGTATTTTCGCACATAAAATTCATCGATAGGGGGACGAGCCTTCTTGCAGGTTACGGAAAGGGGCGAGTGGTGACGAATGTAGTCGCCTTTGAATCTGCAAGGGAAGAAAACTCACTTTTCCTCTCGGTGCCTCTGTGGTAGATGGGTACATGAATATTCCTCCATACACAAGGGTTCTGTGAACGTCCGCTACCATAGACCCGATGTATCTGCCACCGTAAGGTTTGCCAGACTGTAAACACAGAGACCACCATCCAGTGAAATAACAACATGATAGACTCAACATGCTTTATTTATTTCTTCATCAGCATTTATCAATTACCCTATTCACCATATTAAGCACCTGCTCAAATAAGCATCCTTCTGACCAACTTCTAAACCAATCTGCAAGTAACCTATATAAGCACCCTGTATAAAATAGAAAATGACTTGCCATTCCATTTCTTTCTAATGCATATTACAAGTTTATTAGCAGAACAGGAGGGGTGTATTATTGTCAAACTATAATAGAAATAGTTTTATTTTCATCCACATTTTGAAGTAAGCTTGTTCACAAACACTCAATCGCTGAAAACAAATTTATCTTGTGTATGGTTTTAATAAGCACCTCCTTTTGTCAAGTTTCTAAAAACTAAATAAATTAATAAAAAAAAGTAAACACTAACATTATTCTGTGTTTTAGCAAATGATAAGAAAACATAAAAATCAAATTTGCATTTTGGTGGGGGGATGGGTGAGAGTGAATGTGGTGATATTTATGCATCTTTCAGCAATATTCCAGCCATATCATAACAGTGACACTGCTTACTGTAAGCAAGTACAGGCACGCATCGATAACTCAAACATTAATTTGTTACAATGTTGGAATGCAATAAAACTAAAGTTTCACCACCTATCAGTACATGGCCTACTTCATGAACACATATTGTTTCACCACCTATCAGTACATGGTCTATTTCATCATATTGTTTCACCACCTATCAGTACATGGCCTACTTCATGAACACATATTGTTTCACCACCTATCAGTACATGGCCTACTTCATGAACACATATTGTTTCACCACCTATCAGTACATGGTCTATTTCATCATATTGTTTCACCACATATCAGTACATGGTCTATTTCATGAACACATATTGTTTCGACACCTATCAGTACATGGCCTACTTCATGGACACATATTGTTTCACCACCTATCAGTACATGGCCTACTTCATGGACACATATTGTTTCACCACCTATCAGTACATGGCCTACTTCATGAACACATATTGTTTCACCACCTATCAGTACATGGTCTATTTCATCATATTGTTTCACCACCTATCAGTACATGGCCTACTTCATGGACACATATTGTTTCACCACCTATCAGTACATGGTCTATTTCATCATATTGTGTCACCACCTATCAGTACATGGTCTATTTCATTAACACATATTGTTTCACCACCTATCAGTACATGGCCTACTTCATGGACACATATTGTTTCACCACCTATCAGTACATGGTCTATTTCATCATATTGTTTAACCCACCTCCGGGAACTTCTTGCTCTTCACGTACTCCCTTGTTGGTTCGTCCCAAAACTTCTCATAACCCTCATTGAGGGAGTAAATCTTGCCACGGGGTTTACACTTGATGTTCTTCTCTGTCAACAGGAACTCTCCAATTGCCTGAAATACAGTTCCAGTAAAGCCATGAACCTAGATATGATGTACAGATAATATTACTTTGAAACGAGATATAGTTTGTACATGGTCATCTTCCCAATTAAGGCAAGGGAGTTAACTGACCATATAAGTCCAGTTCCCAACCTTGGCTACATTTTGGTTGGAATAACAAGTCTATGCATAGTCCAATCAAAATCGCATAATGAAATTGACATCCAGTTCGTAAACAACATGAATTTCAACGTGCAAATTTCGGTCAACTGAAGGATTGCAAAGCATGTGTACCACCCACTAGGCGTCGACATATATTTTGCAAATCTTTTCATGTTTATAATCAAGATGCTCAAGTGATTTGATGCACTTCACGGGGAAAGACTTGTTTTATTACAATGTAGATCTTGATTATCGATCAGAACGTTTTGACTGTGCGGCGCCATTCTGTTTGAAGCAAATGAAAGGGATATGAGTGATGGAATCCGAATGCACAATTGGAGAGACATAGAAGGGACATAACTTGTAATCGCCACTGGTGGTGCTACGATCAAGCCTGGAAATTCCAGCCTAGTTCAGCAAGGATGGGAACTGGACTTTCATAGTCAGTTAACTCCCTTGCCTTGGGAAGATGGTACATTGTACATGTTGACATCAAAACCTTGTTGCACCAGACTAAACCAGGTTGCACTCATGATGCTACCTATTAACTACAGATGTACATCATTAAGAAAAAAATCCCAGAACATTGTCATTGATATTCTGAAATGTCCAGTACACGGACATGATCTCTTTGAATGGAATCACTTATATATCCCACACATTCTCTTGCTTTCTTGTCATTATCATGAGATTGACCTGATAAGATTCATTTGATGACGTCAAGCCCAAAGGACAATGTCAAATTACACATAACAGGGGAATAGTGATGTAGTATGGTAAATAATGTGTACTGATTTCAAAGATTGAAGTGTGGAATACTTTCTTAGTAAGTCAGTCAGTCACAAATTTGTAAAATTTTGATATGCACATTTTTCAATATCAGGTTGCACTAGTGCATGTTATATATTGTTAAATCAAGCCCTGCTTTGTTTCTACTAGAACAATGGATACATAACTATTAATTGAGCTGTGTCTTTTAACACAGCTTTCAGCGGAATGATACTACTGTGGTAGTAGCAGTTAACTGGATATGCAGTGTTCTAACTCACGGGATCATACATGAAGCCATTGACCCCATCTCCTGTAGACAAGACCACCATGGTGGCGCTGCCGTACAAGGCGTATCCTGCCGCCACGACCTCCGTCCCTGGCTTCAAGGCATCTTTCACTGTTGCCGGTCCATCTCCATTCTGAAACAACATGACCCAGCAATCTGAATCACACGTTCCAGAAACAACATGACCCAGCAATCTGAATCACACGTTCCAGAAACAACATGACCCAGCAATCTGAATCGCACGTTCCAGAAACAACACGACCCAGCAATCTGAATCGCATGTTCCAGAAACAACACGACCCAGCAATCTGAATCACACGTTCCAGAAACAACATGACCCAGCAATCTGAATCACACGTTCCAGAAACAACATGACCCAGCAATCTGAATCACACGTTCCAGAAACAACATGACCCAGCAATCTGAATCACACGTTCCAGAAACAAATGACCCAGCAATCTGAATCACACGTTCCAGAAACAACATGATCGACCCAGCAATCTGAATCACACGTTCCAGAAACAACACGACCCAGCAATCTGAATCACACGTTCCAGAAACAACATGATCGACCCAGCAATCTGAATCACACGTTCCAGAAACAACACGACCCAGCAATCTGAATCACACGTTCCAGAAACAACATGACCCAGCAAACTGAATCACACGTTCCAGAAACAACATGATCGACCCAGCAATCTGAATCACACGTTCCAGAAACAACATGACCAAGCAATCAGAATCACACGTTCCAGAAACAAAGGACCCAGCAATCAGAATCACACGTTCCAGAAACAACATGACCCAGCAATCAGAATCACACGTTCCAGAAACAACATGACCCAGCAATCTGAATCGCACGTTCCAGAAACAACACGACCCAGCAATCTGAATCGCACGTTCCAGAAACAACACGACCCAGCAATCTGAATCACACGTTCCAGAAACAACATGACCCAGCAATCTGAATCACACGTTCCAGAAACAACACGACCCAGCAATCTGAATCACACGTTCCAGAAACAACATGACCCAGCAATCTGAATCGCACGTTCCAGAAACAACACGACCCAGCAATCTGAATCGCACGTTCCAGAAACAACACGACCCAGCAATCTGAATCACACGTTCCAGAAACAACATGACCCAGCAATCTGAATCGCACGTTCCAGAAACAACACGACCCAGCAATCTGAATCGCACGTTCCAGAAACAACACGACCCAGCAATCTGAATCACACGTTCCAGAAACAACATGACCCAGCAATCAGAATCAAACGTTCCAGAAACAACATGACCCAGCAATCTGAATCGCACATTCCAGAAACAACATGACCCAGCAATCTGAATCGCACGTTCCAGAAACAACACGACCGAGCAATCTGAATCACACGTTCCAGAAACAACATGACCCAGCAATCTGAATCACACATTCAAGGGACGTTCAATGTATGAAATGAGTAACCACTACTCATGTTTACTATTTTTTAACATATTTTCTGCTATTCAAAATAAGTACAAAAAGTAACAATTCATAATCTTATCTTCCATGACTATTGGGAGTAACTAAAAAAGTGAAATTTCTATGAACTGTGAAATAAATGATGGCGGTACATGCTGTGAGAGCACATTTGGTTTAATGGTGTTTAAAAGATATGTCAACGAAGTGTATCACTGCATGTCAGCTTGATCTGAGAAGAAAGCCTAGAGTGGTGCACGTACAATATGTTAACCACTTTGTGAAAGCAACAAGCGTGCATTTGGCGAGTACTGACAGGCCAAGGATCATAATCAGGGGTAGTCTGCGCTGAGAACCCACCTTCCTGTATATACCGAAGATGGAACCGATGGAGACGAGGCAGTCAATGTTGGAGGAACCATCCAGAGGGTCAAAGCACACGATGTACTTTCCCTGGAATAAAAATAATGAACTACACAGATTCACGAATGCCAAGTAGATATTGACATGTCCTAAGTCTGCATAATAACATTTAGTATAACAAGGATTAATACCAATTGCCTGACATTCATCATTAAAACATGTCTCATCACTTACTTATTATGCGACACTGTTATCATGTTAACAGACTTCTCTAGGTTACTGCCTATAGCAAAATGTGTCAGATAATCTCCTTACAGACCCCACAAAATATATTAATAAAACATTCTCCCGTATTCCATCTTCTTCCCAGCTCTATCAGCCTATACTCACCCCCTTCCCAGCTCTACCATCCTATACTCACCCCCTTCCCAGCTCTACCATCCTATACTCACCCCCTTCCCAGCTCTACCATCTTATACTCAACCCCTTCCCAGCTCTACCATCCTATACTCATCACCTTCCCAACTCTACCATCCTATACTCAACCCCTTCCCAGCTCTACCATCTTATACTCAACCCCTTCCCAGCTCTACCATCCTATACTCAACCCCTTCCTAGCTCTACCATCCTATACTCATCACCTTCCCAGCTCTACCATCCTATACTCAACCCCTTCCCAGCTCTACCCTCTTACTCAACCCCTTCCCAGCTCTACCATCTTATACTCACCCCCTTCCCAGCTCTACCATCCTATACTATCACCTTCCTAGCTCTACCATCCTATACTCATCCCCTTCCCAGCTCTCCAGCCTATACTCACCCCCTTCCCAGCTCTACCATCCTATACTCAACCCCTTCCCAGCTCTACCATCCTATACTCATCCCCTTCCCAGCTCTACCATCCTATACTCATCCCCTTCCTAGCTCTACCATCTTATACTCATCCCCTTCCCAGCTCTACCATCCTATACTCAACCCCTTCCCAGCTCTACCATCCTATACTCATCACCTTCCCAGCTCTACCATCCTATACTCATCACCTTCCCAGCTCTACCATCCTATACGATCACCTTCCTAGCTCTACCATCCTATACTCACCCCCTTCCCAGCTCTCCAGCCTATACTCATCCCCTTCCCAGCTCTACCATCTTATACTCATCCCCTTCCCAGCTCTACCATCCTATACTCAACCCCTTCCCAGCTCTACCATCCTATACTCATCCCCTTCCCAGCTCTACCATCCTATACTCATCACCTTCCCAGCTCTACCATCCTATACTCATCATCTTCCCAGCTCTACCATCCTAAACTGATCCCCTTCCCAGAATTGCAGGGAACCTATCCGAATTTGGAATCTTCCTGGGGTGTTTCATCAGAGCAATTGGATTGATATTTTATTAGTTTTTCTTTATTATCGTTTTAACAATATGACAATTGGTAATATTATGAATATTCTACTCGACAGCTCACAATGACATGTTTGTGTAACTGCAAAACACACACAGGCTTTGGACATTTGGGACAGTAAGTGGTGCTACACAATGTTTCCAGATGTTTAATATAGGAGATTCAAAAGAATCATGGTCATGACTACAATTATTTACCTACAGCATTATTCCAGTGCAAAGGATAGGTAGTACTGGCAACAGTGATGACATGCAAATCCTATTAAAATTCGCAATGAGACACCAAGTGCATGCATTGCTTATACCGACAGTCTGAATACTGATCACTTATTTCTGCATGACCTGAAAAGCTCCAAGTCAAATGTTGACAGGAAGACCAGCAAGAGTACCAGTAGACAAACTCTGTCCGGGGGACAATTACAACATTTATCAGGGTGTGTATTCTAAAAATAGTACCAAACTGACTTGTGGAAACATCGACAGTTTCCTCTTCACCTTCAGTAGCATGGAAGAGTGAACATTTTTTGAACACTTGGAATATAAAGACCGTCTCCGTGGTCTAGTGGGAGAGCATCCGCCTAGAGCGTGGAAGGTCCGGGGTTTGATCCCAGGCCACATCATACCAAAAGACGTTAAAAGATGGTTACCCTGCCTGGCGCTCAGGATTAAGGGGCTAAAACAAGGATTCAGTCACCATGGTTTCCAGGTGTATGCATTGATTTCTCCCAAAATCTTGATTTGATGCTGGCACCAGATCGTGATTTGTTAAATGATTAAAATGATTATGGACCTGGAAAACAATGCATTTTGTAGTGTGTGCCAGTACTAACTAAATGCTTCCATGAGAAGTTTCATTCATTAGCAAATCCCCACCAGAAACATGTCAAAATAGTCACCCAAATACTGCCTGCCAAATATCACTGAGAAAGGCAGAACCTAGTAGTAGTATCTGCCACACAGGTCTACCTGTTTTTCAGTTTCCACTTCAACAACTGTTTCATTTTCCTCGGAGACGAGGAGGCAGGTCGTGTAGGATGACTTGAGCATGTTGATGAACAAATCATTGGACAACACGTCCAACTTCTTCACCTGGTCCCCCGTGGCATTGGCTGTCCCCGAGATGCCATACCTGGAAACAATGTTATACATCAGCGGCTTTGCTTCGAGTACCCTCCCTAAACACACTGACCGTTCCCATGATACCATACCTGGAAACAATGTTACATATCAGTTGCTTTGCTTCGAGTACCCTCCCTAAACACACTGACCGTTCCCATGATGCCATACCTGGAAACAATGTCATACATCAGTTGCTTTGCTTCGAGTACCCTCTCTCAACACACTGACCGTTCCCATGATGCCATACCTGGAAACAATGTCATACATCAGTTGCTTTGCTTCGAGTACCCTCTCTAAACACACTGACCGTTCCCAAGATGCCATACCTGGAAACAATGTCATACATCAGTTGCTTTGCTTCGAGTAGCCTCCCTAAACACACTGACCGTTCCCATGATGCCATACCTGGAAACAATGTCATACATCAGTTGCTTTGCTTCGAGTACCCTCCCTAAACACACTGACCGTTCCCATGATGCCATACCTGGAAACAATGTCATACATCAGCTGCTTTGCTTCGAGTACCCTCCCTAAACACACTGACCGTTCCCATGATGCCATACCTGGAAACAATGTCATACATCAGTTGCTTTCCTTCGAGTACCCTCCCTAAACACACTGACCGTTCCCATGATGCCATACCTGGAAACAATGTCATACATCAGCTGCTTTGCTTCGAGTACCCTCCCTAAACACACTGACCGTTCCCATGATACCATACCTGGAAACAATGTTATACATCAGTTGCTTTGCTTCGAGTACCCTCCCTAAACACACTGACCGTTCCCATGATGCCATACCTGGAAACAATGTCATACATCAGTTGCTTTGCTTCGAGTACCCTCTCTAAACACACTGACCGTTCCCATGTTGCCATACCTGGAAACAATGTCATACATCAGTTGCTTTGCTTCGAGTACCCTCCTTAAACACACTGACCGTTCCCATGATGCCATACCTGGAAACAATGTCATACATCAGTTGCTTTGCTTCGAGTACCCTCTCTAAACACACTGACCGTTCCCATGATGCCATACCTGGAAACAATGTTATACATCAGTTGCTTTGCTTCGAGTACCCTCCCTAAACACACTGACCGTTCCCATGATGCCATACCTGGAAACAATGTCATACATCAGTTGCTTTGCTTCGAGTACCCTCCCTAAACACACTGACCGTTCCCATGATGCCATACCTGGAAACAATGTCATACATCAGTTGCTTTGCTTCAAGTACCCTCCCTAAACACACTGACCGTTCCCATGATGCCATACCTGGAAACAATGTCTAACATCAGTTGCTTTGCTTCGAGTACCCTCTCTCAACACACTGACCGTTCCCATGATGCCATACCTGGAAACAATGTTATACATCAGTTGCTTTGCTTCGAGTACCCTCTCTAAACACACTGACCGTTCCCATGATGCCATACCTGGAAACAATGTCATACATCAGTTGCTTTGCTTCGAGTACCCTCTCTAAACACACTGACCGTTCCCATGATGCCATACCTGGAAACAATGTCATACATCAGTTGCTTTGCTTCGAGTACCCTCCCTAAACACACTGACCGTTCCCATGATGCCATACCTGGAAACAATGTCATACATCAGTTGCTTTGCTTCGAGTACCCTCTCTAAACACACTGACCGTTCCCATGATGCCATACCTGGAAACAATGTCATACATCAGTTGCTTTGCTTCGAGTACCCTCCCTAAACACACTGACCGTTCCCAAGATGCCATACCTGGAAACAATGTTACATATCAGTTGCTTTGCTTCGAGTACCCTCTCTAAACACACTGACCGTTCCCATGATGCCATACCTGGAAACAATGTCTAACATCAGTTGCTTTGCTTCGAGTACCCTCTCTCAACACACTGACCGTTCCCAAGATGCTATTCCTGGATGATTTGCAGTGCAAATTTGCCTCCCTTAGACCTACCAGTATCTGGTGATGTTTCATTCAAATCACAGATTCGTCCTGACATATGTTGGTGTACCTGCATTATTCCCATGCAGTGTTTGCTCTTGGGCATATCTAGAGATATTAGGCTGCAGGGAATGAGGGGTTCCTCTAGTAGGAGCTTTTTTGCAAAGGCCTAACTGTTCAGGAAATATAATTAACAGTTTTTCATTAAAAGTACTTAACTGCAAAGTAAGGATAAGACATATGGATGAACAACTTCCTTATTACAGTAGGAGAGATGTTTCGGTATAGGTTCTAACACTGTTATCAAGCACTTATCCTTACTTTGTACTCCAAATTCTAAGTGCTTTTTAAAGAAACTTATTACAAAATCAGCTCAATACAGTCAACTCTTGAAGTCCCAAATCAAGTGATTGATCCAATAGTATCTATGATCCAGTTTGTCACTAAATAAAGCACATCAATACACATGCTACACAGCCACAGTGTGAAACTACAACAACTATATGCTTTGAAACAAGTGCAATAATTAATAATCCAAATTTAAACAGACAAACATTTAAAATAAACATGTAAATGTCTCTCCTTTGTGTCAGCCATGGGCTCCTGTAATTCTACATGTACAATAGTACTCAAGCAAACACTCCTTTGTGTCAGCCATGGGCTCCTGTAATTCTACAACATGTACAATAGTCACTTTGAACAATTAAAATTAGTTGGATTTCTAACTGTTTGATTGACATTTTAGAAGTTGGTGAGTAAGTAAGAAAACGTAAAACTTTTTGAATAACAACTTCTGGTTTATTGCATATAGCGTCATTTCCATGTCGATTCTTTCACCGTTATCAAGCTGGAGTGACAACAACCAAGTGATGAGAGGTATTACATGACATGTTGTGATAATTAAGCAGCAGATTAACATTGACATCAACAGGTAATAAAACTGACTAATTTTTCCTGGATACATTAAGTCAATTCCTGGAAGAAAAAAGTCATAACATTTGTAGAATGTATTTAGATGTCCAAGTGAGAGTGCTGAAACACATACTCCATAAATGGATTCTAAAACAAACTGTTTCAGGGCGTGGCCAAAGCTACCTCAATGGTGCAGCTGTGCATGACAAATTATTGGCCAATACGTAGGCTTGATTGTGTCTATCAACTATGTCATCTGTTGTGATGCTTAGCACCCATACCATGTATACAGATATGTCAGGAAGTGTTTCTGTTTCTGTAAATCCAGCAAAAATAACATTGCATACATTGTTGAGCATGTTGAAACTACCTTTGATCGTGACATTGTGAATAATTACAATGAAAACTATTGTCTGTAATTAGCTTTCCATGACGGACATCCTTTTGGGGTCCCATCAATCACCAGATGCCATTTCAAAACATGACACTTTTCTATAGAGAGCAACTTCTTTTATTCTTTGTATGCAGGTTCAGAGCTACTATCAGGCGAAGGAGTAAAGAGTGGCTCTGAAACATCGTAACAAACAATAAAAGAAGATGCTATCCATAAAAAGGCGTCATGTAGTCATGTTCTCAACTTCTAAAAGCCTATCAAAGACTGTCATATTTTTATTGTCTATTTTACGCTATTTCCATTTCTGCAAATTTAAATTTGGTGAAGTAACTGTGATAAAGAATGCCCTAAAGTATTAAAACCTGTAAAGATGCTGTGTTGAGTTTACTTGCCACGAAACGTACGCAAGCGACTATGTCTGTGAACGGAGGTAGAGCTTAGTGCAATCAAGCGTGCAATTTTAAAGGAATTCACCTCCAACAGAGACCATATATGGAACGATTCAATACACAACATGGTTTTTTTCAATCCATTGTTTTCTCACACTGAAACCATAAGAGATATACACACCTAGATTCCATGGTTAGTTATTGCAAGTTTTCATAATATTGATAACATTAAAATGTTCTTTCACAACACTGAGTTAGAGACTCCTCAAATTTTGACACTAAGGACAGATCAACAGAATATATTCTTCATCTTCAGTAACTTTCTTTAAACATATATTTTTACAATACAAACAATCTTTCTGCAGACAAAATATTTTCTAGACTTAAAAAGGAATTTAAAATAAATGACACTTAATATTTACTAGAATAATATACCATCTGTTGTAACACAACTTACACTGTTCATAAAATCTTAATATTACATTCCCATGTACGTTACAAAGACAATTTTGACGTGATTCATCTTTCTATTATTGTGCAAAAGAAACTAAAATTATTGGCAGGTTTCCAATACTTTGATTTAATCATTCAAATCCATACCCATATCAAAAAAAATATTTCTAACAAATCCGACCCATGGGATTATCAAGTAAAAGCAACATATTATAACACATTCTGGGGTAGCTATGACATGGCACCGACAACACGATCATCTAGTTGGCTATACATTTCATAACAATAACGGGGCAGTCGGGTAGCCTAGTGGTTAAAGCGTTCACTCGACATGACAAAGACCGGGGTACAATGTGTAAGGCATCTCAACTCATCAAGAACAGCAGCATTTCCTGCATTACTAGAAATGCTTAAAATTATAGTTGTGCCCTTTCAATATACGTGGGGTTTGATCCACGGCCGCATCATACCGAAAGACGTTAAAAGATGGTACTTGTTGTTACCCTGCCTGACACTCGGCATTAAGGGCTAAAACAAGGAGTGGTTGGCTTGGAGTCAGTACACTGTGAGTGGGGTATTCATGTTAAACTGCAGCATGGTATCTCAGTGGGCTAGCACTATGAAATTGCCGCGCTCGCACCGCTGTAGTCCTAGCTTATAATGCTTAATAAATCTTAAGAGACAAAATGTGGCCTTTTAAGATTGGTATGTTTGTTTGTTGTTTAACGCCGCACTCAGCAATATTCCAGCTACATGATGGAGGTCTGTAAATAATTGAATCTGGACCAGACAATCCAGTGATTGCGTCATGAGCATCGCTCCACGCAATCTAAGATTGGCATGATAAGTGTAGAGAGGTTTCCACCCCCAACTCAGTGTATGTGTGAAATACATAGGATATTAATATTCAGATACAGTTTCTAAAAT